AGGTGACGCTCGATATCAGAACAGCTCCGACGAGCATTGCGTCGGCAGCATCCACGAACACCTGCTGGTCTCTGTACAGCCTATCGACATGAACCTTCACCTCGTGCAGCTCTAGCAGCACATTGTGTACGGTGTCCTCCTGGTTCACCATATCGTCGGCCGTTGTTTGCATGGCCGTCGAGCCATCGAGTTCTCCGCCGTCATTCTGACGGACCGGTGCTTCGAGGCAAGGATGAAGCATCTCACCACACCAGTGGCTGCGCTGTGACCAGGAGGGGAGTGGCGAGAAGTCCTCAGCGTTCACGTCCGTTTGGAGACCTGACCTGGAACATTTTTAGCTGTGACTATTCGTATTTTTATTGAAAGGAATAATAACTTATATATAGGTTAAAAGTATCAATAATAAATTATAACAGAGAATGTTGATAAAATTTTCACTAACATTGAATTTTATAAAAATAAAGATTAGATTAAATTTTAATATATGTAATTCCAATACTAAAAGATAATAGAAATTTCTCATTTGAAAACTCTTGGACTTGAATATCATAATTATTATGACTCCATTTTAGCTTCTTTCCATGAAGATAAATACTTACTCTTTTTTGTAACTTGGAGCATGAAATTGACGGCGATCCATGAGTCAACAATATTGCATCATTTATGATTCATCATAGTTATATCATCAATCTAATTTACTGCAAAGCATATCAAAACATTTCTTTATATATATATAATTATAATTATTTATTTACAATGATTCTTAGACTTCTATCAACATGTGTCACCAAAATATTAGATTCTGGATCTAATATTAGATCCATAATGTCAAAATGAAAAGCTTTCTTCCGAATTATGAGTATGCAATAAATTATATAGCATATGTTGAATCTAAAGTTATAAAATATCAATCTACAAGTTTATAGCGTATATATGAATTTTCATAAGCTCTAAAGTTGTAGATGAAGGAATTAAACTAGTATAAAATCTTTTTTTAGGAAAAAAAATTCATATGGAAAAAATTATCTCACGCATTGTATAGTGAAGATCCCATATTATGTTTTGATTTATCCAAATTTTTTTAACATACCACAATTTTGTAGTAGATGATTCAAAATATAATATTTATTAAGCCAATTGAAATGTTTCATTGATCGTCAATTATTACAAATTTTTTTTGTCAATTGCAAATAAAAGCATTACGTAAATATTTGGGAAAAAATATCTATAATATAATATAAATATAAATATAAAATAAGTAGATTCATGCATTAATTGAATGTATAATTATTAAACAATAAAAATACTTGCCATTTTGAGATAATAAGTTGATTAATTTTAGCAGTTTTTCTTAGTTTGGTAGCAAAAATCTTCTACTTTATTTGTGTGACGAGAACAATAATTTTCATAATTCATATAATTATTTTAGAAATGGTCATAGAAAGAAATTAACATATGCACTTTTTAAAACTAGAGTTGATTGGGATTGGATCGTAGTCAAAAACATAATTGTATAAAAACATAGAGAATGTACAAAAATTGCTATTAAGCTCTACTTGTGATTCTCAAAAAACACTTTTAAAATAGCACAAAATGATAAAAACATCAACTCAATTAAATATGTTGTCAATTTTGAAAAGCTTTTCCTTTTTTTCCAAAAATTGCATCATTGATAAAATGATACCTTATGTAAATGTGTTTTACTCTGTAGTACATCATTTGATTTATAGCAAGATGCAATGCACTATGATTATGACAATGAAGATTGATAATCTTTTGTTTCAATCAAATTTCAATGGTAAGCACATTCAACTAAATAGTGTTTTTTTGCTCTTACTAATTCTACATCTTCTATTTCTATTATGTACTTAGCTACGTACTTTTAACAAGTAGATTTCCAACGAATGCATTCATCATCAAATGGAAACATATGTTCATTTGTAGATTTTTTCCTTTGTAAATCTTGTACATAATCAACATTATCATAGTTCAGCAAAGATTTGACATGGTCTATTAAATCATCAAACAAAGTACCATTTTACTTCTTTAAATATCTTAGAATACATTCCACTATTTTTCAATGCACATTTTCTAGATTTGATATGTACATGCTCACCTTGCACATAGCTTAAGCGATATAAAATATTGTGCATGTCATCAAACACATCTTGCTCATTAGAAATTTATCATAAAAAGTAAATAACATTTTTAAATAAAAACATTGATTAAATATTGAGCTGCAAAAATTTAAAATGTGATGTTAAAGAAATCTATACTCTTTCAAATCTGCAGTATTGAACTTGCTTAGAACACGTTGCATGTACTTGTTTTGCCTCAACGAAAATATTTTCTTCTTCAAAATTCTATGAATATTCGTACCTAATTTTCTATTGCATTCATTCAATTTTTTCATCTTACATACAAACTTTAGCTAGTTTTTGCAAGTATTGACATGGGATTGATTTTTGTCAAAATGAACAAAGAAAATTGATTTTCTTGTTAATCCATAATAACTTTGTAGCAATATATTAGTAAACTTATCTTTTTTCAAACTCAAATGATTGTCTTATGTAGATATTTTATTTTAAAAATTCAAAGATAATGTTTAAACTACATTGATTTTATAAATATTCAGATTAAAAATTGCAGCAAACGCACATGCTAGTCAAAGTGTAGTATAATTTGCTATAGTTGAAAAATTTGAAAAAACTTTGTTGTATTTCACACCTTTCTACTATATAAAGATTCTAGTCATTATTTGGCTTTGAAGATTTTATTTTTGTCATCTATTAAAAAGTTTTTTTTTTATCTTGTACATTCAGTTACTATTAATCAAAGTTTGATTTTTTGGAAGTTTAACTAGCTACTAGGTCTTGTTATTTATAAGCAACTACATCTCACATTACATAATCATATTTCACTCAAGCTAAATGACAAAGATTTGAGCTTTTCTATTAAAAAAGATCTTATTCTAACAAGATCAACACAATCTCTTCATCATTCTTACTATCAATATCATGATATTCAAGATTTGATGTCAGATTGAATCAGATTAATAAACCTCTCATGAGATATGAATTATAATTTGCTTTTTCATTCTTGAAGATCATGATATTGATATTTCTCATTATGTCACAAATTTTAGATATTAGTATGGATCATGATGAAAAATTTTACTAATTTGATCCAAGTTGATATTATTTTACTTAGATATGAATGTATAAATGCACCATCAATATTTTATAAAAATATTGATGGTACATGATTGTAATTGATAATCAATCATCGATTTGTGACTCAAATATAATGTGTCAAGAAAATGATTGCACTAAAAAATATTATTTTTTATCAAATACATTGTGATATATACAACTTTAGTACAAAATTCATATAATAAACCATATTGATTCAAGATCTTATACAACTTCTCCAACGTTGTTGCATTGAATCTCTTAAAAACAATTATCCGTTGCAAAGTAAACGGTGATAAAATGATGAGTAATCTCATTCTCTTTGCAGCAACTTCAGAATTACTTAAAAATATATTTTCACCATGATATGGAATATATATCATAAGATTTATAATTTAACTTGGACTTTTTAACTTTCAAAAGTTGTAAAGATCACAGTTTTTTTGTGAAAAAATAAAATCACATAAATCGTGTGTAATTATCTATAAAGAATATATATCACAATTTCTAAGAGAGTGAAAATTTTGAAGAGATACGCAAATTTTCATCATGTAAATATTCAAGTAATATTTCATCATGTATATATTCTATGCTTGTTCATTGTGAACAAGATTAAAATTACTATTAAAATGCAAGTAATGAACTTAAGAGATGAAGTTTCTTACTGTCACAACTTATCTACTTCCCAAGATTATGAACATCAAGAACAAGATCATCAAAAACATTAACTAATCTTGGATCTTTGTGTAAAAATCTTTCATCTTGAAACTTATTAGTTTCAAGAACTAATGCAATGGTTTCATTGCTCAAAGTATCATATATGCACTCACATCCTGCTTTTGAATAATCTTTCCGTGAAAGACTTTGGCTTCAAGATTTTCCATAGATTCTTTAATCATCTTCAATTAATTAGGATTTAAGTAAAAGAAACTCAAAATAAAAATAAAATTGAATCATAATAGATTATATTTAGTTGTCATGTTAGCCATATGTATACTTCATAGGTAAGAATAAATGTGTTAGTTAATGATAACAAAAACTTAATTTGTGTGATTGTTTGGTAAAAATAAATGTATTAGTTAATAACAACAAAAATTTAATCAATGTGATTGTTTGATAACAAAAAAAACTTAATCTGTATGATTTTCTAGTAAAAATAAACGTATTAGTTAACAACATATAAATAATTCATGTGATGGTTAAATTCGGATCAAATGTGCTAGTTTTTGTATTAATTGAGAGTGACATTTCAACAAACAATGTGTTTGTTAAAAATATTCACAATGTCATCAATGCAACATGATTGAAATGAATTATGGAGATGAAATATCATCTTCTTGTACTTGTTAAGAATATCTATATTTGGAAAAATGCACCAATTTAGATAATCCTCATGTTCAAAGTTTGTGTTTCATTTTCCAATAAACTCTTATTTCAATCCTTACTATTATACACCCATAGTTTTTTTTGTCTTTAATTTATCTCCTAGAGCATATTCTCATCATTTCATTGTATATGATTATCTCATATACTATTCTAAATTTTATCTCTTTTCGCAAACATATAAAGTTAATTTTTTTTTTTACTAATGATTCTTTTATTTAATCATTTGTAGCTCTTTGGACACATAGATTTATTCAAGATTTGATCACCGCCTTCTTGTCTTGCTTCTCATGAGCAATAACTCTCACAGATTGAACATTACAAAATTGATAAACTGATTAATATGATGATTGTCACATACAAGCGAGTGAGCAAAAATCAGATTATAACTAATATCACTGAAGCTTGATTGCGTCCACTGTACATAATCAACAAATAACCTTGAACAACACTTTGTAATAATCTGGTCTTTTGAGGTATTATTATGAAATTCGTCAGGTAAACGGTAATCTTGTGCCAAGTCTTTTACTCGGATGACGCACGCATGGGAACATAATACAGTTTATTGTGTCATGAAGCTTCGGTACACACGTGCCTGGAGAGTCGTGGATGAGCTTCAGCATGTGGATGAGCTTCTGTCTTGTCCTGCAATGGCTTCAAACTGAATGCAATGACAGAGACACGTGGCTCTTCGTCGGATAATATTGGCAGCCGAACGTCCCCTGTTTTGCGCATCTGCACTCCGAGGGGAAGTTGGGGGAACACGTACGGTATTGGAAGGCCCGTACAAGCTTCTATCATCTTTCCTAGAATACTGAAGAATAGGAGGACGACAAAATTCCCGGATCTTACTGCGATGTGTTTAGCTCGAAACTTAATTCTGCATGCATATTTAGACAAATCACAACACTACACAGATTCTATTTGACATTGAACTGCCAAAGTGGGAACGCACTGGAACGTCGGCCTGTCTTTCGAATGAACTCACGGCTGCCATCAGCTGTTCAGGGTAAGTTGGGGCATCCATCCCGTTTACAAAAGATCAGAATGTCCAACTGGAGAAAAGGACGAAATGTACTTTTAGCACACCAGAAGGTTCAGCGGAAGCGACCTCAGCGCCAGCAGCAATGGAGTGTGCCGTGCTCCTGCGACCGACCTTCAGGTCCTCACATGCATGAAGCACGATACTGTGTTCCGTCCGCAAATACGTGAAAACTTTGTATGATGGCAGCGCAGCACACAGAAGGAATTCTGAAAAGTCTGGAGCGAGTGTTCTTCGACGAGCAGGAGTTAGCTTCTGGACAAAATGTGGTAATTTATTTCCCACCATCGGCTCCGGACATTTTCCCCAAGGGCTTCCCATAAGAGACACTGGTGAATCATACGCCAGGAAGAAGATGAGAGACATCTGCGGCTCTCCCCTAGTTACCCCCAGGAAAGTAGATTGAGTGTTTCTCGCGTCAGCGCAACAGAACAGCAGAGGGCGAATGCCTCCTGATGTATCACGTGAGCTGGTGACTTCGCATGAGGTGCGACGAAGTCGCGCAACTTCTTGCGCATGTTTAGGCGATGCAGATTCAAACTGACATCAGTCGAGCTTCAGCCCTTGTGAAGCTTTGCCTCTCAGTCAATGCCTCCAGCTCAAAAGCATGAGACAAAGAGTAAAAATCCGAACAAAAGGCCAGCGGCTGGCAGCAAAGCCTGCTTTTGCACAAGGCACAGCATGATGGATCGAGCAGGGTTCCTCTGGTGTTCGATTCTTCTCGTCGGAGTCGCAAATCTTCATTCAGCAGCAGGCGAAGGCTTCATCACCTCTCCGTTCCAAGCAGATGTGTGGGCATCGAACGTCACCACGGCCAGGGGCCTAGAAATCGACGAAGCAGGCGATGTACTGGTGGTATCGAGAGGCGCAGGAATCGTGGCTCTGTGGGAAGACGCCGACGGCAGAGTCGACCGAACGCTCATCGTCAACAATGAGAATTTGACTCACGGAATCACAATCCACGGCCGTTACTTGTACGCGTCGTCGGGCGATGTCGTGTGGCGCTGGAGCTACACCGCAGGCCGGCGCCGCGTGGAGTCGGCGCCGCAGGTGGTCGTCCGCAACATTCAAAACGACGAAGACGGGAACTCGGTGCGCGGCAACCACTTCACCCGAACGTTGGCAGCCGCGGACGGGATCCTGTACGTGAGCGTCGGGTCCATCGGGAACGTGGATTCGAACTCGTACCGCGCGCGTCTGCGGTCGTTCGACCTCGAGCGCATCCCCGCGGGCGGACACGACTTCGCCGACGGGGCCGTGTTCGCCGACGGCCTGCGGAACGAGGTCGGCCTCGCCTTCGATGCCCGAGGCCGGCTATGGGGGGTGGAGAATGGGGCGGACGAATTGGTGCGCGACGATCTGGGCGGGGACATTCACAATGACAATCCGGGCGAGGAGATGAATCTCTTCGATGGGCCTCCGGGATCGCACTACGGCTACCCCTACTGCTGGACGGAGTACAATCTGCCCAACGGGACGGGGCAGGGCCGGGGTTCGCAGTGGGCATGGCCAACTCTCATCAACAGCACCATCACCGATTCCTGGTGCCGCAACGCGAGCAACAACAGGCCGCCCGAAACCGTGATGCAGGCGCACTCGGCGCCCTTGGGCGTCACGTTCTTCAGCGGTGCCAATTGCGGAGGTCGACTCCCGGCTTCCGACGCCAGAAATAACGAGACTCTGTACGCCTTCGGTTGTGAATACGCGGGCGATGCATTCGTCGCTCTGCACGGTTCTTGGAACCGGGATGTTGCTGTCGGATATAAAGTGGTCCGGATCAAAATCGATCCCTCCTCGGGATTGCCCGTAGCCGGCAGTGCAGCCGTGCAGGACATCTTTGGCCAGGTTAGTCCAGAGTCAACTTGTGGCACTCCCGCAGGCGTGGTCTGCATTCGCCCAGTGGATCTCAAGTTCACCAGAGGAGGAGCTCTGTTGGTCACTGCCGATGCTAGTGGAGAGATTTACAGAATCGTTCAGAGTAGTAATAGTAGTAGTAGTATCACGGTGGATACACCTAGTCCTAGTCCATCCCCGATGGGATCATCCGCAACGAGAGTAGCACTGCTGAGTACATGCAGCGTCCTCTTGGCCACTGTCCTGTCTTCATTGCTTTTGGCGTAGAATATTGTAGTGAGATTGAAATAGCAGAGCTGGACTGTGAATCTGATTCTGCCGCATTCACCTCCATCAAAGCGCACCGTGTTCGGATTTCCAGACGTTGCTGTCACAGACTTGTACAGATTATCATGGAGTGCATTCGAACCTCGAGAAAAGGAGTGGCCTTGGGAATTCGCCGTGGATTGCATTCTCCCATGTCTATGCTCACAGTGTATGATCGAATCAACAGAATGTACCTTCCTTTTGTCTACTCGTAAGATTGTTTTCCTCTCCTTTTCCCATATTTCGTCCTATACACGCAGCGTCCAGTTCTCTACATCTGTAATCCAGCGCAGAAAATTTTCTCCCAGCTCAGGCACCTTTTCCAGTCGAATTACCTTTGTTGGAGCCAGGTTCTGTCTATGTTCCTTCGGATCCACAGAAAGAGCAATGATGTGACTACGATTACGCCTGGTAGAGTAGGTCATGTACAGTAGCTACTCCACTCTTCAAGCTTTGCAAAACCATACGACGTCTCCTTCGTAAGCAGTGGCATCTTATCATCCACATAGTCACCATTCTTCCATTGAGCGATTGAGATACTTCTTTCCAGTGTGTCGTCCATGAGAGAGCGAACAATGGTGTGGCGGTAATAAATCTGGATACAGTTAATAGTCGGTTGAGTGGTAACTCACATGCTCAGCTTGACTCTCTCTACTGGTAATCTTTTAGATCATAACAAATTTTTATCCGAGCAACTTTCGTTCATTACATTCATCCACCTTCACGTCAATAAATCTTTCTCTGACCGACTGTCATTCTATGAAAGAATGTCATTCTCTGCTAGAAACCTTCACATCATGCAAGACATGTGTAGCCCTCCAACAATGATGAATAAGGGACTATAGACACTAACCACGCCCATCCTTAATTTGGAGTAGGCAAAGTTCTGGATCTGGGTTTTGTCTTTCCTCTGTATGCATCTCGCACCTGGTCTTCTTACGTTAATACAAGCAAAGGAGAAATGAAGCAAAGTAAGGTCCGAAAGTAGCAGTATATAAGCTTTATGAAAATAATGATATAAAAAAAGTAAATGCAGCACAAGGTTCACAGAATAGAGGAAATCTCTCCAACCAAGAACAAAGAAAAAATAATAATAATCACATTTTTATAATCACATCAACCACATTGTTCATTTATATTTATATATTTATCTCTTGCATTAAAGTAGTGAATACACGATCATATGCATACTACGATAGCGATAACAATATAATAAGTGTTTCAAAATCATGGACAGAACCTCAGTAATATTGATTATAAAGTTCTTCTTCTAGTTTGTAGAAGTTTTTAATGCAATCAACTCTCCTTTTGATAGTTTCTTTTGGAATTCAGAATTTATTGCTAAGAAAGATTTTGGGAAAAAAATATGTAACATGTTTGAGTCACGTTACGATTACTTAAGATACAAACCAGGAGATTAACATGTATGGTAGTTTTCAGAATTCCATATGGGCAAAAAGCTCATGTTCTTAGTGAAAACCAAAGTTTTGTGTAGGGATGTGTGCGTCTCAATTTCGTTTAATTTTTCGTTTGTTTTTCATGTTTGCATTTTCGGATTTTATAACCAAAATTTTAAAACATTTCCTTTACAGAAATAGTGTCAAACGACAATTTGAGTAATCCATACGGTTTCATACATGAGCTTCCTAGCTGCATGCAAATATATAGCGTTACACTTACGCCAAAGACTTTTGTATTTTAATCACTCTAAAGCCGAGCAGTTCATATTGAAGAACACGATCACAGTCAGCGATGAATATTTTTTGAGAAATGGATCATTCTTTTGCAGATCACGCAAGTTGCTAGTGCATGTACATCAATTTTCTTAATTTTTAATTTCCATCTTTTCTGTTTCAAGTTGATCTTCATCAAAGTTTGTAAGGATCTCGAGAACTAGACAGTCATGAGCAGAGAAAATTGCAGTAAAATAGTCAAATCTGCATGTTATCTCGCTCACTATCGAGAAGTTCATGAAGAGCAAGCTCTTTTAACCCTTAAAATTGTAGATCCGTATAACGTTCTCTTTTCCTGAGTTTGAAGACACCGTGTTTCGCATGTTCATTCCGCTACTACTAGCGAACATCCAAAGCCTCTCTCGCCGACGGGGAGCGACCTGTGCAATACTGATGGTTTAGCATAAATAATTGTTCTGGTTTACAAAATTATAATCAACCGATTGTAAGCTATAATTTCGCAAATTGAAATCCTGTCAACTGCATAAGGCCGTGTGAGAACATCACAATGACATGAAATGATTTCAACCAATGTGATCAATTTATGTGTACAAGCGACTCCCTGGGGCCAAGGGTGTGATGATACAACTCTTGGAAATCCTCAAAGCGGAATTCTGGAGAGCTGAGAGAACGATCTACGGGAGTCTTTCGCAAGCCGATGCCGATGGTCGAATGTACTGGTTGGTTGATGGCGAGGGGATCTTCCGGCAGTTATATAGGGGACCGCGCGGCGTGGCGCGGCCACAGTCCTGCGACAGCGACGCGACAGGCAACGTCCGCGTGCAACCGATCCCCGTCCCAGGCAGGCGGCAGGCAGACGCTGCTTCATCGGGCGTCCGAGTTCTGCGGAGTCTGGTTCGAGTTTGAACGTCAGGAGCGTCTGGAGCGTCTAGAGCGCGTGCTGAGGAGTGGCTGCAGAGCGCGAGGAGATGTGATGTAGCTCTCTTGCTCCTTCACTCGGCGTTCGCCCTGTTTCCGGGCGAAGCAAGGGCAAATTGCAAGAGATGTCGATCCACCGGGGCACATTTCAGTCCAGGAGTCTCAGTGATTCGGGAGCTCGAGCACATTTGTGAGGAGATTCCGCGCTGCCGGCCGGCGCTACGCCGAATTGATGAAATTTTCTGATTGTTAAGAAGTTGGCTTCTCCGAAATCACTCTGCGAGCGGGTTTTTGATTCGCAATGGGGATCTTCAGGTCTCTCGATTTCTCCGAAACACTCGCTCGCTTGAACTGCCAATTGCTTCGAAGATTTCCAACCTGCTGCCGTTACTCTGAAACAGCTGCGAAATTTGAATGCCTCAGATCTCTGTGAACTAATCTGAACAGTTTAAGCGACAGCAGTTAGTTTAAATTTGCTAGCAGACGTTGCGAAATGATCACTTCTCGTAGATTCTTATACTGCACGTGACTTCGGAAAATTTTTCTCTGATCAGAAAGAAGAGGTTGCCGAGGTCCGAAGCAGCCATGGCAGAGGCTGCAGACATGGGTCCCATACAATTGCAACTGGATGGTCACCGTCTAACTTTCGACCATGGCGAATGGCAACCGGGTCTCTCTCTCGTCCTCTTCCTTTTCCGGTATTGCAGCCAATTGTTCACTAAGTTTGTTTGGCACAGCTAGCACAAAACAGCGCATCAGAAGATGCAATCCCGCTCTCAACTGCTCCGTACGAGTGGTGAGTGTATCCCTGACAATCAATCTCATCGCAAAATTACTTAGTTTATCTTCGCATACTTACGAGCCCTCTCTAGCTGAGACGGCAGCACATCGTCCTCGTCAACCTGCACCATATGCTAAATTCGGGCGTTCGTGTTTGTACCACCTTCTTGCTGTCTTTCCTGAAACTAGTCTTTGTAACTCCACACTTCGATCGACAAGAGTCCCAATCGCAGTCTGTCCAATCCTTAACTTGTACATGAATCCTTGACTCGGAATCTCAGATTCCGAGTTCAGCCAGCCAAGGATTCATGTACGAGTTGCTCCAGGCTACTCTACTATTCTGCGTGCATCAGGAAATTTCATCTTTCAAACGGATCTTATAACAGAGCATTATGATGCTTGTCGGTGACAGTAGAAGGGAACCTTGTTTCGGCTTAAAGTAGATGTTTCTTTCATATGAAGGGAATCCAGAAATCGCAAGTTTTGCTGCTTGAGCGCTGAGCAGAAGACGCTCTAAGATGGAACGAACAAGTGAGGAATCGAAGATCGTCACAGCCTCTGCAAGAATTGATGACTGAAAGAGATGGGTCCATGGTCGACTCTAGAATTGGTGATCGATCTCAGAAAACTGACATCTCTTGCGGCATGGCTTTACAGAGTACGAGGAGATGCCCGAAGGTGAAGGGGCTATCGAGGCCGAGTTGTTAGAACTGAGGCGCGAGAAACGAAAAATGGTTAGTCACATACCAGAAGCGCTAGTGTAGTAGTCATGAGCGGAGCCTATCAGTCCACGGTCGTTTATGTCGTGCACATCCTGCTGTTCAACATGTCTGAAGTCGATCACAATGCAGAAGAAGGAGCTGGAGAAGTATCAAGCACAGAGAGAAGAAATGAAAGAACTGAAGGAGCGCTGGAACCTTCTGGACTTCAAATATCAACTACTTCTAGACATGGTACTATATTTAAAACCAATCCGAAGGAAACTGGAAAATGATTGCAGCCGTGCTTGATGAAAATTCAGATGAGGTGGAAATACTCATAGTTCTTCTTGGTGCGTTCCACCTTCAACGTGATGGACGTGCCATTTCTAACTCTGATACTGTGGACTGGATGCAGTGGACAATGAGAGAACTTGACATTAAAAGGGCTCAAGAGGAAGGCTTGACACCAAAAAAGACTCGACACTCGACACACATAAATTAGGAAATGTAAAGCAGGTGCAACCAGAAAAAAAAGCGAGCAAAGAGTACTTCTTTGTGCAAGAAGTAAGTTCATACTTGGCTTCCTCGGATTATGTTAATGGTAAATGGAGCTTTGGAGGTGCACAAGCGCTCACTTCATAGATTTTAATAAAACTTTTGACACTGTTACTTTTGAGTTATTATGGAAAAGGTTGCAACCATTGGAATATCACCGGATCTTCTAGTAGCCTATATGTAATACCATTTTGTTCTGGCCAAGATGAACACTTTTCAAACTGAAAAGAGTACCATTGGAATGATTCAAGGTTGTACTCTCTATTGGAAAATAACTCTTCGGTCCATATCACAATACTCAGTTTTCAATCATGACTGGTATCTTTCAGAATGTACTGAATCGTATGTCATACCCGTATTAAAAGCCTCGCGTCTACGTAGGTCTTGTGATTGTCGCATATGATATTTCCCCACTTTTTTTGCTTCGTCTCAAGAGTTTGTTCTTCTTTCATGTGGCTCCATGAAAACTCGATGCAAACACGTCTCTCTCTAGATATGTAAACGGAAACGAAACGAAGCAACCAGATAAGAAATTAAGCAGTAAAGAAGACTGTGACACCAAGAGCACCTGATAGTATAAGAGGATGGTGAAGTGTCGTAAGCGAATTGTGTCGGGGAAGACACAATTCGGGGAATGCTAAGCACGGAAGCAAACCAAAACCTTCAACATAAACGTGCAAATAGACGCAATGTAGAACTCAAGCATCACATCGTCTTCAAACCGCAACGCTACAAATTGAGATCAAACTCGATCACTCGACTTTGATCTCAATTTGTTGATTCTTACTTCGAGGCTGCGGAGCACATAAGGGTCTTTTATATTTTAGACATCACGGTGTAAATTGAGATTGAAACGCAACCAATGTTCACCGGCCGTCCAGACTGAAGAGATTGGTCTCTATGTCAGCGCAAAGTAATTTCCCAGTTTTCCTTTTGCAACTCTCGCTGAGCGCAGGTCTAAACGAAGTCATTAATGTTGCTGAATCGAGCAGCAACCCTTTCCACATTAGTGCCAGGTCTCACCGCGGTTCAGATGTATAATGCCGGTTAGCAAAATCCTTGTTAGTAGTCACATAGTGATGCGCTTCATGGATAATCTATCCATATTATTTTACACTAATTACATTGAATACAAATCGAGCAAAGAGTTTCCAATGCTTAGCAGAGACACAGTTATATATCCAAGTGAAAAGTTGATGAAAGTTAGATAGTCAAAATCAAAACTTGTCAATTTTGATTTCAGATCAACACATTTTACAACTATTATCATGAAAACATGAGCCCATCTCAAGTTAAAATATTTTCGACGAACTTTGTTTCAATTTCACAATCATGATTGATCAAAACTTGGATAAGACACGAGAGTTGCATCTAAAACATTTTCAAAGATTAGATTCTCGTTTTTTATGTTGATATCTTTATTGCGTAAAAATTTTATTCTTAATTTCGAAACGCATAATCACAGTAGCTAAAGCTACAGTTTAGAAATGAAAGATATGATAGGAAACACGAGTATATAATTTTAATTTGAATAAAGCCTTAAACAGAACTGAATGGTTTTAGTAAATCGATAATTTACTAAAATGTGTGAATTTTCATTTATTACATGTATACATTTATCATTTCAGTTATTTTAATCTTAACATCCTTATTAATGATTGAAAATAAGTACTCAAGACATGTTTCCAAATTTTCAGATATTACTCTTTCCTTTTTTATCCTTTAAAAATTTCATTTTATATGATCGTAGCGTAGAAGAATAAATATATTTCAATATCCTTTAAGTATGTGATTTTTGGATAATTTTGAAACCTATTCATACATAAAAATTGTTTGACTCGAAACTTTCCAATGTACTCTGAGGTATACAATTGTCAGATTTGATGAAGTAAAGAAACTTAACACACACACAAGATGACAATAGTAGTTAGTTAGAGTCGTTCAAATAACAAACCATTGATTTTTTTGATTCATTTGAAAACATTTATAATTCATTGAACTATATTTTTTTAGAATCATGTAGATTTTCTTATTCCAATTGTGGTTGAATCAGTAAATATGAACGTAAATATAAGTAAATTCAAGTGTAGTCAATATGTAATGAAAGGTAACATTGGCCATTGCTGTTCTACCATGAGTTGGTTGATTCAAGATCTACTGATGCAGTAAATTTCTCCAACTAAAATTTTATCAGCTTTTCTCTATCTTTGTCCGTTATAGTATCAGTCAAGTTCAAACTGAATTCCGCTTTCGGTGATTTTCAACGCATTTGTGGGGCATAATTTTCCCAAAAAAACAAAAGAACTGGTGATAACTCACTAAGCATAAGTTAGAGGCATATTTGTTGTAGGGCATATATTGCAGCAAGATTTTAATGAATCTAAGCTATGGGGGCCGACACCTTGGCCAGTTGCAGCCACAAGGAAGAAGTATTTGTTTTGTGGGGAATGGAGGGAGCAATAAATGTTCTGGGAATGGAACTATGGAAGATAAATAGAGCGATTCCGAGCTTCCTTCACGAGAGAGGAAGCTATGCGAACCCGAAGGCAAGTATACACTCACTACATGTTATCCTGCGCTAATGGTTCCCTGTTTGGCTCAGCAGAGATAACAGTTATAGAGTGCGAGAGCACACATCGAATTTGCACACACCCTTTTGAATTGGTGGCAGCGCAGCCAGAGCTCTGCGTGAATTTCGTCGATCGTCGCCACGATTTCTCACTGTGGCGATCAAATCCGTTCTCCGTGGGGGTCGTCTCAGGGGCTCCGCACCCAAAGAAAAGAGTCGGTAGGTGACGCGCTTCAGAGTGTCGCAGGTCGGTCTCTATTCTCTGCTTCTCTCTATCTTTTCCTTCCCCATTTCGTGGACTTGAGATCTGCCCTGGACTTGATCGGCTGCCGGGAGAGATGTGAGTCGTGTGATTCCGTGTTTATGGATTCTTGTTGTGTTTTTTTACCATGAGGGGATTTTAAGCATTCATTTCGATTCTGTTTCTGGAGACCGACTTCCTTTGTTTTGAAGAATCTGCTCGAAAATGCTTCCTCTGTTTTCATGCATCCACGTCAGGTTGATTTTCCATCTTGTCTACTCCGACGCGCTCACGCTGATGTTTGTTGTGGACCTAGCTGAAATCGGCAGAGTGTGCGATGAGATGCTCATCTTCTATCAAGCATCTCCTTAGGTCTGGCTCTGGCCTTTTTCTCTCTTCAGTGTCAGAACTTAGCTATCCTGCTCAGGGACGAAGCTTCAGAAGCCTGATGCAATTTCAAGGACAATAAATGATGATGTTTATATCTCTGTTTTCCTGTGGTTGGGTCAGTAAGTAAGAGAAGCATGTGGTTTGATGTTCTCGTAAAAGGCCAATGATTTCATCATCAACAGGAGCTGAGAAATTTTCTTGAAACATCTTATTTTGACGTTTACACCTTGTCGAGATCTTTAACATCTCTAATTCCTACTTGATCTTCGAGGTTTGAGGCGAATTTCTATCATCTTATCAACTTCTCTGTACTGGAAGTCAAATATTCAGCTATGACTTTTTCAATGTCACCGCTGCCAATATCCGGTTAAAATAGCGGTATTGGTGCCCGAAGAATGTAAGCAGAGTATCAAAAGGAGGATACTGAAATTGAGTGAGACTACTCAATGAAGAGAAGCTCTATAAGAAGATGACACCTGACTTTCCTGGTCCTGCTGCTACTCTGATGTGATTGACATTTTTGAAGAACAGGATTCAGTACAAATTATGTTCAGTTTCTCGTCAGCATACCCTTCGCTTTGGTAAGCTTTGGAAATAAGTGAAAGTGGTGTTTTCGATGTTTAACTGAAAGATTTGCTTCACGTGTCCAGGCCCAGTCTGTCTCACCTCATAGTCGACAACTAAACATCAAGAAAAATGCAAATGTTGAAGGATTACCGGCCATGACGCTCTTTTATGAGTGTAGTGCGGACGCATTTTCTGAGTAGTCCAGCGTATCAGACTTACGTTTTCGAGCACGTTGAGAAGAGCTTGGCTTTGAAGAAGGGCAGCAGATTCCTCGTATCAACCCAAACGCCAGTAGCCATGGGTGGTGGCGCTGGCCCTAATTCTCAGGGCAGAGGTAGAGGTGGAGGTAGTCGAGGTGGTGGTGGTGGACGGGGCAGAGGTGGGGGCGGTCGAGGTGGCGGTGGCGGTGGCCAACGTTGGTGGGATCCTGAATGGAGAGCTGAAAGATTGAGACAGATGCGTGAAGAGGTTTGCAGATTACCCTACCTTGAGCTACTCAATATGTATGACATTTGCCTGATAACTTTCGATAACTGGAGCTGAGATATGTTTTTCTTTTGAACAGGGTCCTAACGAAGAGCAGTTAGATCAAAATGAATGGTGGGAGCGGCTAGAGCAGCTCAGAGCCAGAAATGATCGACAGGAAGAAATTATCAAAACCAACTATGGTCGAGAGGGAGCTCAGCTTCTCGAAGGCATGGCTAATCAGCTCGACCTGTATTTGTAAGTTCATCTTCCTATTTAGGGTTTAATTACAGCATGAGTGTGCATTTTGTTGTCCTAGATAGCCATATGAGTTCTTGCTCTTTCTCTGACGAGGTTGCCTTTGGATGATGTTGGGAAGGAAGTCATGCATACAACAAAGGGAAAAATACAGTTCTTGTTGTCAGCAAAATACCTTTACCAAACTATCGAGCTGATCTGGACGATCGCCATGGCTCTTCACAACGTCAGGTACAGCGCAGTAAAGTTCATTTGAGATCTAGCTTGTTAATGCAAGATAAGAGCTTGTACCATCTATAATTTTTATGTTTTTAATCCTTGAAAATATGTGCAGATCAGGATGTCGTCCGATACAGAGAATCGAGTTGAAAATATGTTGGCTGGTATACGCGAGGCAGATGCACATACTGCAGCAAGTCTGCCAAAAGAACCTGAGAATTCTTCTGTGCAGCCCACAGTGGCACCCTATAGACTCGGTGCAAGAAAGGGTAATCAAACTGATCTGGTGGCACCCATGTCGATGACCCAGATCGACTCAGAAAAGCTCAATGCAGATTTGCGAGAAAAACAGCGGCGCCTTCAGGTCTGTGTAGATTGTTTATTGCCATTCTCTGAATGCTTGGCTGCTTGAGTAATCCACAGTTTACAAGCATCTATGAAGGCCAGTATTCCATGGTGGATGTATCCGTTTCTGAGTCATGCTTTTGACAGAAACTACAATTCTTAGTTATACGAAAGAAAAGAGAGATAAGAAGAGGCAAGATGTTTGGAACTCTTGTCATCACGACATTGGCTGCTCATTGTTCATAAGCTTGGGCAAAGTTTGCCAGAAAAGAAAATATGGAAACCGTTACCTCCTCTTTCATCTAAACAGCTTTCTCGAGATACTACACGTACCCATATTTACAAATTCAAGGGGTAAGCAAAAGACATATATGAAGATCGAGATTTGGAACTTCTTGCCATGTACCACTTACTCCTTATCAGTTGTGTACAGACACTACCGGCAGTCAAGGCCATGTCTGTCTTCCGAGAGAAGCTGCCCGCATTCAAGATGAAAGAGGAGCTGCTGCGAGCTGTCGCCAACAATCAGGTACATGCTTTGAAGCTCATGTTGATTTTAGAGTTGGAGCTTGATACATATCTGGCAGAAATGGACATGCGTTTTTTAGTATTTAAGGCAAAGGTAAGCTGCTGTTTGTCTGGCCATTCAACAGTATGCCTGTCCTCGGTTTCTTGCTCAAAAACCTCATGAAAGCTAGGAATCACCCAAACGCTGTTGAAGTCTGATTATAGAGAAACAAGCATGAAATCGCCATCTTCTGACTACCAGTGATCCAAATTTCCTGGAGGATGTTCTGTCGGCGTCCTACTTCAGCGCTTGGTACCTGGACTCTTTCGAGCTCCAATACCAACTTCAGGACTGGCTTAACCTTGATCTTGCATCTAGAGCACGATCTATCTTGTTGTTTAGAATCCTGTTACAGGAGACCAGGCTAGCTCGTGTGAGGCTTATTATAATCTCTACCAAAGATGTGCCAGCAGGATAAATATGGTACAGGTCTGCAAGGGAGGCCGACAACATGTAAATCTGTTGAAGGTTGTGCCGCAGGCATAACCTTATTGTTTTGTGAGTACATAGGTCTTGCTGCTTCTCACACCATCCTTCATTAGGACGTCCCAATGCAGCTGCTCGTTGCTTGAGTCTGTCACCAAGGTAACCCTTATAGTACCCATGCAATTGGACAAACTAGTGGGCTGGGTATATGCTCTTCCAGACCATGGTTAGTCTGGCAGCTTGCCATTCTTTCTCTCCTTTTGGTATCTATCAAGTGTCTCCGATGTGATACTTATTACGCAACATGTCCGAAGAGAATTATGAGAAATCCCGCATCTATCAAAGCCATACCCATTATATCAAGAATTTACATGTAGAATACTCTTTTGAACCCATAACAGAGCTAGATAATGCAGTGTGAAGTGGCCTTATGACTCTGAATTATTTACTAATTTCTTTGGGCAAGATTTTATAACGTGATTACCGGCACTCACATAAAGTGCCGAATCATTTTTAAGTAAAGTGGTATGTTTGTGAAGAATCCACCGAAACTTTGGACGTTGTATCCGGCAGAAAATAGCATAGAATTTAGCATTCCAGCAGATGCCAACTATAAGAACAACTTTAAATCGAATATTGGACAACTGTACAAATGAAGCACGAATCCACATATGGTCAAACATTGCACCCATGCAGTACCACCGTTGAGAGTGGACAATCGAGATTCGGATGGGGCATAAAAATGCATATGATGTCCGTATTTGAGCTTGTCCACAGTACAAGAAACTGTAAAGCAATGATATTATGCCGAACCAACTTTCGTCTGGGACCCAAACCACTCTCCTTGTTCTGAAAAGCAGTCTTTATGGATGATATCATTGTCAATCCTAATTAACGAATGATCTGATACTCTAAAGTATGCGATTTTTCCAACTGAGTTGTGCGTGATAATGCAAATTTTTCGAGGATACTTGAGATGTTGTTACACTGGTGAATTGAATTTCATCAAATCTCCTCCTTGTATTGAAGCCCCCAAGAAACCTCATGCACTTCCTTCAACTTGATACTGTGCCGAATTCACTGACAATCTGTAAAGTGAATGAGCCTCCTGACGACAATGCGCTGAATACGGTATCTCCTACCAGTAAACTTGACATGTTGCTAGTCAACATGAACAATTTAGATTGCGAGAATTTGGACCAGGTCAATATATTGATACCGAGTGGGCAAGTAGAGTGTGATAGCTCATTCGCATGTACGTGAGAAGTATGACATGTGATTGAATATTTGACTATGTCGAGGGCGAGGAGGATTCCATCATGTTCTTCCAACAGATTCAGCTGACTTATTTGTCATTTTGGCTACAGGTGGTTGTGGTTTCTGGAGAAACTGGATGTGGTAAAACAACACAGCTGCCCCAATTTTTGTTAGAACAAGAGGTAGAAGCGGGCCGTGGTTCAAAGTGCAACATTATCTGTACCCAGCCTCGCCGTATATCTGCCATGTCGGTGGCTGCAAGAGTGGCAGCCGAACGAGGTGATGCTTTGGGGCAAAGCGTGGGGTATCAAATTCGATTGGAGTCAAAGAGATCGGAAAACACCCGATTGCTTTTCTGTACGACGGGAGTCCTACTTCGTCGTCTGGTATGAACTTTAGTACCATCCCCGTTTCGTTTAGTAGTTGCGTCGATAAGTTTGGCAAGATGGAAATGTTTCTCGTTCAACTCATAGTCATTGCTATGCACGATTGAGTGAATCCGCAATGACAGTAATTTTGAGTGCAGTTTCCGGGCTTTCCTCAAACGTTTACAAAAATTTTCTCAACGCTCGGTCAAGGTGCAGGTCTGTGACCTTCAGATTATGACGGACACATACTGATAAGAACGTCGTATATTCATATCACGCAGGTTCAAGAGCCAGAGTTAGCGGGAGTCAGTCACGTGATGGTGGACGAAATTCACGAGCGTGGAATGAACGAGGACTTTCTGCTCATCATATTGCGAGACCTACTTCCACGCCGACCTGATCTTCGTTTGGTACTAATGAGTGCCACCATCAATGCAGAACTCTTCTCCAAGTATTTTGGCAATGCTCCCATGATGCATATACCGGTAATGGTCATATATTCCTCTTCAAGTGCAGGGCTTAATTTGAAGTGATAATGTATAAAATAAATCTACCGAGGCCCATCATGGTACTGTCATGAAGTCTTCGCGTACTTGAGATCTTCATTTCGTTAGAAGGTGCAAGTGAAGAAGCTGAGCTCTGCTTGGGTGCCCTTTAAATCAAAGAACACTGAAGGCTTTCGTGTTGTGCTGCAGGGTTTTACTTTCCCGGTGCAAGAGCTTTTCCTTGAAGACGTGCTTGAGAAGACTCGGTATAGAGTAGGTGCAGACCAACAACCCTCTAGCAATTACGGAGGACAAAGACGGAGAACACAAGAGAAGAAGAGAGACCCTATCACTCAGGCTTTCGAGGTGACTACACCGTTGCCTCACACTCACAGTGTAGGAGTAGAACTGTAATTGTTTTTCAACCAAATGAACCCCATATCGAGGCGCACCAATTGAGTGTCCGCTGTAGTTGTGCTCCGATACTTGCTTACTTGCTTCATTTATACGTCCGAGTCCAATTTTATTGTCATAGCATTTCTTTACAAAACTGATGCGATGGTTATGTTTTGTCTCATGACTTCCTATATTTGGCAGAATGCGGATATTGACGCTGAGTTTCGTCGTTACAGCCGTGGCACTCAGTTGTCTCTGAAGGCGTGGAATGGCGATGAGCTTGACCTTGGACTGGTATGTTTTTCTTCTACGATGCTCTATGCCTCTTTGATTTGGTAATTGTGTTTTGCGTTTCTCCTTGCTTATAATGATGTTTCTTTGGATTTCTTAGTCAGGACTCTTGTTAACGGCAATATATTGTGGACGAGCAAGATTAAATGCTATCGAGAAGTTTTGTATCGGGTGCAGTTCTTGTCCATGCTGTTCAGTGTTGTGAATCTCATAGCCAAAACAAGGTAATGAGAATTTCTTGATTGGTGCTATGTTTCAGGTAGAGTCTACAATTGAGCACATATGTGAGCGTGAGAGTGAAGAGGGGGCTTTACTTGTCTTTCTGACGGGATGGGACGATATATCAAAACTTATGGAAAAGCTGAAAGCTAATGCTGCTCTGGGAAATGCGAGCCGATACTTACTGCTGCCTTTGCATGGGTCTATGCCTACTATCAACCAGAGGGAAATTTTTCAGCCGCCTCCTCGTGGCGTAAGGTAAACTTTCACTCCATTTCTAAGTTGCTAGTAGTTTGTTAGCCCATTCGCAAGTCTTTAGTGATAAATAAGGGTCAGGCTCGAAGGGATGTACAACTTCCTTCTATTACTACCCCGAGGAGATATATGTGGACTATATGTATGAAGAAAAAAGTAAAATTTTAGTATATGATGCATAGTGTAGAGCATGAACCCTCAATTGTGAAATGTATTTAAGCACTTGGTCCTTCAAAGTTTTATGGCCGAATTTACTCCGAATACCGTAAGAAGATGTCTTTCGGATTTTAATATTTTGTTAGTATCTTCTAATGTCGAGTTCCATGAAGGATTTCTCTCTCATGCTGCATGAACTCCATAATGCGGCTCCTCTGCCCTGTTCGTATTGCCTCCACGTCAGTCATCAACTTTACTGTGAACGGGAAGCAGGACCAAGCTCTTGATATCTTAGATATATTGCTAGGCTATCGAACCCGTAAACATGATCAAATAAAACACGACTTCATATTTGTGTCGTACCTTTCAGTAAACTGTACTTACTATGAGTCCTTCGTGCAGGAAAATTGTGTTAGCAACAAATATCGCAGAAACAAGTATCACAATTGATGATGTGGTTTATGTGATCGATTGCGGAAAAGCCAAAGAGACCAGCTACGATGCTCTAAACAAGCTTGCTTGTTTACTTCCCTCGTGGATCTCCAAAGCTTCAGCTCACCAGGTATATCAACGAAGCAATCTTCGGACTACAATCTTCCTAGCTTTGGATACATGGGCTCTCATGGCGACCCTTTTGGAGTTGAAGTTCAACAAACAAGAATGTCTGAGAAGACCGTTGCATAACCCGCAGAATCACGTGATGGTCCAGTTCGTCGCTAACTTTGTGTTTGAGTCAACATGCTGTTGCCTTTTGAGCTGTTGCCAACCTTCAAGAAATGTTTGGTTTTTTCCAGAGACGAGGTCGAGCTGGAAGAGTTCGGGCTGGAGTTTGCTACCACCTATATCCGAAATTAGTGTACGATGAGATGCTGAAGTTTCAGTTGCCTGAAATTCTCCGAACTCCATTACAAGAGCTTTGCCTACAAATCAAGAGTTTAGGGCTTGGAAGCATAGGAAACTTCCTTTCAAAAGCCTTGCAACCACCAGAAGCCATGGCAGTTCAAAACGCCATTGATCTTCTTAAAACCATTGGGGCCTTGGACGATAAGGAAGATTTAACACCACTCGGTAAATTATTTTGATTGATCTTCCTCATGTTATAAACCGGTAACTAGCACAGACAGACTGGATCACCTAGCCATCTAGGGCAGTCAGGCTTCCTCTTACGACGCAACTAGTAGCTTTTCGAGTTACATCAACAGAGATACGCTCTCACTTACTAACCAGCGAATCACGTGAAATACTTAGAAGTTCGTGTACTGGATTTTTTTTTGAAGAAATGCCAGATTTGTCCACAGGATGCTGATGAGCAGTTGGTGCCTCTGTCTACAGGAAGTCATCTTGCGCAGTTACCCGTAGATCCGAAGGTAGGGAAGATGCTTCTGATGGGAGCTGTTTTTCAGTGTCTGGGCCCGGCACTTACCATCGCTGCAGCTCTGGCTCATCGCGATCCCTTTGTTCTTCCTATTGAGAGGAAGGAGGAAGCCGATGAATCCAGACGGCGTTTCGCTGGCGACACGCAGAGGTAATATTTATTCTCAAAACATCAGCTTGTTTTGGACGTACAGAGCTCCATTGTTCTTTAATAGCATTTATCTTGTTCAAAAGCTGTAACAACATGCATATCTTATCCCTTTACCGAAATTACTTTTCAGTGATCATGTAGCCCTTCTAAGAGCATACGACAGTTGGCAAGCTGCGAAGCGTGAAGGATGGGAGAAAAACTTTTGTTGGACGAACTATTTGTCACCTCCTACTCTGCAAATGATGGAAGACATGCGCCGGCAGTTTGTGGATCTGATATCTGATATTGGATTTGTCGACAAGCGTCGACTTCAGGTTAGCGTTTCACCTCATCGTTTGATGACGTGTCCGTCCCCAGCATTCATCTTTTTCTAACAGTTCTTGCTCTTGTGCAGGAGTACAATGTATACAGCGGTGATATGGAAATGGTGAAGGCAGTGCTTTGTGCGGGACTCTTTCCCAGTGTGGTCCAATGTAAGCAACGTGGTAAACGCACCGTTTTCTTCACCAAGGAAGACGGGAAAGTGGAACCTCATCCAGCGTCAGTCAATGCACGGGTCAACTACTTCCCAGAACCTTGGCTCGTCTACAGCGACAAAGTTAAAACGAGTGGAATCTACGTACGACAATCAACCAATCTATCGGATTACGCGCTTCTCATGTTCGGAGGTAGCCTGAGTCCCAGTAAAGAGGGATTCGGAGTCGACATGCTCGATGGGTACTTGCAATTTCAAGCTCCGGCGAAAACCATCCAACTGGTGCAGGTAATTTACCATCCTAGACGGCAAACCAGTGGAGAACCGAGTGTAGATTCGATATCCTCTCTCTGTCCGTTCAATTTTAATTAGTCGTTGTAAGCAGCACTACGAAGAGACAGGTCTGAAGGTTCCATCACCCTGTCCTATTAGGGTCAGCGGCTTTCAAGTACCTTTACCTGGCCTCTTACCATATTCTCTCTCTCTCTCTTTTGTTTTTCGAATTTCTTCGGCCTCTGGACATGATTCCACTGTCCGTAGATCATTTGCGGAGGTACTAAGCAAGTGCTCCTGCATGCTCACTCTTGTGCCCGTTGGCTGGTAACAGGATCTGCGCTACGAGCTAGACCTGTTGCTGGAGCGCAAGGTCAAGGAACCGCAGTTTGACATTCACAAGGAGGGCAAAGGAGTCGTAAACGCGGTTTTGGAGCTTCTGCATAGTGGCCAGCGCAAGTCTTATTCTTCTCCATCTTCGGCCTGGGGACCCGATGACGGCGATCGGGCTCAAGGATCTTCCTCCTCTTCTTCCCGACCGTACCATGGCACCGGCTTCAACTCCAGGCGTTAGGCGTAGCAAATTTTGATACCCCCCATTATCATAAAGCCAGAGGCCGGTGCAGTATCGAACATGAGCCATTCTCAAGTTCGTGCACGGTCCAGTATTGCATTTCTTCTCGACCTTTTGGGCGCGGACAAGTTTCTAGAATTTTCGCGTGTTTGTTGGTGAGCGGGGCGGACGCAGACGGAGGTTGTCGGAATCAGCGCACAGAAGGAGAGAGGACATGTCCAGCCACCAGCCGGAGGAACGACCGAATACACTGCAGGAGAGGGGATATTCGAGTAGCCCGACGAGGAGCCTCGGAGATCGCCCGTTGACTTGCGAACCTGTTCTGTGTCACGAATATGTGGCTTACCGGGCGAGAACGAGATCTTAGCGCGGTCCTCAAGTGCGTCATGATTTCTACGTGCCTACGAGTACCTCGAAGTAGGATCACTTTTTCCAAAAGCCTTGGAATGTGGAGGCTCTCGTGTGGACTAGCGGTTGAACAGTCGGTCCCAAGGACCATTTCGGTTCCCTCCATTCAAATGTTGCCTTCAGTAATATATAATCGTCAGATGTTGGACATAGTCCACCGTTCGCATGGTCTTTCGAATTATCGCTCATTGGCTCATTTCCGTGTGTGGCATGGAACTGAATGTCCGTCCGGATCGAGTCTGGCCGAAATCTTACAAGCGAATTGTTCGAAGGTGCCTCAGTCCTCGCCCGATGTGCAGATGGACTACAGGATCGGACTTCTCGTCATGCTCGAGTGGCAGCCCTTCATCGTCAACGCAGCAGTGACTTACCCGGCACGTCTACGGGCGTCGAGGACACTATCTCGGGGCCCATAGCCTGAAGATGATGGAGACTCGATCTTCGCATGACACACAGCCTCCTTTTGATCTCACAAAAGCTGCACAGTTACGTGTCGACGACCGAAACCGCGTTCGGTTGACTTCCGGTCCGAGGAGGACATTGTCCTGCTCCCGTTGGTTGGTTGCCACGTCTCGGAGGCCAGGAGATCCTCCTGGCCCTGATTGTTGGCTTGTGGCGCCCCTGTGCATGCCTCGTATCGAGAGACCAAGAGATCATTCGGCACTCGCATTCGCACGCAAGGGGCCGGCAAGTCTCATTGCCAGGACTTAACTGCGTCCTCTGAAGGCGCATGAATCTAAACGCCACATAACGCTGTCGATACATGGATTTGTTCCATGAACGTATGGTAGGAAAACAGAAGGGATTTTCCGAAAAAAAATTAAACGAACTTGTAGAGTCTCGTTCGGTTTTTCACTTTATAGTCGGAAAACATCAACTTTTGGGATTAGAGATACTGTTCAATTTACATACTCAGGGGCTCGAAATATGAAATCTGTGAGGCTCACAAGTTTGTGAATCTAATGATTGTTGTGTTGTAATTTAACGTAAAGTTTCTCTCTCACTCATTCATGCTCATTCGATGGGACCATTTACAAAAAAGAAAAGAAAAAAGGTGACCCGATTCTCACTAAGAGTGTGAATATCATCTAGGTGGTAAATGTGAATAAACATTTGAAAATGGAGACAACATTAAACAACAAATTTTAACAGAAAATATTCTGCACGTGCATGTAAATAATAATAAGCCAAAACAGGGTAATGAAACTTGGATAACGATAGGGTGAAAACTCCGCGAAGTTTGATCTATTCAGACTGGAAAAAGAGGTAAGATTCGAAAACACGCCTTCTCAACTTCGGTAGAATCGGTAGGAATCGATTACAAATGACAAAAATCAAAGCCATAGCTTCCAGATTAACTCGCCTCATCAACTGGAAATCTGCATTGCGAATATGGTGATCTATGAACAACTCGAGCCTCGCCGACTGTGCCAAAGTTTCGATCCCGAGCCAGCAGGTCCGAGAGACCTTCTAAACGGGTGAGAAGTTTCACATCAAGAGGTCATTAATGCATTAGACTCGAAAGGCATCGGAGGAATTGAATATGTGAGCACGAAGACAGGAAAGTAAGAAGAGAAAGCAGAAGATGGGACAGTTCGAGAACAAAAGTGAGACTGTGGCTTGCACGGGCGAGAGATTACATGAAGTGACATCAGTTGTGTCGTGTTTCTCCCGAGCAGCCGAAGGACCACACACCACGTTCCCTGGTCAATCCCTCTCAACATCAAGCCACGCTCTTTTCATGCAAACGGACGGAGGGAGGCAGGTGAATCGATGTGTCCAAGAAGCTTGCTGCTGTCCCCACCGAGGCCCCATCCAATCGCATCAGACTGAACACACCGCGCTCACCATGACTTTCTGCCACACTTTGTGGATATTGCCAGCTTCGTCATGAGTGAGTCTCGCCATCTCCAAGCTGCATGGAAGAGAACAATCTCTTTCTACGAGCGTGCCAGTGCAGCAGCACGAGGGGGAAATGTCCACTTGTTAGAAAGCTGCATCCCTTTCGGGGCTGTACGGTCGAGGTGGGTTCTCACGGACTGACACAAATGTGGATGAAGCACAATGCGATGTGCATTCGAACCCTACGAGGGAGCAAACTTTTTAGTCCGGGTCCTGTTTTGGCAGCCAGACCTTCGTGGACGTCTACATGTTAGAGCTGAAAGTGGTCGCTGGACAAGAAGAACAGACCAGCCCCGACGAGAGAATGTACCTTGGCTCGGACTGTGCGGCCCTACCAATCGTAGTACATCAGATCCAATGAGCTGAGCACTGCCATTGTGTATGTGAAAGCGACCTGTCCAGCATTAATAATAACAGAAGGAAGCAAAAAGAGAAGCGGTTTTTCTCCGCTTGGTCACGTCAGCCCAAGCACATTGTACAGCTACAACATACAACGGCATTTAGTGCAATTATTCAAGTGTCTGACATGAGCAGAGAATAATTCTATGCAGCCCAGAATAAACGAGGATTACTTTTAAGTTACAGAATCGGGTTAATTCTGGAATGAATGTGTGGCCCTTTCTTTTCAAGAAGCTGGTTCCCAAAGTGAATAAAAGTGGGATTATAATACATTTCTCTTGTCAGAAGTCGAAAGTTCAGGAAAAGAAATATCGTAGTTTTGAATATAAAACACCTCCCACATCAAAGCTATAGCTAGAATCTACGACCAAGTGCACGTGTGATGGTTGCCTGTCTCAGTTGGAACGTCATGGTCATGGACATTGAAGTACATTCAGCTATGTACTTCGAGGATCTTTGCAGCGACTGCAGTAGATTCTCACTTGTTATCGATAAGGCGATGACGGTTACGCCTGCCAGTTGCTTGGAGAACACTGAACATATTAACGTACACTGTAAGAGCGAGTTGTCTCCACCTGAACGGCGATTGCTTCCGCTTGAAGGCAACAACTCTGATGAGCTGATGCGAAGCTCGAGTTTCCAAGCTCGAGTTTAATTAGAGCTGAATGGGGTTTTGCCCGTCTGACCGACCGCCAGGAAGTAATCAACTACAGGCGGGAAAGTAGCGACTTGCAGTATCATCAACTGAAAGGTTCACTTCTCTATCCATCAGTAGAGAAATTTAGGCCGCGAGGAAAGCGTCGAATCTCGGTTCAATGAGAAACATAAATCAAAGTCCGCCCATCTTCTGAGCTACATGACATGCGAGACATTCGACGGAACAGCAAGGGTAGAGCTTACTCTCCCTTTGCAATCGGATCAAAGAAAACGCAAGAAGACAATGCGGGATGTATGCACTCTCCTTGTACCGGTCCACATGATGACAGATGGGACTCACAGCTTTGATACGAACAGGCGCAATGGTACAAGTTTGGGTTAAAACTACCCTGTACGAATCAATCAAGTCCCAGAGGAGTGACAATTACATCATGAAAACGTGTTGATTCGCTCTACTACGCAAGCGAAACCGCATCCACAAACCATGATGAGTGCTGCAGAAGATTCATTTTGTAACGGTCGTCATGCACGTGTCTAAATTTAAGAGTATTCTCACGTGAAGTCTGAAGCTTTGGACGATAGTCCCCGATCTGGAATCAGCTGGAACTGCAAAGCTTTTGAAGTTAGAACGATTATTACATGCAAAATTGGACCTCCGTCAAAGCATAGCGAAGGTCCAGAGCTTCGATCCCACAAGTGCGGCAAGATTCAATCCAACAACCTCTCCATCAGTATTGATCAGTGATTCGGCAAGATCACCGGATGCTCTGAACCACATGTATGCACTGGCACATCCAGAATTGAGCCATAACTACCAAAAAGCAAGATTGTGGATACATCTGATTGCAATACACCTGTTTACAAAGCAATACTTCTGAGAATTGACGGCGCATAAAAGCTAGCCGCCATTCGGTAAGCTCGTCTAGGGAATGATTTTCGGAGTTACAATTTCCAATGTACATATGTGGTCCTAAACCACAAGAGAGTAATTCGACTACATGTTGCGCAGTACCAAGCCCTCACTAAAGAATATCGGTTCGTAACGACTCTTAAACTGAATGAGGGACGAAGGTGCTCGCAATAGTTCCATGCGTCTGGAAGATCACGTACTAGTGTAATACGTTTACTTTTACAACCATTCGAAGCTGATTGTTGAGTTGTGTTCGACTAATATCTGCCATGGAGTCCTCACAAACACGGAACGAGGGTGTAAGAATCAAACGAGTCTACAAGGACTCGAGCCATGTGACAGTAATCATTTCTTCGAGTGTTGAGCGTGCTGGAGAGAATGTCTGATATGGGGAGAGTGTACCAGATTCACAATTGAGAGAGTGCATTGGAGTTCATCATCTTCTTGAATTCTTTGAAATCTACTTGGCCGTTACCATCTGCATCAACGCTTTCGATCATCTTTTGGCATTTCTTCAGACTGTTACCCTCTGGCATCCCCAGGTTGACCAAGACCTTCTGCAATTCTTGAGCGGTGATGTATCCGTCTTGGTCTTTATCAAAAATTTGGAAGGCGTCGAGGAGGCTGTCATCCTCGTCCTCAGGTGCCTCGTCCTTCTCAGGCGCCACACCAGTTATTTGCTGGTACAAGGAGTAGAATTCATCAAAATCCACAGTACCATCCTCATTGTCATCTACTGTTTTGACCATGGCCTGAAGATCTTCCTCGGACATCTCGAAGCCAAGCTTCTCCATGAAATGCTTCAGCTCATCGCTGCAAATGACCCCGTCCTTGTTTTCGTCCAATTTCTCAAACACTCTTCTCATCTCGGCCTCGTCAGGGACTTGCTTCGGAGGTGTGACTTCCTGCGAGCCCGTCATCTCCGCACTGCTTTTGTCGCCATTCAAGTCCACAGCGGCAAGTGAGTTGGAGATTTCTACGTCCTCGACGGCCGGGGTCGCTGCAGGGGGCGCTGTCTGGGGCGCTGTCTCATTGGCACCAGTACTTTTGGACACAATAGATTGATAATACCACCTCCGGTCGAATAAATTGAAAGGAAATTTACTCATCATACCCTCCATGCTCGCACGCAGCAGACACTGGCTTTCGTGCCCGAGCAGGCACAGCGAGACAGAATGATCCCCTGCACCCGAAGAAATAGAGCCCGTCACGAGGAAAAGGCGTCACGAACACTCACTTCCGAGCAATTGGCGCGAGCAGCTACGGGTCCGAACTCGAGCATTCTCCGAACGAGCTGTGAGCAAGTCTCTCGCCGAAGGAATGTCGGACAGGACAGTGCACCAGAAACATAATTCTGCGCGAGAGGAACCGCAATTCTGCGCCAGATTCTCGGCCCGAGCGCGATGTCGACGAGTTCGGCAGAAAATCAAGAAGAAGCTCGTCCCGGCCTCGCCAGGCGCGGAGGACGACAACGGGCCACCCGACGCGATGGATGATGGAGCGTCTGAGCAACGGGCATGCGTCGCGCGGCTGCTGCTGCTGCTGCGGCGAGAGGGCGAGGGCGAGGAAAATCTAAATAGGCGACGAGGCGAGGCGCGCGGCCCTACGACAACTTGCTAGCTCAGCTCGACAGCCACTGACCCGCGGCTTTCGAAACTCACCGCCACTTTGGCCGCCCGTTGCCCGTCTCGTATATATAGACGCGGCAGCGCCGAAAGCTTAAAGGCCACCACCGGCCCTGCAGCGGTCCTTTTCGGACGCGTCAAAGCCCAACCGATCCCGATCCGCTTCGATGGGACGGACGGGATCGGGCCGGGCCTCCCGCGGCCCTCCCGCTCCTCGCTCCTCGCTCCGCTCGCTTCCTGTACGGGCGTGGTACGCTGCCGCTGTACCGTTGCGCTAGCGCCTAGGCCTGCAAACACGGAGCGCAGCGTGAGAACCCGGTGGAAGCCGCGTGAATGAACGGACCCGTCGCCTCTCCCGCCCGTCCACGTCGCAGCCGTCGTCGCCTCCGTCGTCGTCTGGCCGACGGCTCCTACATGGCACTGTGCTCCGCGCCTGCTTTGGACGGAACAAAGTCTGCCCAGTCGGCCCCGGGGCAGGTTAGACTACTAAGGTTGAGTTAGCGGCCTTCGGTAGTAGATTAAAGTTCCGTAGAATGCGTGTCTTCTTACAAACGTCACTGTCTTTTGACGCATTTTGACACATGGAATGAGGACAGGGGGACGCATGGGATGCAAATGCCAAAGGAAACCTTTGGCTGCGTATAATAGAGATATTTTTCATATATATTATATATTATAATATGATATAACTTGAGATATCGAGTAGATGGTTTTCGGATGATTTTTTTTTCTGAAGCGATTAGCAATTAGCAAATAATGTGCAAGATTGGATATTCGGACTAGCCCCATGTTACCCTTACGGCTCGATGGGATCTTCCCATTTTTTGCCATATTTCTGGGCACCCGTTTAGGGTCTCTGATCTGACTTCCTACTGCCCGAAAATTACAGTTTCTTATTCGGTTTCTTCAAGAGCGGCAAGAACCGGTCGGCTGGTGGCTGGAGTCGGTTTCCTGAGACTGGTCTACCGGGATTTCAACAAAAGTCGACCGCACTTTATTCAGAAACGCGCTTTTCAGCGACCGGCCAACCCCGGTCAGACGCAAGCCCCATTCGGATCCTGGAACGCCGGTCAAGAGCCAAGAACTCCACTCCGTGAATGGAACTCCAGGCTCTGTTTCAATGTTTACATTACTTGTTTAATAATTCCAAAATAAATAAACTCTAGAGCGGATCGCTTGGCTGCGGTCGAACAACTAGTTTCCAGTTCCCAAGGCATTAGACCTGAATGTTCATCTGACTGCTTAATTTGCTGCGGACATAACCTTTGGAGTAGAGTCAGTTAGGGAGGACTCGGGTTTACAGTACAGGACTGACAAATGCGAGCAGCCGACAAAAATGATTGGAAAATGTCGAAGGAGTTGTGATATCGTTGCACAATCATGAGCGAAGACGGCCGAACGAACCGAGGGAGACAGAGGCTGAATGGGGCTCCAAGCTCCTTGGGACATCGCCTTAATTTGGACAAGACGACAAGCGCCGGGGAGCGTTCATGCTCCAGTCCCAGCACCGGGAGAATCTTGGGTGGGGGAAATTAAACTGCTGCATGGCCGGGAAGAGTGTTGACTCACAGGAGCGATGGCGCAACGTTCCTCGTCTGGCCATGCTCGCTCGCTCGCGACCTCGTTCGAAGATCCCGATCGTGCACAAGCTCCGCGGCAGCAGCCGCTCGATCCGGTCCGCGAGTCCTCTGTGAGGAATTCCGTGCTTCTAGATTCGCAGGGTCGCTCGTAGGCCGACTCCGAGAACGAGCCGAAGGTCGACGACGACTTGCGAGAGCGAGCGAGAGAGCGACTCTCGAGTGAGGGAGGACCGACGACGCACGAGCTCCTCGAGGCAAGAGACGATGGCGCGCGGCTTGACGTCCGATGCTCCTGACGTTGAAGCCTGAGGGAGCGACGAAGAACAAGGAGGATGAAGAAGGAAGAATCGGAACGCGAACAGGTTCGCTGATCCGAGGGAATGTCCGCCGCCATGTCAGGAGGACTCGGTAGGGCAGCGCTGCCGAAAGTTGCGAAACTCTTTCTGCGCCGAAAGACCTGGACACCCGAATTCCTCGCCATCAAATTTAGCCCATTGCGGTCCAAACGCGACGCGTTTTCTCGTGCAGTAAGTAATGCAGCGCGACGACCTGCCGCCACGGACTACGTCATGCCGGCCGTTCTACGATATCGAACCTCGTCTCGTTGTCTATCCAACGGGACTTGCTTCCGTACGTTCGGATAGTGTGATGTGCGAATCGCAGATTTTCTGAACTTTAAGTTCCTGTTGGCGTTCTTGTCCGGAGCATGCTGCAGGCCACTAGTGAGCGCCTTCTTGAGTGCAGCGAACATAACTTCAAGGCCTCGACATATCGATCCTAACAAAAGCGCGTTCATGTCTTCCGCTCGAATCTTTTAACGTAAACAAATCGACCAACGAGATTTATTTTTTATTGTAAAGTATGAGTGTCTGTTGCCCTGCTATAAACGTCTTCACATTCAACTCCGGAGATTCGGATGCTCGACACTTCTTTATTAAAAGAAGTCAACAACGAACAAAGTGAGTGAACTGCGACTACTACAGTAAGTTGAACTTGAATAAATCAAATGATTTTCAGTTGTGATAGATAAGTCAAAAGATTCAATAAGAACTTGTATGATCTGCTGTTGATGGATATCTCCGTGATATGAAGCTCTTTACTTTTTCTTTAAAACGTAATCAAAAGGCTGCCTCCATAATTTTAAATGTTTCATGTCAAGCAGTATTGCAAGAGATAAAGGCAACCGTGATAGTTTTATTTCGGGAAGAAGATGAAACATAGGTGGCTAAGATTTTGTCCAACCATAAAGTTTCACCTAAGACTGATCCATGCATCTTTATCGGCCGCATGTGGTGGTACTGTTTTGTCTGCTCGCGGTACTCAATTGCCTAGTTGCTCATTAGGATGGTAAAGGTTAGTCAAAATCAAGGTGAAGTTTTTCATATGATTTATCATTGTTAAGTCATGTCTATATATTGTCCAGATGGATATGTTACTTTTGCATATCATTTGCATTTCTCTATAACATATCATGTCTCATAATTGACATTGCTCATGATCTTCACTTATGAACTGGAAGAAAATCATCTCCTTGAGTTTCTAAGCTTGGAATATTATGAAATTATGGAGAGTAAATTAATCGTGTATCGTTGAGAGAAGTTAGGTACTTATAATGACATGAAGGATATGATGTTGGTCAATGTGGATACGCAGGAAAGGGGTATTGGGATCACTTTTTTTTAGTAGGTAGGCTATCATTTGGAGTCTATTTGCGGGTATCATGTTACATCATGATTCTACGTGTGACATGACCCGTATGATCTAAGCAAGCGAGATCCTCAAGTGTGTCCAAAGATGTCATCTTTAGCTTTGGACTTACATGATATTTATGAAAGGAGACTTTGATGTGTATGTGAAGAATGTGAGATAAGTTACTACATGTGGCAAGTATTTATCAATCTGTTTATTTTGAAGCTTATTTCAGACCGTGTTTTCTCATTCATAAATTCTAAATAATCGCTGAAAATTATTTTTGTTTGAAAATCAAACATGTCATAAGTGTAGATGCTCAATTTAAATGAGATTGACAATCAAGGTATATAGGCTGAATATAACATGACTTACTACTCCTTGTGATGCTCTTGAGTTCTAAACTCATGTTATGCGTTGGGGTGAATCCCAATATGGTTCGATGGTGTATTCGAATACTGTTTGTTATATGATTTGGATTCCCTTTGATTAAATTGAATCAGGTACTTCATGCAATAACGGCACACATTTCTAAGTTTAACGTGCCGATTTTTGGAGCACGCCGGACGTCATACGAAGTGTTAAGAACTAACATCGTTGCACTCTTGCGGTAAATCATTGCAGCGTCATAAACTCACGCCCCCTTGTCTTGGTGCATGTGTCCATGCTCAAATGGTCCGCATCATCGTGGTTGGAGTCGATGAACGAGCACGCGGTTAGCTCACATGCATAACCTGTGTCACCATCTAGTCCACGGTACTGGGACTGTGAGTTTCTCGCGTGTCAATTAAAAATATTGAATGCTAACTCTAACTGCGGGAGGACATGGGAAGGCTCCCATTGCCAAATCACTATAAATCCCATGTGGTGTGACGTAGGTAAAAGCAAGTAGGACAACCACAAGGATGGGAACTTAATAGTGAAAAAGAGGGACGTGGGCAAGTAATTAGAAAATTGTGGTAATATCACGTCGATTGCAATCAGTACTGACCACCATGGAAATACACCATATAGAATCAAAATATAAAATATGGAATGTAATGTCTAACACACGAAACTATTCAGATCAAGTAGTGCCATATGAAACGAAAAGTGCATATACGGCTCTGTGCATCATATAGAAAAAAGTGTCCCATTGTATATAGGATCTCAAAACCCTGTGAAATTACCTTCATGCTATATAAAAATATGCACTACACTACTCATTATTTATTTGAAAAAGAAAGAAATGTATAAAAAATCTTTTCTACATAAAACGTTTCTCACAAACAACACACTTGATAAAAGCTATCTACGAATCTAACATTATAATGACAAAGATATCATCTATATTCATAATCTTCCACTTCATTGTTGCAGTTCCACTATTCACTGATCAAGATGATGTCAAAACAAGTTCTCCAATACTAACATAGAGATTCATCAAAACATTAATCAACTTCAAGTCATCTCAAAATTATTGTGACAAAACAAACATCACATCTATAATAAAGACATTGATGTCAATCTTTTAATTTTCAATTATCATCCACATGAAGTACATATTCCACAACTTTTTTGTGTAGACACAGTGAGGCAAAGTTAATACATCATACTAGCAATCCAAGAATGTGTAAGTCATTTCTGAATCATATGTTAGAAGTTCTTGAAGATACAACGCAAACAAAAAGCACAAAATCAAAATAAGAAGTTGAACGATTTAGCTGAAAGCATAAATAAAGGCCGTCACATACGGGAAAAAACCATTGTTGTTGCACATATATTCATCATAGATCTTCTTCTTGTCTCGGTCTAGCAGTTCTCAAAGCTTGTTTTCTTAGATTGAAGAGAACGTACATGACTTTTTTGAAAAAGGATATTTATATTCTGCAACATTGTCTCTTTATGCAGAAGTGTTTAGGAAGGTAGACGAGCGGAGATGAAAGAGTGTGAGTGAGACAATTCTCCATTGCCCAAGCTATGATGAAAAGACCTGATTAATGTGTTTAGGTATTTTAAACACATTCTTCAAGCTATTAATCAGGTGTTTTTAGGTATTTTTAAACACTGTGATCATACTTGAAGTATATTTATCTTCAGGAATCTTTGCCCTTTTACATGAAGAGTATGTTGTGAAAGCTAAACTTGTCATATTTGTAGTCACATCAAGCTTCAAATACATTATGATCAGCAAAATTTTTAGGAGAAAGAAAAGGATGTTTTGGTACAAATTAATTGACTTCTTGAGTGTTCAGAAGCCTTTTTTGTTCTCACTCGATTCCACCCTAATCCAAGAACAAATTTTTGTAGTCCATCTTATATTTTCTTCTAAAACTCTGGTGGAGTATTTATTTTAGGATTACAGACTCCAAGACATGAACTCAGATCTTGTGGATTTGTGCTATTTCAATACTAAATAGTTTGATTAGGATGAGCTTGGATTTATAGCTTTCAGTGATAAACTTGTAAGGTTTTCAGTCAATCATGTGTGTTTCTGTAGACATAAACTTTGTAAAGATGAACCACATGCTTCTGAGTGTATGTATCTGCGTTGAGTTGTGAAATCTACTCAACATGTTCAACTCATATGTAATTTATCTTGCATTATTTTTTAAAATATTAGACAACGTGATTCATCGTTTTACCATAAATAATATGTATAACTGCAATCAATACAATTGATGTGTAATAAGACATTATTAAACTATTTATATCTTTTCTGGTTCATGTATTTTGTAATAATCTCAATTGAACTCTTCAATTTAATTCTATTTCAACTTTAACTCTTCACTGTATATCACTCTATTTCCCTTCATCCATTTGAATCTAAGATGAAAAAAATACCTCCATATGTTGTTTGGATTTAAGTTGTACATGAAGTACAAAACACATAGAAAAGTACAACCAAATGTTAATAAGCAATCAGAGAGAGAAGTGCATGACAAGTGTGGACCCATCATGAATTTCTTATCTTGTGTTGGCAAAGCGTACAGTACTTGGAAGCAACAGGAAACGCAGCAGCATGTTTGTGGAGGATGGGCCAACCGTTGGCCTCCAAACTGATCTGCACGTTCCATTGGGCAAGCGATGCGTAGCTTGGCTTGGCTTGGGGCCAGACGCTCCCAACTCAACTAGCTCGTACTCTGTACGGAGATAAGCTTGTACTTCTGCGATGCCCTCTTTGGGAACGATCCCAATCCTTTGGGGGCTGGAGAATGCACGTTAGATTCGGTTGTGGACATGATGTGCATCTACGAAGAGGAGGCGTAGGCAGATTCCAGGCCCTCAGAGGTCAGCAGCACATTTGACACTTTTGATCCATCATTGAGTGCACGTTGTCCTTTGTGTACCTAAGGGTCCATCTTTAGGGTGTCGAGTGTCTGCGGATTCTGGAGATTAAAAAACAAATTGTCTCGATCAATCCACAAGAACTTGTCCTTCTGTTTGTAAGAGGAGGAGGAGCAAGAGTTTCTGGCCCACAGCTCGCTGATGAATCAGTGAATCTGTTGAGAAATAGTATGCAGGAAAGATGTGCAACTCTCTTTCCAGTTTCTGAAATTTTCCTCTCCTACGTGAAAATTAGTCAGAGAATTTGTGTTGATTCTCAGGGTGATGTTCAAATTACACTCCACTGTCCAAAATTGTCCTTGAGGTGGATGCTGTCGCGCCTGCCAACAGATGCGAAAGTCCTCGATAGGCGTGCTCGATATTCTTGAAAAAGAATAGAAGAAGAGGAGAAATTAAACCTCGAGGACACATGCCGCACACTCGAGGTTCGTCCCGTGCGGCAGTGTCCTCCCATCTCAACTCAACTGCAGCCAGCGCACTTCTGGCTACCTTCTTGCTCCTTGAAGAGATGATGATCCGAGCGACGTTCGGTTGGCCTTCCAATCTTCTCTTCTCTGCTCACCCGAGCGTGACTCGGGAATCGTTTGGGTGCCCTCGCTCCATCCACAATGCTCACACGATCCCTCGACTGTAAGTAGCTTGACGAAATGCGAACTCATCGCTAATGCAAGGCCTTGATGGACCCCATGTATCTCTGTGGGGCTCTCTTCCGCGGGCTACACACCAGCACACATTCTTTCAAGAGACCGAAAGGCCGCGAATGAAACCTGGAATCATAATGGACAGAGGATCATATAATGTTGAAGTCTAGGGCAACTTAGGTTGCATCATTCTGCATCACTTGCAGAATGATGCCTTCAATCGAGTATGAGATTTTATCTCAGGCCATCAAAGACAGCAATCAATAACTTAGGGCGAGGCAGAACCATGGCCATCACCCGCTGGGTCCAGCACTTTCCAACGAGGTTCAGAAAAGCCGGCGGCTTGGCTTCATGTCCATCTCATGCAGTTGCTGCTCATGGAGTAATAGCAGTCACGAACATCATGTTGTCAATGTTCCCAATCAGAGCCTCTTTCTTGTACATGCAAATCTTGCTGTGATCAACAGGCAAGTTATCTTCATTCTCTGCTTTCAGCTCCACAAATTCATGCTTCCTGTACTCCGGTGCGAAATTACGAAGGCTTGTGAGAGGAATCACCGGAAACCAAATTCATTCAACTCTTTTTCTAAATAAGAAGGATTGGATGCCCCCAAACAAATGTTAGTAATTGAAGAATTTGGATTTCCAATCTATTGCAGTCGGTGGCAAAGCTCTACTTCGATGAAGGGGGTTTGGACAGCAAGGAGAACTTTAATGAAAACGTTGGAGTATACACTCAAAGCTCACATCTAATCAATAACTGCAGCTCATTGGATGAAAGCTTAAAACTCATCGACGTTAGTTTCTATGTCAATGAACGACAGGAAGATTCAAATGACACCCATAACCTGCCCTTTCTGGCAGATTTTATATGATACAAAAGAGCTATCTGTGAAATTCGCAACAGTTTTGCGGTAGACTTATTAACCCTGCAGGATTATTGTTGAGTGCTACAATTCACCAGATTTGATTTCTTCCCGTGGTTTTCGGATAGTCTGTGGTAGATTTTTTTAGTATTTTTATTTGTATTCAATAATTATATATCTACTTTACATTATATTTATTCAAACCCACTGAAACTTTCTGCAAAACCTTCAGCCGGTGTGAAACGTGAGTTTATGAAACAGTTTAACCCCAATTTATGAACTTACTTATGTCTCATTTCTCACGATACTTTGTCCAATGTTTCATTAATGGTTACGGACTCAATTTCTTGACACACACATTGATGAGGATGTTACTTACAAGATACTAGCTCAGCGTTCAACGATGGATCTGACCATGGGAGAGGCGTACGTTCGATAGTACAAAACCGTATGGGTCGTATATACTTCTTCAAATACATACTCCACCTTCCGGTACGACTTTACTGCCATTAGAGAAATGGGCCTTGATTGCCGGGTACTCATTCGTCTCTCGACTGAAGCCAATTCTTACGATGAGAAGTCACTTTTTCCCTGTTGACAAGGGCGATCTCAGGGATTGTGGTGATGTCAGTGCACAAATCTAATTTCCAAGAGAAGTTCTGATCGAGGCCGCTATCCCTATCCTCATAAGTCAAATTATCGATGAAGAGTTTCATGTCCACTCGAATCCTATCGACATGCACAGACTGTGATCATGACTACACTTTACCTGCAGGACTTCGAAAATCATCGACGAGTGTGAGATCTCTCGAGTCCAACATCGACGAAGCTTTACTTTCCGAGGACCGGACTTGACTTCGTACGCACACCGCTCTACAACATTCTCTCAGACGACCCTCATGTGTCTTCACTGTGCCATCAGAGTCTCTTCCTGTGCCTTCTGAATCTCGATTTGAGCTACTACCTCCATAATTCACTCCTGTACTCAATTTGGTATCCCCACCCGGATGCAAGTTGTCGTGGCTGGCGTGATGAACGCTCTCTCAACCTTCTGGTCTTTTTAGCATAACAGATTTTCCACATGTTAAGACATTACATCTATGTCAAAAAAAGTATAAGTATATATATATATATATATATATACTTACTCTTACTGGGAAGCACACATGAATGAAACCAAAGGGGTAGGGTGAGACTAGACCCCTATAGAATCAAAGTGGAAAGATGTCCTTATGCTCTTGAACATCCCACATACCAAAGGCTGTAATGGAACAATTCAAGAAGAATGCAAAACATATGCACTTGCTCTTGGTAAAATTTTGGCTAAATTGTGTTACACACGATGATAAAGAAATTTATATACCATGTCATCAGTTTAATACTCTATCACGCACTCTCTCATGAATTATTTAAGTGTATGTATTTAGTTCCATATAAACCAATACTAAAAGATAGCTTCGCTCCGTGCTTTGAAACATGTTTTTGAAACATTGCAGTTGCGACTCCACTTGGTCCCCTCCAAAAAAAATAAAAAATAAAATCATTTTATCATTAATATAGTCATCTATATACAATAAAACACTCGAGAGCCAAATATAAGTATACTCTAACCCGAGTCTCACTACACTATACACTAATGTTGTTTCCATGGAATGTCAAACATCATATCTTAAAGTCACAACAGTAACTGTACAAAGAATCATATGGACCCGTTGGATCTAACGAACTATGACAAACGCATTTGTTCAAGAGGCATAAACATGGCCATCCCTTCTCTGAGAAGGTCCAAGATTCACTTTAACTTCACTCCATCAAACCAATACGCAGTTCAATCAGAAACTTGATTGGGCCAAGAACACTACCATATGACGGGAGTTAACTGGAGCCACGTCACATCACACGAGGGCCCAGGTCAATCAAATCTCCTCTTCAAAGTCTAGTCATCGCAATCTAGGTGTCCAGATTGGGTCCAGTTAAGCCGATACTTCGCATGCCGCGTACTAAACAGCGCTGAGACACGGGGCCTTGATTGTTGCGGACACTGGGTCCTCGAGACGTTGTCGTCTTTACTCATCATGACGAACATCAATGCACGGATATCCCTTGCAAGTTCAAATATTCTGTCGTATAATCAGTATATATATATATATATATATATATAGTTATATAGTTATATATAGATATCACTCGGCAGGTTAAATGAGGTCCACGAGGCTTATCTCAAGTAGCAGCAGTGCCCAGTGTACTTTGGAATGGGACTTCCAGAACCCAGAAAAACTGAGTCCTGATCCGTTCGTTCTTGGCTTTTTGGTGCTTTTAATCAGGGCATCTCGTATTTTGTCTGACTAGTCTCGCCAAATGTAACACCATCCTAAGTCACTCCAGCAGCTTTCTTCTGAAATTCTTATGAAATGCACAATTCCGAACTATGCCTTGGTCGTCTGGGCATAACATAATACCAGGACTATCCCTTTCGACTTCTTCGCGGACATGAAAGTAATATCGAAGTGCCCAGAGAGAATAATATTTTCGTTTTTAATAATAAATTGGATCTTAATTCCACCTTGGATGCTTCCTCTTTTCTATTCTGTATTCCACTCACTTTCGAAGTCAACCAGCCTCTAAGATCCAAAGCCTCACGTGAAGAAACACTAGGCCATATAGTTGAGTAATGCCGTGACAACAAAATTCCAACAACAATTTGCACTGTTTCAAGTTTAGTATCACTCACAAATTGACAACGCAGATTACTCAAATCCCAATATCTTAGCTGATGCGGTTTTGATATCAAAGATAATATTTTTTTTATTTCCACAACTGTAACTGGTGGGGTGGCATCCCCGCCACTGACACCGATATATCATTAAAACCCCGTACTTTACGTGCTACAGTTTCCAGCTTGTGCCAATAAAACAGTCGCAGCAGCAATTCACCGCTCCATTCCAAACAGGCCGTGAATATTTGAAAACCGCTTAGAAGAGCACATCCATAGTTTGATCACGTGTAAGGACGACGCAGTATAACGACAGAGCTGCAAGCAGGACAACTTTCGCACTGCTGATAGAACCAGAGCGTACCTGGCAAAGCTAAGAACGTGGTCAGAGGTACGGTGCAAGCATGGATTCATAGACTTGTTACACATAGGCCCTTTCTTGTCTCGTGCGTGAAGCTCGTGGTCCTCTACCTCTGCTCCTGTTTCGAAGGGTGCCATCCACATACCACGTCGCTTGTCCAGGTCTAAAACCTTTTATCGCTCTGACATGTTCTCACAGGATGGACCCCACCGAGCTCAGACCTTTAGGACAGAACTAGTACATCTATCAAGATGCTGATTCTCGCCATTCGAGCAGACAAGTGTATGAGCCAGAGCACAAACGAATCTCCAAAGAAAATCCCAATTTGTACTTTCTGCACGTAGGAGTCCGTAAAACCTCTCTGATCACAGTACAAAACCTACACATGGGCACCAGGCAGTCCTTTGCCCAGACAATGTCCTACACCCCTCATTTCTCAGTTGTGAGTCCGTCATTCATACGAGCTGCCGTAAGTCAAATCTATGACGCGTGTTGGTCTTCTGAAGTTCTACTACCAACAAAATGCTCTATGCTCTGACAATCACAGATGCACGAGTCTTCGCTTGGCGCATATGTACGGACGTCTTGTCCTGAGACATCCTCGTCATAGCATGCACAGGAAGTTGACCTCTGAATCTCTGCCGAGTCGTTAAAGTGTGCAGTCTTGATCTTCGAGGAATTGGTCACTAAAACTGTGAAAGGCCTGAAATGTAGATAGTGCTTGAGTTGAGTGGACTAAGCACCAGTGGCTGCGGAATGACTGGTAGGTTGAGAAAAAGCGCTTCCAACTTCCGCTAACACCTCATCCTCAGGTCGATAGATCATGTCACTCATTCTCCATATCTGCAACAAGTCACAGCACAAAGAACTCAAAACCTCCAGACTTGGTTGCTTTCTCTTCAATAGATCGAAAACATTGCGCCCACGAGGTGAAGTGCCCAATGATAGCAGTACCAGTTTGCACTCCCATGGGTACCCAGCAAACGAAATGTTGACGTTTCAGGGAAGATAAACGGAGATTACGTGGAAACCATGGTATATTCGGTATGAGGGAATAGACCATAGACCGTAACATCAAGAAAAAACTGCAACAGCTCACTAAGACCGCATATGGGTAAATACTATACAATCCATGTCTCGCCATGGTGATGAGGTGCTAGAAAAAATGAACGAGCAGAGATAAGGACATATATAGAAGGCAGACATACTTGCAGCGTTCCTCCGCCGTTAGGAGTATCACAATCATCTGAAACGCTCAGCACTGTCCATGGATCACAAGGATCCCAATGAAAATCGACCACCTTATCCCTGCATATAGGTGAAATGATCAATTCATATCTAGCTAATTGGTCCCGAAGCCAAGTAAATGAAGTAAAAACATACATAAACTCCTCCACATCATGCACTACTGAACTTAAACCACACTCACGGAGCATTGACCATCTCCACATATTGAGATTCATCTCGATATGTGCAGGAATATGCTATCCTGGTAATCAGCGGACAATCTGAGGGTTAAGGACAGCGGCGGAGTTGGGATCACCACGAGCTACCCCGTCAGTCCGGCTGCGAGTACTTGGAAGGTGAAGTTTTGGTAGATTGGAAATCCTCGCACAAAATTACATGAGAAAGGGCACATACAGGTTAAGTATCACCGAGTTCCTCCAATGTGTGGATATTTGGACTGAAACCTAAGCACCCATTAAGTATGGCAACGCCTGTTGGAGCGGCCCGGGCAGGAGTGACATCAGAGTCCGAATGAGTTCCCCCGAGGACCAAACACGCCTCTTGGATCAAGCAGGAAAGCTTTATTCCTCGAAACCTTAATAAGCTTATCCGATTGAAAAACTTCTCCGTGAGGACTTTTCGACAAACCCCCAAAAGTATAAGAACTACTTAGAACATTACCAAGTTTTCGCCCCAAAAAAAGACTAACGAACTACGATGCAAAACTAATTCTTCTGCCCAGTCTACTACCACTAGCACCGCGCAGCCAGGGCATGGGGTCTTAGGTCTTCAGGCTACAATAGATCATAGTGAAGAATTCCACCAAGAACCTGGAAGTGACTGCACCCTGAACAAGCACAGCTTCCTTAACCATAATATGAGGCTTCGGTCCCAACACGACGAGGCTGAAGGTGGGGTGAGTGTGAAGATACAATATTCAACAACAAAAAGAAGTACCTGTGTCCAGCATGCTGGAAAAATAGCCCAGGAGGAGGAGAATGCCCCTTCATTCTCCTGTAGGTTTCTTCTTCTGCTTTATTCACCTGAAGGTAAGGAAACCCAAACCAGTAAGACCGGACATATTCTCAGTATAGCACAAAAAGCATGCACACGACGTCACACGTCTATCTGAATGCAACCCAATCAAATTCACTTAGAGAGAATTGAGAAGCGTATATACTGTACGGGGCATGAAGTGATGAAGCCTTGCTGTTCTTGTTATCCAGCAAACTTGCAAACCCACAAACTTTTGCAAGTTTGCTGGATAACAAGAACATTTTGCAAGAGACCTATTATGGGCACTAAGATATACTGTTTTTCATCGTAGTGCAGATAAGTCCACAATTTTCTTCAGCTGTGAGATTACCTTATCAGCATCCCAGATATTCAAAAGACCATCCTCTGCTGAACTCCCAAATACCGACGCCCGGTCTGGACACCACTGGTCAAGAAGAACGAACCCGAATTAAAGAACTCAAACTGGGAACAAGGTGTATTCAACTTAAGCAGTGCAGACTACTTGCATAGTTTAGATCATAGAAACATAAACTTTCTTAACTCTATCATGTGCATACGAGTCAAGCCACACCTGTACGCACAAAACAGCGGCAGAATGTCCACGAAAGGTCTCGACTGGTAAACCACGGCCATTCGCTGACAGCTTTCGATAGTCGAACAGATTGATTGAAGTATCAGCTGAACTGAATGTACAATACAGTTAGAACTGATTGCTCATCCATGACAAAACACACCTTTACTTCGGTCCATATTACGGACCCTCAGTTCTACATAGAGCGTCAAGCTTACGTTTATGGGGGTGAACATGACATATACTGGCCCAAATTAAGTTCTGAAAGATTCTTGGACGAGTTTTCCTACAAAGGACAGGTCCAGACCAAACACAGCAAGAGAAACACCAGTTGTGTCCGTAATATGGACCGAAAGATGATGACCAATGATACCACTTGCAAGTATATGTAAATGAGAAACTAAATGTTGCGACGTATTTCGGACTTACCCTGTCAGTAGATGATTTTCATTGTGGAAATTCCAGTCCACGCAATGAAGGTCTGCATCATGTGCTCTTTCTACCTGTTAAGAATATCACCATAAGGTGTTGAGTGATGTATATCTACATTTACGAAGAGTAACACCATAGCAGATTTAGAGTGAGTAATTTGAAGTGTTGTCCCAACGGGACCTCTGTAACTTAAGATTCACTCGAACTCCTTTCACATGAAGGCCAGGTCCAGCTTTGAGATGGTCTATGAACTTCAGGCTATCAAAGGCACATACTAGTCGAGTTGGGATATAAGTGCCCTACTCATCAGCAAGACTGTCCGAGAACGATTAAAGAATTGAGGCAGTACCAGTAACTGTTCAACATAAGGATTCGGAGGTAAAAAAAGGTACCCTATTTGCAGGAGTTGTCCCTGCACGAGCATCCCAGAGTATAAGCGAAGAATCGTCACCAACACTGCAAAACTCCTGCGAACTGGTGTTTTGACAGACGCGCTTAAGAATTCCAGACGAGGATGGCAACTCGTACATATAAACGTTACGACTTGTTTCCTCTATAAGTACATAATAATTCGTCATAAATCTTAAGCCCCGAACGTTCTTTTCGTCGTTTCATGGCCTCGACAAAAGCATGAACTACGATAGCTGATCACAGGTGTGATGTTGCAATTCCTCCAACATAACTAGAGGTCCAGAAGGGCTCTAGCTATATTTGGCTTCCCTCACCTTGAGGGGCGAAACTGGACGTCCTCTACTGTTGCCGTATGGCCGACGAAGATCCCTTGTGGTCCGATCTCCGAGGGAGATGTGCTCGTTGGTTTTTCAGAAGTAGAAGCCGATCCTCCACTATTACAAATTGGCCTTGCACCAGATGATGTAGCAGATTTACTGGGTGAACCATTATCCTTCCCGGCTGTAATTTGGTCCTCAATGCTCCAAAGTATGACCCTCGCATCTTTCCCTGAAGAAGAATATACAGGACGGGGATTCTCAAGTTTCTGAACTGAAAAGCATTGACTTGTCTAGCGAGATATCTTCTACTCAACGTGATTTTCTAGCCAATGCACATAGAAAAAGGGTGAAGTATCCTTCCACCCTTTTGAGGACAAGTAAACACCCACCTCCTGATAGAACATGGGGTGACGTCGGACTTAATGCGAGAGCAAATTCCGCATTGCCAGTATGGCCTGTTAAAACCTGTACACAGGCGCCACCTTGAGATGCGCAAGGAACTACCGGAACCGTAGGTGAGTGTGTGACCTCAAGTGTGAACTACATTCAGATCCTAGTGATAAACTGGGGTGTTTGAAGGGATGAAGTACCGACCAGATCGGGGCGTGAATGGTTTGCACCGAGAAGAGCGGCCCTATTCGGTTGTGTCTCTAGGTTCCAGATGTAGACCTACTACAACAACGGGAGGAGTGAATTAGAGGTAGAGGCCACTTAACGAACACCTCCTATATTTGCATCTGCTTCGAACATTTAAAACCGAAGTCGTATGGTAGACAGACGGTAAAAGACTAGAATTGGGCTCTACCTCTGGACTATCAGTGTGAGTTGCCACTATCTTGCTGTTTTGAGGAAGCTCTCTTATCCTGTTCACCTGCCACAGAACTGTCAGACATGGTTTTACAACGACATTGTAGAAGAGTCTGAGAATAACGACTTGAAACTAGAACATCAGATGAAACCTCACACAGATCGTCAATGCTTGCGATTTCCACATTAGGAATCAGATCATAATATTACGCTCATATCAGGAAATGATCCTCTGAAAGAATACTGACCTCTTCAGATTAGAGAACATGGGGCTGGACAAAACTGGCATCACAATAGTGGCTCTCATAAATGTGAAAGTGAACACGTTAAAGCTTTGTACTTTTGTTGAACCACTATGTTCAGGAAGGAAAGTATCAGAAACACACAACAACCTACCTCACCAGGATGAATTATTGTCTTGTGCTTCTTCACGAACGGCGATCGGGCCTCCTCACTGAACTGGTCTCACATAACGGAGTAACTGTCAATGCCTGCAAATAATGAACGAGTTTCATGTCACACCAAAGGTTTTGTATCAAAAGTTCATGTCACAGCAGATACCTGAAATATATGCTCAGCTGCGGCAGCTCGAGGCTTAATAACTTCACAGTTGAAAACAACCAAAGTATTTGGACACGAACCATCAGTCTGCAGACAAACAAAAACATTTCACATTCGACAGGAGAGAAACCATAGTATGGCGTCTGTATGCACTCCAGAGTGTATTGAAGAATTAAAACAACAAAAAAAAGTAAAAAAAGTCGCAATTATCGAAGAGATATATACCAGCAGTTCCAAACGGACGAGAATCCAAAGAGGCAGAGAATCTGAAATCTTGATGACAACTACCATCAGTACTCCAGCTACCGTCAGAGAAGGTATGAACACACCTGCTCAGTGAGGTATATTCGCTGGCGCGATTTGAAGGATCCCTGCTCGAGCTGAGGTCCCCATCTGAAGAGAAATGGTCAATTCTCAGACAGTCAAAGTCACTGACAATCGGCAGAATCCAGAGCAGGGACGCATGCAGAGCACTTGGGTGATGGAGAGAAACCAGTCACCAACGTGAAAATGGAGAGATCCCACATGTACAGGAGGAGACGGACACAGACAAAGCTCGACAGGAGCGAGCTGCAAAGGTAGCATGCATGCAACCTGCAGGAGAGAGACGGCCAGACGAGGCTGTGATTGGCGAGCCAGTCGTAGAGAATTGGCACCAGGGACTTCCATTGGGCGTGTCGTTCTTCGCTCCGCATCGTGGCAGAGTGCAGCAGCTGCCGAAGCTCCGCTCGACTCTGCCTTCTCTTCCAGTTTCAAAGCATCCGCTCTTGAATTTGCCTCCGCGCTCCTCCCCGGCCCCCGGCCCCCGACCCCGGACCCAACTGTCTCTAGCTCTAGTTCGAACCGAGCCCGCCCGGGTTTGCTCATTCCCACGCTTCCCCTTCCAACAAGATTTATATAAAAAGTCATGAGAGAATGCGGAGTGTATTTGATCCGTATAACAATAGAAGATACAATTACTTGACACAATTACAGTAGGGTACTCGGCAAATCTCGATGTAAATACTTCGTAGCGTAATCAAGTTCTAAAAAAAATTCTTGTAATTATATATTGCGGGCTATAGTGTGGGGATTGAGAGTTTGGAAGTTACAACTTGTTTGCAAGTTTCGCAAGTATTCTAGAGTTCTTTGCATTTTGCATGAGTGACTTTGTGGAAGTGAAAAAGTGCATGCTGAAACCATGGCAGACTAATCACTATATGCTTTTGAGAACCTCGACGTGGTTACGGATAGAGGAGTGTAATATTCAGACGAAGCAGTCACCAACACAATGTCGCGTTAATTGACAAGCGTTGGATCAGACATAAACATCTCTTAAACATAGTCTTTGGATCTATCATTCCATCAAATTATGCATCTCATCCTTGTCACTATCACCATAATAGACTCCAATGTTATCACTATCATAAGTTTTTTTATATAACTTTCATATATATCTTCTTACTCATTATAAATGTTTGCTTGAATTAGTCCACCAACACGCGTTGAAGAACTAGTTTGAATCACTTGTGAGATCTGGATAGTTTCAAAATATGAATTGTCATTTGTTGCAACAAGCTCCTCATCTACAAGTCTACAATTTCCACAGCAGCTCTCTTTTCGCATGTACAAGCATTGTGTCATGACGTTTTTCTTGCTTGTTTTAGAACTTGAATTTTCCGACCACCAAGTAGGTGCTATTGCAGCTCAATGTCATCACAAAGAGGGTACCTAATAAATAATTGATCACCCTTTCAGCAAAACTCGTAACGTCCAAGGTCTACTGCTTTGCGCAGTAGCAGATACTCGCAATTAGATTTCAATCTCAGTTCACTCAAAACATAGCAATTATATAGCAATCCTCATGAACATCCATATGAAGACTCATTAAAATGGGAAATGTTGGAGCATAGAACATATGAAAAGATTTCTTTTTTGATAGTGATGGAATTTTATGTTGAAATATTTTCCGTTAATGTCATTCCATGTTATGAGGTGTTCACATGACTAGAGCATTTTCTATTTCTCGATGCGTGTTCATGTGATTTGTTGTGACAAAATAACAAAGTAATCTTTTCTAGCATCCGTGATGGAAACTTTTGCCCTCTACTTTAACTCTTCATGAACCTATCATGGCTCATAGGTACGCGCATTGACATTGTGTCAAAGATCTACGGAAATAATCATAATTGAATTTCTTCTTGCATCTTTAGAGAAAAGAGCAAGGCTCCAAGTTGATTTTTGCCCAACATACAACATCATCGACCATATTTTAATAATAAATTTCTTTCTAAGTAAAATGGGGGTGTTTTGTTTTGCCGCTTATTTGATTTCAAGACAGCTTTTGATTTTGTACCTCATAAACTCTTTTGGAAAAGATTACAATTCATTGGAAACCATCAAATCTTCAAGCAACCGTGACCACGCTATATCATTTTGTTTGAAACAAGATTTTGTCAACAATTCACAAACTCAAGAGATCTAAAATTGCATTGGAGGATTCAAGCTTATACTCACTCTCCTACTCTATTTGAAATTTTCATGTATGTTATAAAAGATTTGTTAGAGGAATGTGATAGTGAAAGTGTTCAACTTGGGGACTTTGTCATCAATAGTATATTGTATGCAGATGCTATCATGTTAGCGTGGCACCTTGACACTTTTGCAAAAGTTTGTATTCAAAATCATATGGAATTCAATATGCATAAGCTTATATTGTGTCTTGTCTTCCACAACTTTTATGTAAGAGTTTAATGTTAACGGTTAGCTTATATGATTCCCAAGTGTGAAATCATAATGGTAATAATATAAGTTGGGAGTGCTTGGAGAGGAAGACAAAGATAATTTTTTCAAAAAATAATTGATGAAAAAAACCAAACTGTGTGTGTTATTTTTCTTGCTGAAGCAAGTTATTCTCCTGTGAAATTCTTTACTTGATACTCACTTACATAGCATGGATGAGATATCTTAATATTTCTTCACTCTCTCATCAAATGAATATCTAAAGGGCATTTTATCAACATTATTTGAAGCAGATTGGATAAAATTTTTTTTATCAATTTCATGCTTGTATATTGTGAACAAGTTCTCTACTTGCTCGGATTTCCACATTCTTATTATCAAGTTATCTCACGATATAGTAATAGATTATAGATTAGTCTGATAGACTAAGAATTGAATAAGACGAGATTTAATATTGATAATAAATTTAATTTGAAAATTACATATCAAAGTATAGTAATCTCCAACTTAAGTACGCATCTTGATCCTTGGAGTATTGTGATTACCTATATGAGATGTGTACTTAGGTGAATTAGAACCCTAAACTCAATTAAATTACATTTTTGGTATATTTTTGATGAGCGAATAGTCATCCAAGTTCTTTGCATCATCTACAAATGATGCATAGATAAACTTACCAACAATAATTTGTAAACTTATGAAAGATTCATTTATGAGAAAAATTATACTGAATTTATCCCTACAGATCTTCGGATTTATTAAGACAAATTTTAATTAAACGAATCAATTGTAAAAAATAAAAAAACTACTGAACGAACTTTAGATGTGATGTAAGTTGAATAACACCGATGCTTCCAATAAAAGTGCTCAAGTTTGTGAATACAAAGTTAGTGAAACAGCTGAAAAAAATATGCTACTCAAACGATAACAAATCCTAGAAAGATCAGACTAAATATCTGAATCTAAAGAGAATACTTTTCAATTTGATTGGTTATTTAATTGAGTTTTAAAAAATACTTTGACATGATTAGGGCTAATTTACCTATTTCGCAATTGCCAAAGCAAAAAAATTGCATGAAATTTTTCAATTGTGGCTAAATCAATCACAAAATGTGCTGCTTATCAAAGAATGAGCTGAAGTCAAGAGAAACTATATAGTGTATTATTGAAAGCTTTAGACTAACCATGAGTGTTTATTGCCCAATATTCTCTATCTACAAAACGATTCATACTTGCTAATTGTTTTGTACTACTATCAAAATATATCTCCTAACGACATATGAGAAATCATCAACCAAAAATCTGTTTCCAAACACAAAAAATTTCCACACCTGCACATAGAACTAGATAAATTTTGATCCCATTTTTGAGTAACTTCTGCCCCATAACAGGGATACGTGGTTAAACGGATCCATACTTAAGTGAGGCTTGCTATAACACTGGGGATGGGTGGTTAAACGAGTGCGTAGTTGGGTGGGTGTTGCTGTAAATATGTATAAAGTGTGTTCATTACTTGTCGAAAAACAATTAGACTAGCTCATAAACTAGCTACTGGGAAAACAATTTGAGAATATTTTTCCTGGCTAGTGAATTAATGAGTTGCTACCTATCTATAACTTAATCTATTTACCATTTACATTTTGAACCTCAACTACTGTGGTTCTAAATACACTCTAACCTCGATAATGTCATCATTGTTAATATAACACCTTGATATTGTCACCTAAAAGTTTGAAACCAATTTTGCTAGTGTAAAACTCCCTCGTTATTATCAGTATCACACTCAAAAATATCATTATTTTTTTCCAAAATTTGTAATGTAAGTGTGATAATATCAAGTATGGATGGATTATATGTGAGTGTTGGATGGACATATTGTAGCAACAAAAAGTTCATGAGCCGCCCTGTGATAAATGAAGTGCTATACAGTCATGAGTTGCCCCTTGCACCAACCTTGATAAGTGTTGATGATTCAAAATTTCAGTTTGGTGACCATTTGCTCATCAACATTGTGTCTTTTCCGTTTATCTTAACTACGAGTACTCACATTGCATTGCACTCAAAGAAAGATATAGTGTTTCACAAATATGCTAAGGATTTTTAGAATTTTATAGCTAGCTAAAGTTTTCAATTTTTTAACCGTCAAGAGTTGTTAATAGTGAAAAAATATATTATATACTAGTTACAAATAGTGTTGGACATTTAACATTACTAAAACAATGTGACATAGTAAATTTCTTTGTTTCTAGTGAGAGTTTTCTATTGGATCTCAAGAGTTGTTAATAGTGAAAAAAGTATATTATATACTAGTTACAACTAGTGTTGGATATTTAACATTACTAAAACAATGTGACATAGTAAATTTCTTTGTTTCTAGTGAGAGTTTTCTATTGGATCTCAATGAGACATTATGATATGTTCTTGTTGTCATTCATAGTTTTGAACCTTCCATTTGTTATGTTCTTTTTGACGCCGTAATGTTATCTTGATGTTTTACACTCTTTTCTCATATCACATTAAGCACAAATTATTAAAATGAGACTTCAAAAAAAAATGTCAAACCTTGTTCGTGTCACACTTTATATGGTGAAACGGAGGGTGTGATAACATCGAGGTTAGGTTGTGAACGCTTTCCGTACCCCGTCAGCTTACTTGTTTGATACCATCACTAGGAATCTCCTTGATTACAAGCAATAGGCGGTGCAATTATAATTAAAAATTCACATTAGACAGTAAACCATCTACGTTTAAAACACTTCCACCGAGGGACTAATTGCTAATAGTTCTCCAACTTCAAGTTTGAGCGTAATGTCAAAGACAAGAAGCACAATCTAGTCGGGGCTATACGCTTTTCGTGGGCAAGTTCTTGCCCACAAAGTAGAAACACACTGCTCGCCTCACCTGAGGGTGAGCTTTACTGCGCGTTCAAGCGCAAGTGCCCCGAGACCGAGTTAAACACGTCCCGACTACTTCTCATATCGTGGAGAATTGTTCAAAATCCGCTTAACATCAAATTAACAATTAAAGTAGTCAAGCCATAATTGCTAGATGGATCTCCAATCACAAGCCAGTGAGAAATATATAAAAATCATGTGGATCGAAGGAGCAGGACGAAGTAAATTTCATAAGACGTTAGAAGCTACGAAAAATGAAAACCTGCTTTATTGAATACAGCCAAGAGCTTCAAAAAGTCCTCCTGAGTTAATTTCGATGATCTCTTATCCTCATAATCGTGTTCTTTGAGAACAGCCAAGCCCTTATCCTTGAAAGTAGATGGTATTGTGGATCCATCCATGTCCTCGTCCATAGTGTCGAAGTCACCTGAATCCAGATCCATGCTAGTATCATTGGTTACATCCCCAAGCTGCATGACCAAATCGGCGTCTGCTTGATTGTCCAGCGAACCTTGAAGAGCTTGATGAGTCTTGAAATTCTTTTCCATCAAAGCGCATACAGCTTTCTGACGAAAGATCGACCCGAGTGTTTTGTTCTTCCGATTAAAGCAAAGCCGAATGAGACCGTCCCATTCCTTGAAGTCTATCGCCGGTAGAGGATTTCGAGGCTCAATTCTTACAACAGATGAGTCGACTTTAGGCGGAGGCCGAAAGTTGTTTTTCCCAACCTATGTAAAGTGGCAAAGACCACAATAGCCAAAGCACAATGCAACCAAACTCAGGATTTTTGCATGGTTCAACGTCTTGCACAACTCTAAGAAGCAGTAACATGAAAATGATGTAAGCAAGACCAAGGGTGAGTCTAATATTTGGATATGACAAACAAGGCAGGAAGTGATACTATTAGCGAACAACGGCCGACTCAAGTGTCCGACGACGTCGACGTAGTGCCGTAAAGCTCCCCATTTCTTTTCGACAGCAAGGAATTCGCCGGCAACTGACGTCCCACATCGACAATGACTTAAACTGACTTTCAGGAGTGAGTCTAACATGCATCCTTCGACTTTGACTACATATACGCTGGCACCGAGTTGAAAAGCGCTAGTAACGAAAGCGATGAGCTGGTGACTCAGACTTCGACACTGAGAATTAACAGTTTACTTGTTGGTACGCTGTAGTTCAGTGGACTTTACCTTCAAGAGATGATCCACACGGGCTAGAAGCTGAGTGTTCACAGACAGACGGCAGAAGAGAGGATCTCCTGTCTTAGCCACGAGCCGCATGGCAAACTCACGCTGATACATGATAACAGCACACCGGAACACGGGCCTGTGTGACAAGAGTTTGAAAGTGAGGGGAGAGGAAATTTGGTATGGGATGTTGGCCACACAAACGTCGAAGTAGGGAAGCTCCGTTTTCAAAACATCTCCGTGTATCACCTATCAGGCAGAGAATAGTGTAAAGACGTCATACTCTGAACAAATATGAAACACGCCTCTCGCAATGGATATGAAACCTTCACTGAGACAATTATCTTAAAAAACGAAGGCAGAGTTCCCCAAGCTCAGGCCTTCCATCGCAGACTTTCTAACAAAACTTGGAATGGAGACATAAACATAACGCTTATACTTCATAACATTTGCAACAGACATATACTTTCTCATGTCCGTGAAGTTTATACTTACACGATCGTAAGATAATTTTACCTGCAAGTGAGTTTGATATGGCGTTCCTTGAACTCGTCGGGTCACTTCCAACACCATCCGAGGATCAAGCTCTACAGCAATGACCTTCTTTGCGACCTCAAGAAGCTTCATAGTCAAATTTCCTGTATCATTTTCCAGCCTAGAAGACCAACTATCAATATTTCCGACGGATGTAATGCTAGTAAGCTAAATGTCCTCACCGAGTTCATCGTACGTAACCTGAATAAGCCCGAGGAATGACAAAATATCATAAAGACTGATTCGTTATTTCAATCATGGTAAACGGGATAGCTTTGCTTTCGGGATCTAGAGTTACCATGTCACTTTGTGAGGAGAAGAAGTGCGGAGGTCTTTCTCTATGATAGTAGGAAACGAGCTATCTGTCAGGTGAAGAAAAGCTTTCATAGGGTTCGCCAGCAAAACAGAGTAAATTACGACATAACTCCTTAACCAGTCAAACCATGCGACTTATCCGGACATCATTCCACCAGCAATTACGGTACTTTCATCGAGACGAAATGTTTACATCATTGTTCCGCACCTTCAATTCGTTTCGTAGTTCACATCAAGTTTCTTCCTTACTAAACCTCACAACAGACCGATTGGACACAGATTCATCCGCCCGCGCAACCTTGACCAACGACCGATCGGGAAAAAGAAGAAAGACCTGAACTGAAGTTAAGAAGAAGTTCACCTGTTCCAGGCCCAATTTCGAGAACAATGTCCGTGCTCTTGATTCCAGCCTTTTGGACAATAGACTGAACTATTAGCGGATTCTTCAGAATGTGCTGTCCTTTACTTTTGTCAAATTGAATCCCCTGAAAGCGCTGCTGTTGAGGGGCCTGGCGACCCTTACGCTCCGCTTTGCCTCCAGCCATCCTGACGTTATGCTTGCAGACGTCCCACACTCTGATAGCGTCGTCAAATCCTTTAAGAAAACCTCGCGACCATCTTCCTCCGCAAGCTCTCCACACCATGAAATCATTCGCTTCCTACAGCTTCACCACTCTGCAGCAAATCTGAATTACAGGACAACACCTTGTTGTCCTGAAAAATCTGCGTGTTCGTTCGTACAGAGTAAAACCCTAACCCTACTGTACACTAGTCTCCCGACTAAGTACGCACTTTGATCCTTGGAGCGTTGTGCGTACTTATCCCGTAGGTGCTTACTTAGTCGAATCACTTCCTAATGGAAGTGGGAGAAGCTATCAGAATTAATTCCGGACAATCGGTAGGAGAACCTGGAATTTAATTAACTTTACTAACATTTTATGCTAGAGTTTTTATATATATATAGTTCCATATTCGAATAGAATAGTCATCGAGATTCTCTTGTCTTAATACGAGGCATAAGGAAAAATCTACCAACATTAATTAGTAGACTTCTGAGAGACCCATGTAGAAGTTTTAGATCAATTTCTCAGTTTAAAACTGGAGCGACGAATATAGAAAAATTACCCAGGCCGGCCAGCCTTCATATTTATTACGATACAAATTTTTTAATTAAGCGAATCACTTCTCAATATTTTGATTCGATTGTAATGTCAAAGAAATCAAAACTCAACTAATACGAAATAAATTTTAGCGATGAAAACACTGTGAAAAATTATCATACTTACCGGGGATACGTACTTAAGCGGGAGACTACTGTACATGTCGATCTTGATTCCGGGTAACCTGTAAATTCGTCTCGTAGCGCCGATTTTCAGTTCGCATTATGTCTTCTTTTCACCATCAATTATATTTACGTGTCGATCAGAGGACAATGCACTTTTCTCCACGAATAACGTTCACATACGCAACTTGCGTTCATGTTTCATCGATAGAACAACATAATGGAAATGAATCTGGTTATTTTTCTTAATATAAAATATTTTTAAACATGATTTTATTTATTTACATGATAATATAAATAACATTCAAAAAATAATACATACATATTTCGTATAATAAAATGCTTTACATGTATTTTAATCTCATAAATTAGTACAAGATAAATAGTATAATAGATAATTAGTATAAGATTCTATCAGTTTATAGTTTCTGATTTTTATCAAATAATCATATATTTGAATCAAAACCTATATATATGAAATTCAAAATTTACAAGTATCATCCTTCAATCACATGTAAAGTTCTTATAATATACAAGGATATTATCTATATATTTAGATCACGCAATTGTCAATTTTTACCTACATTTATAATGAGAGATATTTTTAACAAAATCAACGAATACCTTATTTGATCAATTTTAACATACTTATCTGTAAGAAACACATAAATTGTTCTACTCAAAATCTGAATATATCATACAAATATTAATTTCCAATTTCTATTGAATGTTTTTAGCTAAATAATTTAACTAATGATAATCAGACAAGTCATACTTTATCAAAATATAAATTAAGACCTTTAAAAACCTTTCTCTTGATTAATAAATTGTATATCATAACATTTTTTATCAATGTGATTATTCTACAAAATGGTATTTGGTAAAATCTAAAGTAAAAAGTGTTGTAAGTAAACTTAACTAAAATATGTCAAAGCAACATCTTGGATAGAATTGATATATGTCTCAATACATGAGTAATCATCAAGTGCTAAACTTCAGGTGTTGAATAACTACTTTTAAAAAATATATTTAAAAATGAATTAAAAGTCAAAAAACGTCAAAAGGTTAATTAATCATCAGAAATGACTATTTAAATATCACACTCCATAATTCTATTCAAAACCATATATATAACATTCTAACTATCACAATATGATGACTTTAATCACATGTATATTAAAAACATATTCAATCAAATTGATTTAAAAGAAGTTTTATCATGATTAAACATTTCAAACTTACTTAGTACACAATGTATTTTTCCGATTTTGATTTTCACTTCATACTTTTATCTTCAAATGTGAAATCTACCTATTGTAAAAATAAACTATTCAGATTTTGTTCATAAGCAACAAATACATAAACTATAAATGATTTGGCATTGTAAAATATAACATCAAACACACAGCTATAATCTAATGTAAACTTCAGATTTCCTTCCGTTCATTTCATGACTTTTGAATGTATTACCTAGCATTGTACATAAGTGGAGCAAAATAAATTCTATCTCATCTCTTGAAAGATTATACAAGATTTCATTGATTTATTATATAATGTATTGAACATGAAACATTTCATACATAATGTAGCTTAAAAAATAAATTTGAAGTCTTAGTATGTGAAGCTAACAAAATCTCACAAGCTTACAAATTTTCACTTTAATTTTTGTAGATATTTTTGCAGCATATTTGATTTTAATTATTTGTATTTTTTATGATTGTGAGTATGTTATATCTTTATATTCAACAAAAAGTTTGCTACATCAAGTTTTTCATTAAAAACTTAAATTCTAATATTTTTTTATTTTTTCTAAATATATATTTATAATTGTAGATGCTCGATAGGCACCGCAAGATGCAAAGAGCTACTCATTAGTTCCACTTCAACTACATGTTACCAGATCCACAAATCAAAAACTACCAACTATGCTTTGTGACTTGAAGATCTAAACTTTGTGACTTGAAGATCCGAGAGTTCATTTTAGCTAGTTTTTTACAACTGTTAATGTCAAATTGATTATTTGTCAAAATGAACATGTTATTAAACTAGAATAATGAAATTAGAAATCAAGTTCTTGTCTTTTGTATGTATACACATGAATTATACACAATACATTTGAAAATCATTGTGGTATCATGAACTCATCAAACCTAACATTTCCCTGTCTAATAGGTTACTTTAATCTATATAATGATGTCAACAATCTACAAACTAACTTTTCCCCGACATTTTTTGCCGGGAACTTGTTGTCTCATGTGGATTTTGTACTCAAAAGATTCATATAAAATGGTTGAAACTACAGCATATGATCTATAACCAGACTAAATATTGCAATAAATGTGCATACAAGTCAAATTATATCATATTTTCATACAAATTAAAAAGCTTCGCTATAATACACACATTTATCTTCTGTGAAACTTCTAGTCATCAACTTGGCTTTCAAGGTTCTACTCTTGTCATTTGTAGTATTGTATTTCAACTTGTATCAATTCCAAATATTTGCTTTAGTTAGGTAAAAATGAAACAAGGAACAATGAGTTTCAACACAAGCAATGAGATTTCAATCACATGAAAAAAAAAGATTTTCTTTGTGCTTTTCATTTAGTTTCTTAAATTTTCTCCTTGGAAAAGTTGTGATCATTGCAATGTTTCATTTTATACAAGACAACAAGATATGTTTCAACTCTGGCACAAACCTTGCCAAGCTTCTTTGCTCTCTATGCTCTCTATCATCCATAATAGAAAGAAGAAGTCATGAGATGTATACGTCTACAATTATTGACTTTGACTACCTTACTTTAACTCATGAATGCAAAGATCTACCAACGAAGCTCATGTTCAAGTAGTTCTCTAATCTTCAACCTTGTATGCTCTTACTAGTCAATCAAGCTCAAACAAATCAAAACAAAGTGAACTAAAAGTCAAAGCATGGATCTTTACCCCTATGGATCCCACTACTCTTGTCCATGTGTGAACTGCAGTGCAACAATCAAAATATCTTAATATCGAATCAAAACGTCTTTTTTCTAATACCAATTGTTTAAAATATAATCCAATATCATTTAAATAAATACAATAGAGTTGACACGAAGACAAATGAATACCGTGCATACAAATGAATCACAAGATCAACCAAGGTTGTTTTACAAAGAGCTTCAAAATCTTATCTTAGAAAATGGAATCCAACTTGTCTAAGTAAATAAAATTACTACGGATAAAATTAAACACCAGAAGAAGAGTGAATTGATATTCCCAATGATCATTATTTAAATGGTTTTCATCATGAAAAGAACGAGTATAATTATAAACCCCCGAGTTGAATAACACTAGTAAAAGGTCTGGAATAAATACAGCAGATCCTCTTTGAAAATGGGATGTGGCGAGGAAGTGCAACGGTAGAGGGGGAAGTACGATCTGTTGAAAGATGAATTCACCCTATTCCGCTCGAGGACGAGAGGAGAGAGAGAAACTGGAGCGTCGGACCGCGTCTTGCGCTTGGGCCCAGGGGGTCGTTGTACTCGTTGTGCGGCTAAACTCGGCACCTGGAAGGGTCGATCGGTTCAGGCGCTGCTGCTGATTCTTGCGCTGCGCTCCATTCCAGTCCCATTTCAGTTCAGTTCAATTCAATTCAGTCGCACTCTTGTGAAGATCCCGGTCGATTGATCGAACATGGCTCACAACCCCTCGCACCTCATGCCCTCCGGTTGGTGTCGCTGCTCTGTGTCCGTCTGAGCTGCTTTGGTTTGCTGTCTGTGGGCATTCTTGGGCGGAGTTTGGCCGGCCAAAACTTTGGATGTGGTGGTCGCCTGCACTGCCGCGCCAAATTTTGATCAGTTGTGTGTTGTCGCTGTTGTCTGCAGAGCTGATTGACCGGTGCATTGGCTCGAAAATATGGGTGATCATGAAGGGTGACAAGGAGCTGGTCGGGACTCTGCGCGGTTTTGACGTCTACGTCAATATGGTGCTCGAGGATGTGACAGAGTAGTGAGTACTATGGGTAGAGTGCCCTGCTCGTGAATTTTTTTAAATCTCGAGGCTGGACTGGAAATTAATTAACCGAAGTGCATTTTGCTGAGATGGAATATTTTAGTTCTTTGGTAGCTACCTCTGCATGAACTCAGATAACGCCCAAGTCTGGTCGAAGTCACATGCTTTTCGTTTCAGCTCCGAACAATGTGTGGAAACTGTTCTCAATTACGCGAATGTGCGCATCATCATGAGTTGCGCCTGATGGATTTTTTTTGACCACGGAATTCAGCAGTTCTTCTGCTCAGCTTCAATTGGAGTGATAAGCTGGTTTGATCACTCCAATTTCTTAAACTAGGTGTCAAATGACGTGGTGTTCACTTTGAATGAGCTCCAGGTTTATGAGAAGCCTGCCCCGTGGCACTATTCAGCTCGTAGGAATTTAGGGCACCTGATCTCATCTTTTGTTTGTTCGCACATTATCACACAGTTAGTCTCGCCTTCCGAGATATTGTGGCGTACCTTACCTTATACCGACTTGAATCAGACTCGTATTCTCTTACATTATTCAGTCATTACCAATATCCTCTCCCAGTGTCACTGCAAAAAGCATCGACGCATAAATCGAAGATTGTTCTGATGATCTAGAGGTCAAACCTCGCTTACTACAGTGCGATTATTTTTGCAATAACCTCACATCAAGGTCTCCATTCCCTTCTATGTGTGCACTTTCGGTTCTAATTTAGTTTTTGGTTGGCAGTGAAATAACTCCCGAAGGACGCAGAATAACAAAGCTCGATCAAATTCTTTTAAACGGGAACAACATTGCTATAGTAAGTTAGGTTTTTCTATGTTGGCAGTTATGCAGGTTTCTTAAAAGCACTTGCTGTTTAAGATTAATGAGTATTACTTAAGGGCCAGCTTAGTTTGGAAAATATTAAGCAATTTGGTTTTACAAAGTGCTGCAACTCGGTGAAATGAACAGACACATGAAAGCTTCAACCCGTTTCATTGTCAAGTTTTTTCTTAGTTTGATCGGAAAAGTTGCTGATGCAGAACAGAGACTTGATTGAGTTGATATTTGCTAGACTTTTGGTGCACATACTGAAGATGGATTTTAGGAGATTGAGCTTTCTCAGTGCTTCTTTGAGGGTCGTCTATAAGCTCGAGACGTGATAATTGAAAAGTACGTGCTAGTTTTAGACTATTTTTAGTTTCGTCCATCTAATTTTCAGACCCTAACCCTACTTGCCGTTATACTCCTCGCAGCTTGTTCCTGGAGGAGGTCCTGAATGACAGGTGAGCTGTGCCGGCGTGCAATTAGATGCAGATATGTACTCAATTTTGATACACTTCCTGCTCGGAGGACTAGTCCAAGCTAAGTGCTTCGGATCAGCTCATTACAGTCTGCTTTTGGAAATTTCCTGTAAGGAAAACGCAGTTTTCTGTGTGGATCATGACAGCAGTCTCCAACTTGTTCAAACTCAGCCAGTAAGCATTGAGCTCTTGGAGAGTGAGCTATCCAAGTCTACTGTGTTAGAATTGCTTCACTTGGGAATGTCAATATTGAAAGGCTCGTGGCCCACATATCCAATTTCTGCTCTTGACAAATTCCTGCCATGCAGCCACATCAAATCCCATCGATACTTTATTTGCCTCAGTAGCGTAGTCGCTTGTACCTGGCTTATCCATCACGCATAGGCTTCCGTTTTTCATAACTTGTAGCCAAGTGATATGACACTGAATCTTGTTTCAGATTCTTGGTCTGAACTCTTGTGAATCTGTACAATAAAGAGGTGAAGAGACTCCATGGCTAGCTTTGCGGTCGGAGGATTGCCAAATTCTGCAGGTCTTATCCATCAACGCTTTCCCTTATGTTGCACTCAAATATATACTCAAATATTGTTTACGTGCTTCCGATCCATTTTCAAGGAAGTTTAGGATCAGATAAGTGCAGAGACTTGCAAATTCAGTACTGTGAAGATGTTCCGACATTTTGTGGAAAAGTAGATTAGAAACCGATTCAAGATTAAATTATAATCTTGAACATTACAATCTTGACTAGGTTTCGATCACAATTATGTTTCAAGTTGAGTGTCCATGTCAAGGATATGTGACGTAAAGAAACCACTGTCGTCTAGTTCGTATATTTGTTCATTAAACTGGGTGGAGCTTCACGGTTGTGGCTGCGACTCATGATGAAAGCACTTGGGGAAGTAGTCTACAGTTTGCGGTGGAAGAACTATTGTGTTCTTTCGAGATCCATTTGGTTGTGACTGCGATTGGACATTTCAAACAGTCTTGCACTTAGGATCCAAGGTTAATTCGCTAGTGATTTGGCAACTGAAGAAATTCATTCATAATACACATTTTTACAATAAGCTGTTAGTACAATTGACACCAGTCATGTTCCGTTCTGTCTTTCTTTGGATCATTCTTTCCTTCTACTTCTATCATTACTCTATCCCCTTTCAAATTTGTCCGAAATGATCGGCCCTTCCTCTACACACTGGCTTCGAGTTTCCTCCTCAGACTGCTACCGGGTTCTTCTGCTACGGTTGTTCATGCAAACAACCGTGGCCGAAAACACAAAATTCAGAGCGGCGGTTGATTTCCAGGCTTCGTTCGAGGTTCCCCAAAAGACTTGAGCGGAGACTCTCCACACTGAAGATGAGATCCTTTTCAATCGTCCCCGGGGTGCATGACGAACTTCCGTTGAGATTCCTCCGCAGACTGTGGGCGAGGCTCCTCTTATTGACGTGAAAATTTCCTGGGTGGGTCAAAGACATATCGAGAAACACCTCCTGTACGACCTTCATCGTCACCGGACTCTCGGGATTCTAGCTGATCGGCATTTAAAGTCTCCAAAACGTTAGAATCTGCTCTACTACTCCTGCGCACGTCAAAATCGTATTGTACACTATCTGCTATCCTCCTATCCTCTACAGTTGAGGCTGTCCTCTCAAGGTGAGGCTGCTCATTGCCTACATTCTCTACCGTCTCAAGTCTTCCTTGGCCTTTTCCGGACGTGTTTGATGCATCCGGTCCGGTCTTCGGACTGCGCATCTTTGTCTGGCCATCTAAAACTTCAAACCTTCCGGCGTCATCCAACTCAGTATGAAGTTCCGCTGGATCCTTCAGCTCTCCGGGTACACTTTCGTCTTCAGACACATCTATCATCTCGACTAGAACGTCGGCATAAGGAGGCGAATCATCCTTAGCCGATCGCTCTCCCACGTTGTGGACATCCGTGAACCGTCTCCTTCCATCATGTGCGTGAGCATCAGTTGACAGTCGAGAAGGGGATCGTGATTGTGATCGTGATCGTCTACGATCTGCTGAAGCAGAGCTCCGTCGACCATCACCTCGCGTGTCTTCATACAGCACGTTGTAGTGCCGTTTCTTGTCTTCCTTGCTGAACGGGACGTTTCCAAGCATCGCCGGCTGCGATTTCGATCCCCAGCATGCAGCTAACGACCTCCAGACTCCTGATGCTGGAGCCGGAGTCGGACTAGGTTTCCTCCGAGGGGTAGCAAGTTCAGCCGGTTCCAAGCTTTGCACCTTCACTCTGCGCTTCTTGTTTGGTACCTTCGGGGCTTTACCTTTGCCCTTCGTAGATTCGGTTTCTTGAGGCGATTTCTTTTCGATTTCTATCTCCGGCGGAGACAATACTGCTTTATTCGTATCGGCAGTCGAAGTGGACGCGGTTTCTGCGCGGAGAGCTGGAGCTGGTGCAGGGGGTCCAACTGAAATGGAAGGATTATCGGTTTGTAACGCATTGGTGGACGGTACAGCAGGAGGAACTTGGGAAGTGGAAGGAATATCAGAGGGTAGTGCTGGAGCAACTTGTCCTTGGGAAGTGGAAGGAATATCAGAGGGTAAAGCTGGAGCAACTTGTCCTTTCGAAGTTGAAGGATAGTCAGTAGGTAAAGTTGGAGGGAATTGCTCTTGGAGCTTTTCTTCCCGACTTCCGCTTTCCTCATAGTCCAGGACTGTAACCACCCGTCGAGCAGCTCCGAACGGAATCAGATGATGCTCCAGCTGCTCTCTCTCGGCCGAGCTACTACGAGGTCGCTTCATTGCTTCCATCTTCTGCTTACCATGCCTTCTGGCAATGGTTCGTCGTCTCTTTGCGCCCGGTCGATGAGGTGTTTGATAAACAGGCGAAGGTCTGCTCCAGGGGGCTTTCATGGGACATATCGATCTCACCGGAGCGATATCTTCGGGCTCTCCAGGAGAGGTAGTTGAAAAACACCGAACTGCAGGTTCTATACCCATTTCCTCGTCATGTGGTATGTGCTGTTTAGATCGCTGTAAAATTTCAGTCTCCAGTTCACGCCTTCTTTTGTTCTGCAACGGCCAAGAGACAGGTTGAGATTTGCTGGTTTATCTCTGAATCTTATTGATGATGGTCGAACGTCGTGAGAATCGACTTAAAGTAATGTGGCCTTTTCACCATATGGTCAGATACAGACGAGTGAAATAGACTAATTAAGAGGCTGAATAGATAGTCACTAAAATGTTTAGTCGGAGTGAAAGGAGAAGCGATGCTATGTAATTACTCAAGCATCAACTGGCAGTTTACTTCACTCAACAGAGTAAAGTAGACTAAACACCTTCATTAGTCTGTCAAAGGTAACTTTTAGTGAACATTCATTAGTGAACTTTTTAGCAGACCTATTCTGGAAAGTTCATAAGGTGATCAACTCTTTAAGATGGCAACGGCCTTGGAACCTAGATGACCGACCATGTAGGAAAGATCGAGTCCTATAATAAATCACATGGGACGCCGATGAGTTATAAACAACTTTCGATGCAAACTTCTATCGTGCTCGGTGATCATTCGTGAAGGTTGTGCAAAAGCAGCTGGTGAGGTTCATCAATACGCTTTGTGCATCGTGAAAGCCTTTAGTAACGTGAGTGATTCCGTAACCTTGCTTCCTACAACGCCAGCCAAGTTAATGTTTTAGATACTAAGCAGCATTATATTTGTTTACTACATTTTATTTCATTTTGTTCTATTTGTTAGCTACATTCCTCATTACGTGGATGATCTTATCTTTTCACTGCATTCCACTACCGGTTTACTTCACTGAACCAGTTCACGTATATACTGTAGTCGCTGACTTCAGTTGTGACACGCACCACCCTGCTATGAGACGAGATTTAAAGAACTGTAAAGGAAAAAGTACACTCTGTAGAAACAATCTCATAAGAATATGCACAACTTCTCAGAAGGTAAGAGAAAAGGAGCGCACGAGTCACACTTTGGAGTACTGAGCTCGTGATGCGTTGCGTCGTGCACAGCAGCCGACTGTGTATAACGCGACCTGCCAAAGAGATGCAAGAAGGAAGAGTTAAGGTCTCCATGATTTCTCCAAACATCTTCGTCAGGGCATAATCACAAGTGTGAAACTGGTTTCTACAGCGGACGTAATGAGCGACTGCGGAGTTTATACACACTGTTTATCTCTTGATGTGATTCAAGACTACTCCCGAATGCCCCGAAATTAGCCCATAGGACAAACCTCATGCAGCGGCTCAAAACGCCCTAAGTATGAGAGATAAAGCTTGAACATCTGGGTAAGTGCCCAGTAAGTAAGGAGGAAAGAGGTAAACGTGTTGGAGACTCACAAGAAATAAGAGAACGGCAATGTTGATTATTGCAACCAGGCGCCAATCCTTTTTGATAAATTGCGCGACCCCAGCCCTGAACACAAGACTCCTGGTCAGTGGATAAGCTCCTCTTGACAATGCATATGCTGACCATAGGTATCTAGACATTCCTTTTCGAACTATGTGAGAGCACGGTTTTCGGCTGATATGTTTTCCCAGTTTCAGCATTAGCACAAAGGGCTGGACCTGGCACCAGATGTACTCTAGCCTTTGATCGCGCTAATCTAAGTCGACAATGCCTGCTAGTGACACCGTCTCATCCACTTGCTAGGATGTAAAATGTTCTGGTAAGTGATATCTTCTCTAGCAACTTTATACACTTGTGGGAGAGAACAGACATGCACACAACTTACTTGCAGGAATCACACTCGAAGCACATAGTATCTGGATCGTTCTGATAAATAACGCAGTCTGGATCATCGTAGTGTTTAATCGGAGATGGAGCAGCGTCATGTTGAACGAGTGTTGAAGAAACGTTTATGGTTTTAACCCTCCGGACTTTCAGTTGAGCTCGTGGAGGTTGTCTGGAACCGGAGACAGCCGCGAATTTGACGACTGGAGCAGCAGGGGTGGCACCAGCTGGAGGTGGTTCATCAGGTGGGGTCGAATCAGGAGGAGGAGGAGGTTCATCTGGTGGAGTGGAACCAGCGGGAGGAGGAGGTTCATCAGGAGTGGCACCGGCAGGAGGAGGTGGTTCATCTGGTGTGGCACCGGCGGGAGGAGGAGGTTCATCTGGTGTAGCACCGGCGGGAGGAGGTGGTTCATCTGGTGTGGCACCGGCGGGAGGAGGAGGTTCATCTGGAGTGGCACCTGCGGGAGGAGGAGGTTCATCTGGTGTAGCACCGGCGGGAGGGGGAGGTTCATCTGGTGTGGCACCGGCGGGAGGAGGAGGTTCATCTGGTGTAGCACCGGCAGGAGGAGGAGGTTCATCTGGTGGAGTGGAACCAGCGGGAGGAGGAGGTTCATCTGGAGTGGAACCAGCGGGAGGAGGAGGTTCATCTGGAGTGGCACCGGCAGGAGGAGGTGGTTCATCTGGTGTGGCACCGGCGGGAGGAGGAGGTTCATCTGGTGTGGCACCGGCGGGAGGAGGAGGTTCATCTGGTGTAGCACCGGGAGGAGGAGGTTCATCTGGAGTGGCACCGGCGGGAGGAGGAGGTTCATCTGGTGTGGCACCGGCGGGAGGAGGAGGTTCATCTGGTGTAGCACCGGGAGGCGGAGGTTCATCTTGTGGAGTGGTACCCCAGGGAGCTAGTGGAGTGAAAACGGTGGGAGTAACTCCATAGGGAGGTGTTGGTTGAACGGGATTGAAACCCAGAAAGGAACTTGTGTTACCGGAAATTCCGGTAACATTCGATTTGCCTATAGAGACCGACGACGAATTGGTTTGCACATATCTGCTTGATAAGTCGTAATACGTTGCGTTTATCATGGGGAATTTGCACCTGCAAGTAAAGACATTGCAAATAATCTTGTCACCTTAGCCGTAGTTTCCACCCAGTGGATCATTTCCTCAGTGTATCCCACTTCCCGCAATGCTACTTAACAGCACCCAATCTGATCTTCCAACTCTGACTACACAACCATTATATGGTACTTACTCCGAAGGTGGACGGCAACAGCCCGATTGGATAGAGTTCAATTGTCCACTTTTAAGATCAGCTACTGACTGAGAAATCACGGCACAAAAGATTTCAACATCAGCTTCTGTTATGCAAACATGAGATATAAAGAGACATGCATAAAATTTCATTTCATATGCAAATCTTTTGACAAGTAGTACGCAACTCACACTATATGTCCTGCCTATTTCTGCGCAATAGTCGGGATTCAACAAGCAAGCTCGCAGATGTTTCCAAATTTGATGATTATTGAACTGCAGAAAATTTTAGAAGTTAGTCCTTGTTAGACGTGGAATCTTGATCGACTATATGAATCATATTCACTATAAGGAGTGCAATAAGCTTTGCTGAGGGGTAACAAGCTGATTATACCTGGTAATAAAAGAAGGCGACTGACCACACCTAGCACATAGAATTCGACTTGAATCACTAGTACTAAAACAAAGAAGACGGCAATACTTACAAGTTTCCGGATGTATCCAGAATAGTCAGCAAGTCTGTATTCCTCAAAACTGTTTGTCGAACACCAAGAGTTTAAAAATTCAGTTGTTACCCAATCATTTGATTGATGCAAAATGCCATTTTAATGTGAATGTTGCTGGGGTATTGAAGCAATTAAAAAGCCAAAAAAGTGAACCCACCCTTGCCCGCTTATAGCACGGCCAGCTCCCTCGTTGGTAATAACAAAACTGCACACGGAAGTCAAATTTCGTACTGAATCAGTTTCAGCATCTTAAAGACGCCGTGGCTTCGTTAGCTAATGAAGACGTCAATCATTTGACGAATATCGTCAATTTCAGCTCCTGCCCATGAAGGCTACAAGCTGTTAGGAGCAGGTTTGAAGACGAAAGGAGATCTATATATAGAGATAAGGATCTTACGCAAATGCTGTGAAAAGAGCAAGACCTGCAAGAAGAAAGAACATAATAACCAAGTACTGTGAGGAGCAAGTTAAGGATGACATTGAAGAGTCAGGATAGAATTGACCTCTTCTCAGAACTATTCGAACGTTATTTCAGAGCCGTTCGAGTGTTTTTCTCCAGGAGCTAGCATGCTTCTATAGAAGTTCGAAATTAACTACTTTAAATGTTGCTTTGCTTATTTCATGACCAATCCCTCAATGTCCTCTTCGGGATGCAGTACATGAAGTTGGAACCCATCCAACAGTATTGATTGTTAGTATTCTCATAGAGAAGAGACATGCTTTCGTCAATTAATTTACCGTCCTCTATGCTATTACGGCAATCGACTAGAACGAGAAACGTTTTGAAGTCCAAATTGTTACATCAAACATGCTATATGGAGGATACGATCCATAAGAGCCAGGCGATATCCTTCCAAGATCCCACAAAACCCAACAAAGATCTGCATCGAACGAGAAAATTCAGTTAATCCATAGCCTTTTCCAATTATCATAAGTTGATCTAACAAGGTTCTTCCAGAAACCACTCGATCAATCTCTTCAAAAGGTTCAGCGCCGCCTCGCAAGTCGTGCAAGTCTCTAGATGACTTATACAGCTTTCAAAGAATTCTTTGAGCCATTGAGATAAGCCAACGAGTCCACGGGTCATATCTGATAATGAGGAACTGTGTGACTAATACAGCATACACACACTCTTACGCTGTTTGTAGCTGATAGGAACTACTATTATATCTCCTAGCACACTCAAAGGCAGAAAATCACTAGATTTGCAAGGTACTATTGTAGTAAAAGGAAGGTTACCATGAACAACTCTCTCCGGATTTTTTGCAGATAGTATTCTTGTTCACAAGGAATAGAAGCCCCGATACAAAAACAGGGAAGCTACAGATAAAAGAGAACCACCATTGCTGAAGTATAAACTGAGCAGTGAATGGAAGAGAAACATGCAGACGCTAGAATCATTGCCGCAGTTTAAAAACAGCTGGAGTAAGTTAACGTGCCTGTGCAAAGCGCCGAACATATCTAAAAATTGAAACATTATTGTTTGTTTTAACTGTTAATGACAGTGATCAAATGGGAGAAGTCTCACATCAGAAAAACAAAAATTCCTACTATGATGACCGGCGCGGTCAGAAATTCGTCGCAGTCTCCATGCTTTGTGGAGAGCCATATGCCCAATCCAAGAACACAGAAGGAAACACCCTGACACACGAAGCATGCATGTTAAAAAGCTTGGTAGATGGTTTAGCTCTAACCTGGACTTAAAACAGTTAAGGTAGCAAAATTGTGTCACGAGATACTTCTAATACGGTGTACAAATCGAAGGGTTTCTTTCTCTGTTGTGAAACCTACCAGTGTGAGAAAGTTAACCCACTTGATGATAAAGGAGCTGACACCATAACCCATATCTAGCGCCTGAAAACCAGGGCCACCTGAAATTTCACCGGACGGGAGCCTGAAATCCAGAGAGGCATGATCTTCAGTTGGCACGCGTGACCCAGCTTGAACGTGCTAAAGAACAGTCCTGCATGTCAATTGAAATCACAATATTTCACGAAGGCTGCGAGCTCAGAAGTTCTGCAAATTGAGAGCTAGTACAGTACTGCTTGGATTCATGTTATCAAGAGATAGCTCTTTTTTTTACGCAGATTGCGAACTCTTTTCTTTGTCCAAACACCTGAGTCACTAAGCCTCTCAGCTGGTGACTTCATTCGTCGTAATGGGACGACACTAGGGGCGAAACAGCTTGAAGTAGAACTGAGTAGGCGTCCAACGTGAGACCTCTATGGTTGCAAAAGAAACGCATTCTGAATGCTTTGCTAGAGATAGGAAATTATTGGCAATAAGTTGACTCGTTGTGGCCAGTGGATACCAATGGGCGCTTCGTAGAAGTCTTCAGCACTTCTTTTTCGGAGAACATCACAGAGAAGGTATTGTTCCGCAAGAAACTTGGAGTGCGTTCATGCTTGAGACTGTACTAAGGAAATGACCGGCAAGGTTCAACTCGTCGGAAGAGCACATTCTCTGAGCTTCTTCTGAAGTGAAAACGGCAAAAAACTTCGGTTCACGAGATGTAGTGAGCCGCGATACATCCAAACAGTTTAAGGGCTATTCTACTCTCATGCCCTTAGGCGTGCGAGTTCTGTGGTGTGCAGACGAACGTCACAATTGCATTCACGAACGAATGTTCATCTCTTCCGCCACGAGGAAAGTGCAGATGAAAACACACGCGATTCCTCCGGACCATTCAGTGGTCACGAGAATGGCCCTCTCATGGACAAGGTTTCGACCACGCCACCAATTCGACCACGAACAGCTCACGACCCGCACGGCCCGTCTAAGGCCGAATGTGAAGAAGCTCCATGAGGAGATCAGAAATTCTATGCACGGGCATTGCCGACGAGACTAACAAAGAAAGAAGAATCCTCGTTCGGGCGCCAAATCGGAACACGGAAGGACCTCGATCGAGCTCACACGAATGTTTCTTTGTAACGGATCTTCCTTCTTGCCCGCCATTAGCTACAGCATCCGAACTCATCATGCGATTCTTTGACACCAGTAATCTCACTGTCCACACAAGGCCAGATCACTCGATCGTCAACGTGAGACCAATGCTTCGGATTGAGACGGAACGAGACCTTCTGTTACAAAAGGTCGACCCGCACTTCCGAGCAGGAGGTTCGAGATCTCCATCGATCAGCCGCTGGGATATCAAATCAAACTGCGACCGGGCCGATGTTCTTCCCGTCCAATCGGAGCTCTATCTCGCCAGCCCCGATCTCTGCTCTTCCGGTCTCGTCTGCTCTCCGCTCCGCTCCTCTCCTCTCCTTCCGTCGCCGCGCCCCTTGCCACTAATTCAAACCCTGCCCACGTGGCCGCGTCTTCGGACCAGGCAACTGTCCGCTCCTTGACCTTCACCGCCTACAGGCGGTGACCTCCTACACCTCCGGCCTCCCCCGGAGCGAAACGACGAAGATATGCATATCCGCAAGAGCAGCATTCGGGCGAAGCTCCATGCGAGATCCGAACCCAGGGACTGAAAAAAGTGCCTGCATTTGTCGTCCGGACGTTGTGCATGCACTCGTGGAAAGGACTCTTCGGTCTTGATTTGTTACCGGTACGATGCAGTCGTCGTACTGCAGCGGATCTGGGTCTGCGAATCCTGTGCATTCTTGAGGCGGCGTGCCCATAAATGGTCGGTTATGATGTCTACGACTTGAAGTACGTACTGCGTGAAACATGATCGGTGCACGGCCGGAGCAGAAGAAGAATCGAGCGTTTCGTGGCCTGTGTGTCTGTTGAGGATCTTTGCCGAATGTTACTGTGAGAATGCGAGTGGTGAGTTCTGGGCACTCGAAAAGTAGTATCCATCCGTTTGGCAACGATTTGTGCGAGGAGGTCCGAGGAGAACTAGACTCTCACGGTTACTCACAATCACGACGCTTTGATGCGGTGAACATGTTCGAGACATGGCTCATGACGGAACATGAATATCCTTTCCTTGCACGTTTAAACGATGGCACTTGATTTTCAATCCAGTTCCGGTTGATGTTCAGATGACCCTTCCTTCCTTCCCTTTCCTGGTGTGAGAGAGACTTGTGTGTCCAGAGGTCATATCAGCTGGGGGAACAATTTCAGCGTAACCAGGTGCAATTTACAAACCGCTGACTGGCCCTGGGTTGCTATGGTCTGATTCATAACATCTTCATTCCGGATCTTTTCTGTTCCTCTGGGCTTGTGCACAGTGTCACCTGCGCTACTCGGAGCCAAATAGGTCGAGTCTGGAATGACACATTCAACTCATTTTTTCGATGGCGAGGCCGGCTGAGGACACACAAGGGTACTTTGTTGAAGTAGGAGGCGTGGACTCGTATATTCTCATCGTATGTGTACCGATTCAGCGTTTAAAACGATATGAATGTCTCAATTCTCTGTAACTCAGCCGTGATCAGTCCTTTTCGTGGAATGAATGTTTCAGTAGCGTGTGATTCCGATATCTCGAATCGCCCCGTCATCAACTACACCCTGAAGAAGAAGCTCTATGGAGGGCGACTATCTAACATTTACCTGACAGGTGAATCGATACCTCAGGATGATCATCTCGTGATCTAAAATTGCCGAGGTGTGATGTCAAAACCGATCAACACAATCACGAAGCTCAGACTGCTCCAGAACCCGTTCAATTTTCTGGAAACTGTGATGTTCATGATCAGCCATATGAGTTCATGGTATACTAGACATTGTCAAGTGGAATATATGTGACGGAACTACAAAGGTCACTCTAAGCACTTGCACGACAGCAAGTAGGGAAGGTTTTGCTGCTTAGGTTTGGATTGATAAACGTGACTAGTTACTGGTCTGCTTGCCATGTGTTCTCCATGCGTGATATTTATCTCGTATATCCCATTGACCTTAAGATTATGTTTGCCACTGCCTTTTGCTTCCTGCAATGTACGCATAGGGTGCTCATACCGGAATGAACCTCTACAAGTTTATTCTACTAGTCTGAGTGGCTAGATGATGATTATATACAAATAACGAAGCACTATGCGTGCTAGTTCCGACTTGTGTGTAAGACATGGTATCCAAGCATTTCGCTGTATGTTCTTCGATGTAGTTTGTAGGTTAAATGTGGAGTTGCTAGTGAGTGGTTAGTTTATTTATGGAGTTAGCAATCATGTCAAGTTAAAGGATATGCCTTATAATCTAGTAGCAAGCTAAAAGTTTCCAGTAACTTCATCCTATGGAGCTTTCCGATCAGTAACAGCTTGCTAGAAAAGTATGCGTGGGATGACGTGAGGGGTGAAGAAATCAAGCCCAAAGTTGGTGATACTCATATGCTAATCGATTATGAGAAGAAGGCCACAAAAGAGTTTCTACTTCAGTCTGAATAAACCGAGGTGACTCATCAACTGATGGGGTTGAAGACAATGAAGACATTTTAAACAAGAGGTTCAATACCCATAGCATTCAAATGAAGTTTGTGCTGTTCACTTCAATCTTCACTTCACTAACATTGTTTGATTCAAGACTTAGTGATTCATATGTCTTGCATGTTGATGTAAAATATTGATAAACCACATTGTTTGTACCGTGTGCTGCGTGATTAGAACAAACATGCAGCACACATGACACAAACATCGAAGATATGTGGTTTATCAGTATTCTACATCAACATGCAAGACATATGAAATCACTCAGTCTTGAATTACGTGAGATCAATAACGAGAGTCTACAAACTATTAGTCAGCTCAGTATACATAACCATGAAGCTATCAGGTAACTAATATAACCTGCATAATCTAAAAATGTTAATAAATGACAAGACAAAATTAAACAACCTCAAAAAATTTAGAACTTCACACGGTGGTTAGTTTAAATTTGTAATCTAAAATACCCAATTAGATTTGAGGGGTTTGGAGTCTTAATAAAACATAACTCGGAGTTTGGTCCTATAGACTGCAAGCTAGATCCAAGACTCACCGTTGTCTTGATATGATTGTCGATGTTCACGTGTTATTCACAAACGTAACTATATTGTTCATAATTACGTGGTCATGATATCGTTGAAGAAGAGAACCTTTTGCTAGCATAATGAACTCGAATATAAATGTGTTGTACTTGATTTAGTGGACGTTGAGTCTGAATACAAATCAGTGGAAGACAAAATTGGGATCTTTACGTTTTCTTTATTGAGGAATTTAGATTGGTTGGAGAGGTACATATCAACAATATTCATTAGATCAAATTTGTACATGATCTTGTCTCAGCAGTTTTCTTGCCTTTTTCTTCAGATACAGGCTTCTTTGATAATCTTATTCTGTTTATGTTGTGGAACATTCAGCTCAAATTCCAAGGCCTTCCTCCAACTAATACAATAAATCATCCATCTCTTAACAAATTTTTTCATGAATAGAACTTCCATCAATAGTTTACAAATGCTTTTCATGCTTGATTGTCTTGTCCAAAAAACTACTCCTTCAAAACTAAGTGGTTGGCATTGGCAAGGCTTGAATCTGAACTAGGTGACATGACTGATGTAACTACTACAAGTAGAGGGCTATCGAAACTTCAGTATGTTTTAACATGAGTTAACACACTACCAATTATAAGAGGGAGAGAGAGAGAAAAAAAGAAAGAAAGAAGATCAAGTGTAATGAAATCAAGCATGTGGAAACACACTACTGTACCATCTTATGAGAGAGAATGTCAAGTTTAACGATTTGCAAGTAGAATATCTGGATACTAATGTACAACATTACCAACTGTAAACACTTTAATATTTTACCATATTCAAAGTTAAACAGTTGAGGATCTCTAATGGTTAAATCTTGTGCACATACTTTATTGTGTAACTAATGACGAAGGGTGTTGAGATACCTTATTACCGTTACTTACAGACTTGTAGAGATGGTTAAGTTGGTAGATGTGACTTGTGACCCACTATGGGCTCGGGTTTAGGCTAGTTGTCACCTGTTCTATGTGTACCATGTAATGTTGTGAATAATATTGGTGTGAACTTTTGAATGTTAGATTATCATATGCTCTGCTGCTTTATTGCACTGCACACGCACAGTGCTCATTATAGAGAATCTAGGAACAAAACATCACCTGTGCAGGTGGCGACATGCGCCGATTCACCACATAGAATATCGATCGATGGGGCTGCACACACATGTCGACATTTCCAGTAATCTAGCCAGACCCAGATGACAGGAGTTAAAGCGAGAAATTTGTCTGAGTGTGAGACTCGTAGTGATATTTGTTTGGAGGTAGCACCTCATAATGCGCGGACTGCAACTATGTGGATTCACGGAAGAGAAAGATCAGTGCTCTGAGTCCGTTGATTTCCAACAAATAAGAAGAGTTTCAAAGCAATTATATCTGATTTCAACCTGTACAGAGGCTGGGCTTCCTGACGCCGACTGCTTAACTTTTCCAACTTTCCTATTCTGGTCTGATAAAACGTTCCATGAGTTAATCTAGACCATATCTATGTTTCCATCTCGTTTTCATCCACTACAACTCTCTCCTCTCGAATGCGTTAGACTCTTGGTTGTTGTTGACGAAGTTCAAGAAGAATGCAGTTTCTCCTGCTTTCTCCGTGCATTCCAACACGACTTGTCTGCAGGAGATAAGAGAAATCTTGGTACGGAAGATTTAGATCTTGGATCTGAAACAATTCAGGGTTAATGTTGCTGAAATTCTTGCACCCGTGATTCTTATGATCTTCGTTCTAGAGAATACGTCATAATCGACAGGATTAAAGGCTATATAATTGACCTTTGATGCATAGGAATTCGAACCATAACCCCAAAGGAGGTAATGTATGAACCATGTTTTCAGATTCACTACGTTCATTTTGCAGAGAACAAGCTGACCTGAAGAGTAAGGTCGATCACTGTAGACGGCAGGTTAACATATTGTCTCATACATCGCAAAGTAGTAAGAATCGCGAAATTTGCGCACATTCTGTGTAGATCAGTAGTTGCTCTCGAGCGACGTTTCCATGTATGACTCATCAGCACGGAGAGATTCACGTACAATCCACTAGGGACAGAGGGAAACATATTCATATCGTACAACCAACAGTTGTGCATAGATACAATCTTTTTTCACGTGGAAATCCATACTCAGGCTGGAAAACTCAGCAGTCGAGTTTTCTGAGGATGTTGGACTCCACCCAAAAATTGTTGGTGCCTAGCCCCATATTACATGTTTGGTTTCATCCCATGTACTGCTCGGTGGGGTCTTCCCATCCTTTTTGTTAAAGTTCTTTGTAGCTTGTCGTCCATGACATTCCTAAGAGGGTTACCTGAACTAAATGTGCATGCCGCTTGAATCCATTTTCATGCGATGCCCGATAACCTGAGGTCAAGTATCCTAGAGTTAGTAGTGTCACTCATGCAGAGTCTTTTGACCTTCTTCCTCTCTGTCTATCCACCGAGTCTTCTGCGATCTAAACTGGACGAGGACATGAGGCTTGACGGCATTTTCTTGCCTACATACTCACGTCGCTGGACATCGGCGTGAAATCGAAAACAGGAATCTAAACCTGCGCTCGTTTTGCCATGAAATCAATGAACTGTAGTTGATGAATAGTTCCTAGAGTTTTCTTCTCGGTGCTCTCTGCGTGATGCTAGTTCGGACTTGGTCCACAAACAGGCGACCATTTGAAAAGTTTCACAGATGGCAACGGTGGCTCCTCCATACACACTTGCTGTCATGAGTATGAATAAACGAATCTAGAGTTCTCTACCACATGGCTGTCATATGGATGCATGTGGCACGAGGGATGATAATCTATATGTTAGAAGCTTCACTCTCAGGTACGGCCTAATTGTTCACTGCATGTTAAAAGATGACACAGAGATTTCTATCCTGATACAGTAATGGCCATATCTCTGGTCAGAGGAGGAGATGAAACTCGAGTCCGATAAATTGGAGAAGAGCTGCAACGCACGAAAAGCTTACCGGGGATAGCTGCGGGAGTTGATGAGGAGCTCATGCGCGAAGTGGAAAGCGGTCGGGCGGCGCTGGAACCTTCCATTGTATCAGATCTTCTGAAGGCGATTCGCTACACCGCTCACTCGAGGACAGTTTAATGTGCGAAACTGGGGAGCCGGGTCTCTGAGCTACCTTTGCAGACCTTTGTTTCCTTTAACTTCCAAGGACAGGTGCGGAAATCCATGATATTGCGGATTGATTTCTAAAATATGCGAGCGACATAGCGGCCTTATGTCTATGCCCTGGGCTCGTCGGAGATGCTCGATAGCGGCCATCAGCCAATGTCTGGCATTGCAAACTTCCACAAATTCAACATCCCAGGTAAACCTGACATTTCCGATCAAATATGGGTCTCTGTGCTCCTTCTGTGATGCGAAACATGAACGTCAGCAGGAGATCCAGACGTACCTAGAAACTCGACCGGTCGTGCAGCTGCTGGTGGACAAAGCAAAAGTTGAAATATCTCTCTTATGAGATTCTTGTCTGAGTTTCTATATGAGTATCCGGCAACCAATTCTGGGCTACAGTTGCTGCTGGACCAATGGGATAGCACGTTGTATGAATCACGAACGGAAAAGCGGACGCGGAGACGCCAGCAGCACCATGTTGGCAGCAATAAATCTGGGGATTCAATTTGATCGTTGCACATGCAGTCGTGATTTTGTCTTGCACAAGTAAAAAAATGAATCATCTGCCTCTTTCCCTAGAGTGGTGGTGCTTTACATCCTAAGAAGTTTCAGCAACGTTCTGCTGGTTTTGCGGTGTCTGGACGGCCAGATCATGTGTAGCAGTTTTGCTCTGCTCTGCACTCCTGGCAATACCTTATTCTGCAGATTCGTCGTCTTTTCGTGTATCTTGGTCATGCATGGGATTACCCTGTCAGGGGTCAAATTACGTTGACTTTGGAATAAAATCATCGGTTGACGTCCGTCCATAGAAGCCGAGTTTGGATCAAGTGGTGTCTCGTGCGTTGATCGGAGAATGGATCTTCAAAAGATGGTTGTTGGACAGTGGTAGGTTCAGACTGAAATGAAGGACTGGAAGTTTGGAACTACTCCGGCATAATCAAATGGACGAGAGCCTGTCTTCAGTAACCTACGAAAGTGGACTGCAGTGAGTTCGTGGGAGAAGCGAACAACCCTTTCTTTGCCTTGGAAGACTTCTGCATACAGGAACATTCATACTTGTAGTCTACGAAAGCTCATCACTAGAATCATCTCGAGCAAGGAACTCAATAGCTTTCACTGACTCATGTTGACCTGATGACGCCGATCATGGTAAAACTGCAGTACGCAAAACCTCGTCATTCTTGTGAACTGAAGACGTCTCGTGTGCGTCAAAACAAATTTCCTTGGTTCAGATTCCACATGATTATGAGATGAAGGTCTGACTTATGAGCGTCCAAACGGGGAGTGACTGGGAAGCATTAGAAGAAGTGAATTCGAACTCGAGTGGATGTGGAAACACAAGCGTCGCTTTTAATCGTCCTCAAAACTTCAGATGTCGTACCTAGGAGGCATACAACGCCAAGAAGACAACAGTTGCCCTGGCCCTAGTTAACTTCGTTCGTTTGCTCGTGGCGAAGTCTAGGCACACTGCTGCTGCTGCTTAAACTTAGGTATGACCTTCTAGAGATAGCGGAGACTATGCTACGTGCACCATCTCCGACTGTCTCGAGTGGGACAGTAGAGGAGACCAGAGTCGTGTTCTCGAGAAAGAGACGCTAATAGCTCTGACTGTTTGACCGAGACAGAGCATAGGGAATCCCACAGAAGCATCCGAGCCAACTCTGTAAATCTTTGTCGCAAAAGGTCAAAGGAGCGATCGAAGAGTAGAGTAGAAAAGCCTCATGTTCGTTCAGAATTATGCATGACAACTCTGCCAGACTCGTGTAGAAGTTAGACGGCCCAATCTCATGGCTTTGGATCGCAGAAGGTAATCGGTAGTAGTAGATGTCAGTTTTGATATTTCGAATCTAGTCAGTTGTCTGCTCTTGAAGTAAGGCTGGTCTAGAAACAAGACCAGTCATACACTCATCATCTGTGATATGTCGTTCCTTCTGATGTAAGCATAGTCCAGAGATTGAAAAAATTCATTCTTCTCGTGGCATTGACTGTCTTGTCTTCTCCAGTCCTTCTCTTTCATCAACTGGGCAACTTACGGCGCACGCAACTCTTACAGTACCTGAAGTACTTAACCTCGTCTGGTCGTAGAAAGGTCATTGTACGAAACTAGAATGTCATCGAACAATTGTGGTGCACAACAATTGTACAATATTAGTACAGTGACTGCGGTAACGTGCTCAGAACCAACCAAGTGTTAGACCAGCCGAGAGTAGAGAGCGCTCAGCGCTGTCAGCTCGGGGGACGAGAGGCTTTTTGAGAAGAGAATGTCTCGACTAAAAAACGAAAAGCCTTCAACTCCGAGAACAAGATCGTCGAAATCTACTTTTTGCATGTTGCAGGTTTTGCGCGTTGGGGGAATAGAAATCATCCTAGGTGAAAAATAGAATTTTGTTTTATGCACATTGTAACCTTCTATCCTGCCGACCTATAGCGTAAAGTCCCCCCCTAATTTCGCTAATTACTTAGCCCCCTAATTTTGCTCCCTATTGCGCAAGAGGTGGAATGTAGCTACACGTTTTGGCGAGCAGCGAGTTAAATTTCTGTGTTGTCAAGTGGAGGCGACCGGAACTACGTGACTAAGGTCGACTTGGTGTATGGCAAAGGCAACATACCATCAGCAGGAGGAGGAGCCAACGAAAAAGAAACAGATAGATCCAACATAGCACTCAAGAATCTTTAGCTCTTCAAAGGGATAACATATTCAATGGACAATGTGCACACCTCAGCTCCATGATTGATGGATAGAATTCTTCACGACTTGATGAGGTCTTCCCATCTTTGGGCTTGGGGCAATGACGCAGTTAGTGAGGTGAAACCGAGACGCGTCAATTGCTGGTTGAAACTATTTCCATCTTTTTCGCTATATTACTGGGGTTCTCCGTGTGTTCTTCTGATACCACATATTGAACATTGATGATTATTGAGTCCTTCTCACATCAATGGGGCTTAGATGGCCCTCAGACTAAATGAGTACATCTACAATTCTTCACTTCACTGAATGTAAAGAAGTATCATGAGAGAACAATTAGCGTGCAGATGCTTCACGGACTCCTCGGGATATGGAAATAGTTTTCAACCAGCAATTGACGCGTCTCGGTTTCACCTCACTAACTGCGTCATTGCCCCAAGCGCAAAGATGCTATGCTAAATTGATGCGCAAAGAAGATATGCTAAATTGCTGCATGTTTTGTACTTCATGCAACTCTGCACTCCATTCAAGCATACACTCACAACTTCCTCCATTCCGCCAGAAAATCTGGTGATGACAACTAGCGAGTAAAAGGCTTTAGACAATTGAGCTGTCGACTGCTCTTCTTCGAAAGTTTCTTGTACAGCTGATCAAAAAATGCCTTCACCATTATGAATATTGTTTTGCCGTGTAGATCTCTAGAACGTGCGCCCCAAGATAAGCAGCTACCAACGAACGTAGAGAGGTATCGAAGTCCTGAAACTTGAAAAACCATGATTTAAGCACTTATTAATAAAGTAAAATGAGTAGGGTCTGATCAAGAGTGTGTACAGTATGCTTCTCCAGCATATCTGTGTAGTGTCCAAGAGAGTCCACAATGCAGCGGTCTAAATCTCACGGTTACAAACAATATGAATTATGGATCAAGTCATCTACCTGTATGATCCTTCTCACATACTCACTCGCATGTCGATGCACATACTAACAGACACTATCTCACCATCAGATATAATTAGGCACTGGACCCTATCACGGAGTACTTGAGGAAGGACGGAGTCGAGTCAGTTCACTGCACACTACGGTGTATATACGCAACCCTTGAATGTGAGCAGTACGGACTGTTCACCACAGAATCCACCGCAGCAGAATCCACAGCCGAGAAAAAGGTGGAGACCAGGTCAAAACTGTTGGATTCTCCTCACGCACACCGACAAGCGAATCCTCAATTTGACTTGTGCTGACGGGAAATCGTAAATAGGAAAATATGATTGTAATAACTTGAGGACCAGTTTCAGGAGTGATTCCAGCCATAGGATTTGAACAAATGAGAGCCACAAGTTGCTTGCATATTTTGTATTCGAAGACAGATTTGGTCCAGGCCCTGCAGAGCCGCCATTGGTAGGCAGAAGATAACTGAGATCTGCTGGAACTTCACCTCAACAACGAGGAGGAGCATAACGGTTTGCTCTGAGGAAGAGGATTCGAACGTCAAATGAAGAAGACGACAGTGAAGGTTGCTATTTCAGGACTCTGAACTCTGAAGTTTTTTGTAGTTTGAGCCTCTCAGCTTCATGTTCCATCGCTTGCCCTTCTTTTTCTTTTGACATAGAAAAGCTCACCGAAGGGCGAGTCACCGGCCAGAGCAGTCACTGGGTTTGCTACAGAAAAACCAGGCGCTGAGGAGGCGAGGGAATGCTTCTATATAAGTCTTCTCCATATTTGTTTTTCTCAACATGCGTCTACAATTTTCGTTTCTTTTTCATCCTTTCACCTTGTCGCAGGTTTCATGTTGTAAAGTTACTACTCTTGTCCAGCTAGAAATCTTGGGGTATACGTGAGCATTACATTTTCAGTTCCTTCATCTAAACCACAGTAATCAACACTTATCAGTTTCTGATAAATACAATTGATTAGAGTAAAATGGGTAGACCTTTCTTTAGTTGGACATAAAAGAACATTTTTAGTCCACATAGTTGGATATTTTTTGGCATAAATCCAATCAGACAAATGTTCCGATGACTTAAAATGTTTTACAGTTAATTCTTGAAACATGTGCTTGCAGTCGTCATTGTTATATATAAAAAACTACAGGGGTTCGTCCACTCGTGCCATTGTATTGCTTTCCAGTATTGTTACAATGAAGTGCATTAAGATAGCCATACATTTTGTTCTGGAACCTTGACCATAACCAGGTATGGTATAAGCCTAAAGATTACATGTGCTCTCCGTAATAAGTGTCAGGTCCCACCGTATAATTCCGGAACGCTATTTGTGAAATAACATGTTCGTGTATTTGTGATTCGAAGCGGTAGACGAGACTGGAGTGTGTACCCGGGATGGGAAAGATTTTAACCTAAAATTCACGCAAAGTATTGAAGCTTTTGTCGACGAGAATCCCGTACATCGTAAGCTTTTCGTCGAGCAAAAAGGTCACGTCCTCGAGTGCGGCGGCGGGCGAATACAAAAGCTCGCATTTAGTGAGAGACGTGAAGCGGATGTTACCCAGAGAGTGCAAAGAAAAACATATACTGCGTCAGAAAAGCCCGACGAAGAATGTCATGATCCAAGGATGACAGCATACAAGCCTGGAATATGCACTGGACAGTTCTCGAACATCCTCATGAGCCGCCAGCACCGCCGCTAACTTCCTAACACTCCACAATGTGTCAGGTTTGTTCAGTCCGACCTGGACCTGGACCTCGGTGAGTGGACTGCACTGTGGCTTCTCCCAAGTCAAATGAGCCGTTCCTTCCGATTGCCTGCCAGTCTCCATGGACCAAAGTCTGAATCGAGTGTCGGAGAGCGCGAACTGCATAATAGGGTTTTGCAGTAATATTTTCTCTTTCCATTCTTCATACCTCGCCGGCAAAAAGTATATTAATATGTTCACCGGCGTAATGTAAAGATATCGGATCAATCGTCGTATTTTCAACTGTAAAGCAAGAATCGATAGCGATGTAGGTTCTAGGGCTCGGGATGTTTCATGTTAGCAGGGCCTTGCTTTAGCCGTTCCCTGGGTCTGCATATGTCAGCTGATGCAATGATGCTGGCGCCATGGTCACATAGTTCTTTTCAAGAGGAGCCGAGGACCCGAAAGGGGGATTGGAATCAATGGACATGTTCCAGAAAGAAACGACCCTTTTCGAAGCCGTGCACGTCAGTTCAGTAGCCCTCGGAAGATTCACGCCTCCAGAGTTTTCCTTATCCGTCAAGATGTCTCCGCTCCATCATCCAACTGAGCACGATATTACCTACGGAACATTCTTTGGCAGGCCGAGGATCTTGTTCCCTAGTCCGTGAGGAGCTCATCTGTACCGTTAGCGTAGTAATCGGATTCCGGACTCCCACCGGTTTGTATCGTTTTTCGATTATATGATGCGGTCAACATGTGGCTTCTCAAGCCACAACCAGATTTACCGTTAGTGACCTGACATCATATCCGTGGACGTCTGTTGCGGGGAGGAAGGAAGGAAGAAGGAAAGAAAGGAGGAAGCCTCTGCCTCGCGGGTCCTGACGATAGGCAACAGACTCGGGTGGTACTTTATTTGGCAATCTTGCTCGAGCAAAAAGTACAGAGCGGTACTGATGTAGATCCTCGAGAAAATAAAATAAAATAAAAAGTTCGAAAAAGTGATACAGGACTACTGTTCAGAATCCAGCACAAGCGACCGCTTACAATTCTTTCTTACGAAGTAGAAGAAGGTACAGAGTCATGTGAAAGATGATCAAAACCAGCCCATTCTTCCAGCATTTCTCTTCCCTAACTAACCAACCAGCCTTTGGTTGTTCCGCATTGTCATCCACCAGCTCTGAACGTCTTTGCCGATACATGCAGCCACATACAGTATTGGTGTCCACATGCGCACAATTGGATCACTGTGCAAAACAAAAGCCAGCTTTCTGAAATCCGCACTGGAGCTCAAGGGGCCTCTGCTTCTGACTTTGTGCCTCTTCGTCCAACCACCCTTTTGTGTGTGTGGAATACATCCTTAGACGACGTGCTCATTGTCGCCCGTCTCGAGTCAAACGGGGGGCGACGAATGGAATTGGGGATCAAACCACATGCTCAACATGACGGTCTGATGCGGAAAGGCACGGGAGGGGGAATGGAGGCGGAGCTAGAAGATGAAAAAGCGACAGAAACGAAAGGAGGCAGAACATAACTTCCTCTTGTGGACCTTTCGTAACGTACCTGGAACAACAATATCCGATTTGTAGATTTTGTGCTGGATGTGTAGTAACTCATACAGGAGCGTGTACTCGTATTTTGCTCATCCCGACCAATCGAGGCTTTGAGTGCACCAGGCTCTTCCGAAAGGCATCTGTATCCTGGTTTTGCCTTTTCCCCTCAGTACTCCATTAATAGGTTTCATTGGATAATAACAGAGAGCCTGAGTCCAATCGCATGGCCCAGTTTGAGACCTATGGAAAACTTTGACGTACTTTTGCAGCAACTGAGGATTAGAATTGGTTTTATATTCTGAAAGCAATCTGGGTCTCTCACTTTGTTATGCACTTTCCCTTGGTCTTGTTATGGGCTGCCAAAATCGTGTTCACTTTATCGGCTCACGGTTTAGCCTTCCTTATCTATTCGAAAGTTGACTTTGTGCGTTGGCCATCTCAGAAGACCACAGTCTCGCGGAGACGTATGCTGTGAACTCCCCGTATTACGGTCCGTCGAACATTGTTTGCAGTAACAAGTGGGGAATAAACTCCCAGAAACGAATGAGTTCTGAATCTTCCATATACCTCGTTCTGAGAAATCATCTAAGTAACAGATGGATTTCTAAAGCAGACACCTCCATGATAATCTTCGCTTCTGAAGATAGAAGCCAGCTCTGAGTTGATACGAGTTTGTGTACGGGAACGCCTATATGGGCAATATTGTAACTATCAGTTGCTTGAGAAACTCCACTGCATTGCAGCTAAGTTTTAAGCTTGATAGAAGCTTTTTAGTTTCATCCGCATCGGGGTTATCATGCAACTGTCTGACTTGTTGACAATTCGTGCGTGATATCCACTTTCCTATGACATGTTACAGGTCAAAGCTTGACATGTGCACGATTCGCATTTTGTCAAAACTGTCCAAATCTCTGAATCGGGTACATCGTTTCTTTGGATAATTTTTATCTCATAATTGATTTCCCAACTGATCTACTTTTTCCCTTCCTGAATATTAAACTGTGGCAAGAGTTTGAAAACAAATATTTTTTCAGTTTAGCAAGTAGTGACTTTGAATAATCATGAAAACTTGTAAGCTCACTTCAGGCTCTGCAGACGTTGATCGTTGTGGCAAAAGTGACGATCTTAAACCAGATCTGAAGAAAAAGTCCAAATATGCAAAACAAACAAACAAACTCACATTCGCAGTCCAAAACTTCTTTACAGCTTTGAAACCTTGGTCATCTGGTCCACAAGCACCCAACAACTACACCAACCCGGATCACACGTAGTAGTAAGAAAGCAAACTGGTGCTTAGCTGGCCAAGCTGGCCGAGTTCACTCCTACGGGAGTGAGTGCGTGAATCTTACGAAGAGAGGTAAAAGCAAGATAGGTGCATGAGGTGACGGAAGAACTAACATCCATAATAAAAAGGGAGTAGGATTAAACAGTCCCGCCTCGCGCCTCCTGATGTCACAAAATTACCTGGAGGAGAGGGTGGGAACCTGCGGAAGGCAGGGAAAGCCAGGAGGAAAGAGCTCGACTGGCCTCTGCTACAAGGTAAAGGAAACCCGAAACTACGGGACCGCAGAACCAGTCACCGGAGAGTTCGGGGGACGAGGATCACAAAATTACCGGACACGAGTGCAAACATGGTTAGAGCCTCCGACGGGGCAATGATTGACCTAGGGGAGGCGGTACCCCAATTCCATGGGCAATTTTTCCCGGGACAATAAAGTTCCGAGATTCGGAGGCGGGACTTGGACTTACGAGTCGGCCTCTCATACGCTGCGGAACTCTCCAGAATTCTCCTTTAGTTCGCCCGCCCGCCATCTCCGGTCGTCCCCGTCGCCGCCGGTCGTCCCCACCACGCTCACTGCCCCTGCCCTTCTCACCGGTGACCGGCCGGGGCTGCTACTTCCGCTGATGCTTCCACGGGCTGGACTGGAGTGTGACTGGACTGGACATGGCGGGTCAGGTCAGGGAGCCTCACTGGCTTCCTCTGAAGGCTCCACTTTTTCGTGCACGATGTTGGTGTTGGACCGAACTTGCACCTCCTCCTACCCCTGCCTGATCTGACCTGACCCCTGCGAGCAAGTAGATATATTCTGTGTGGGCAACTCGTTTGGTCGCATTACTTCCTACTCAACACACGCAGGGTGTGCTCTGGGGTGAAACACAGAAAATGCCTAGCTCTTGCAGCAGTACCTGAGATTACAGGACGAGCTATGCCATATGCAATAACGAAAAAGTTGGACCTGGAGCTGCTGCCAGTACTTTCGCACGCCGTCGTCGTGCACTAGTTGAGCTGAATTGCGCTGCCCTTCAAGGATAGAGGCGAAGCAGGGAAGAGAGAGCGAGAGAGAGAGAGCAGATTTTTTCACGTGCTCCCGATCTCTGCAGGGGAAGAACACAGACCTGAACCAGAAGAAAGCGGCCCCAGTAGGTCTCGTCGTCGCCGTACCCCAGAAAGAAGAAGCAGATCTCGACTCTTGCAGTTGCAGGTTCTACTTCGTTTCCTTTTGTCATTCAGGTCTCTGACAACACTGAGTCTGATTTGTAACCGAGTGAGAAAGTAGAATTGACAGATTAGAGATGCGAAGACAGATGCAGTCACCGATTTATGTCTCTGGATTACGCTGGTTATGAGGCGTAGTGGCTATGCAGATTCCTGTTTCCCTGTTCAGAACTCTAAAGTTCTAGACTTACAATACGAACATGTCGTCATGGAAAGATTTGCTTACTTGCTCGGTCTTTGTCAAAAGCAAAGAATGCATGGAAGGAAACGGGACTAACGTCGTTTGCTTTTCCTGCAGGTGAGCGTCGAGGAGCCGCATCATGGGAACTTTCATTGGACACATTCTTCCCGGCATGGGCTTCATCTTTATCGGCCTCTGGCACCTGTACAACGTGATAAGAAACTATGTGGAAAGCCCTTGGAATTACAATTCGAGGGCCTGGTTCCCGACCAGGATGAAGGGGGCTTTGAAGTACTTGGAACCGCTGGCAATTATGTTCGGGTCGCTGCTATCAATCTCGGCAGAGCTTTTCATCTGTCCGTCAGCGCACCAGCCCCTTGCCGATGACTGGTCGATACCGAGCAATCACTTGAATAATTTCGAGCACTCGACAATCTCCCTGTTCTTCTTCATATTCGGGGCCAGCTGCCTGTGCAGCGAGCTGACCAAAATTCATCTTCCCTTCGGCCTCCTGCACCTCATGGGAGCTTTCGCCTTCAGCCAGGAGCTCATTCTCTTTCACTTCCACTCCGCGGACCACATGGGACTGGAGGGCCACTATCACTGGCTGTTGCAGATTCCTATCTTCGTGGGTCTGGTGTGCGCCCTGGTCGAAATAGCAGCAAAGAAAACGTTCGTGGTGTCGTTCGTGAGGAGTGTGTCCATATTTCTCCAGGGCTGGTGGTTCGTCCAGATGGGACTGACTCTGTGGATTCCTGCTTTCACTCCCACGGGCTGCCAAATGTCGGAACACGACGGTCACGAGGTCGTGCACTGTGAGACTAAAGAGGATGATATGAGGGCCAAGGCTCTGGCAAATTTGTACTTCAGCTGGTATTTGGCGTCGATCTTGATATTCTCTCTATGCCTGTACGTGGGCATGATGTGTCACTTCAGCAAGCAGGTGCACTACGAACCATTGGAGCATAATTTGAAGATAGAACGCTCTCTCAAAGATCTCGAATCCCAAATCTCTCCCAGGAGCTCCAACGGCGATGGGTCTCTCAGCGTAGAGGAGATGCAGGGTTTAACTTCCATTGAGTTGGAAAGATAGGATCCGATCATCCGCTGGAAGCGACTGGACGACTGACCTCAGTTTGTATCAAAACGTAACATACTTACCACCTAGTAGGACGACAGGGAACAGGCAGCTGGTATCACTCTGAATTCATGATGCTTCCTCATACTATCGGTCGTCGTCCAGAAACGTGCACACTACGACAATTTTGCCGACAACTCCTTTGTAAACACAACGTCATGATCCTCGGGAGTCGGAGATATTTTTGGCACAGCAAAGCAAAGCAAAGCAACTACATGTACATACACATTAGTTTGTGAGAGTTAAATGCTACGACTTGTATCGTTGTCTAGATTGTTTAGTCCTGTGTGATTTGCTCTACGTGACAAAGCACGTTTCATTGATCTTACGTCAATACGTTCCGTTCCCAGCTCTGGAAAATTTCAAGTGAAATTGCCCCGCACAATCCGTGTACGAAAAGGGTGATGGCTCTTGTCATTGTTCGCAACCCTCTGCAATAAATTATTGCATTTTTTTGCAGTCCGGGCTCTCGCGCTCTTGCGCTGTTTGGCTCTCCTCTTTGTCCAGAACTTCTCCGGCTCGGAACTGTCGATCAATATTTTACAGCTGAATTTCTCGTTTGCAGCCACGAGAACCGGACGATGGTTCTATAATAAAGCAATGTTCTCGCTGTACTTTTCGCGTTTAAATTATCATTCCTTCTAGCTGCCTGTAGTTATATGATAGAAGAGTCGGACTTGACAGGGGAGGGTGCTGTACTTTTCGCGTCTAAATTATCATTCCGTGTAGCTGCCTGTAGTTATATGATAGAAGAGTCGGACTTGACAGGGGATGGTGTTATATACGTGCGGCGACGTTCATAGAAAGAGAACCTATTTGTAGACAAAACTGTAGAAGCATAATCCAAGAATAAACATTATTGGATGAGTAATACATTATACATGGATTGACATTGTACAAGTAGCCGTGGGCGTATCTCTTTAAATACACCGACTTGGCATGAGTAGATGAGAAACGTTGAATGACATAGTAGAGGATCAGACTATGCGCATGAGACACCACGGAGAGCCAATTTGGGTGTGTTTCGGACCAGAAGAACCCTCCTCAGAACGTACCCGATTTAAACATATGAACTCGATTTACTTCTAAGTTCTAGCTTGCTCATGGCTTGACTTTATAGACGGGAAACTTTGAAGGTCCCGACCGCTGTGTCACCAGGGTTCCTCGCTTGATCTACAAGTCATAAGGGCACACGTACGACACAGAAGTCCAAGAGTTGACTCAAGATGGACGAAGGAGACTCGACCCTTCTTGGGCGACGACCGTCTTCGAATATAGCATGATGTCACTCTGAAATTATTATCTTCCAGTAAACACGATTAATGAGTTAAAATAAAAATGTTGGATTCCATCCAAACTTAGAAAATTGGAGCGTACTATTGTATCATATCCCGTGTGGTCCTAGGGCATCTTCTTTTCTGGTTAGAAACATGAATCTCGCTGCTAAGCAAGCAATTTCACTGCGGATCTATGCATTCAGTTTCATGATGACCTTGGGAGCCAAAATAAGTAACATGAGTGGATTTAGAGAATTCTGCCATGCATGAAGAAAAACTAATCTAGGAGAGATGACAATGCATATCTGGTCTTTTGCTGAACTCCACATCCACGGTTAGCTCTGCACATGCATAGCAGTGAATAGTCAGCATTGTATGGACGTGTGGAAACCAGCGATGCCTCGAGGTTTCCCTCCGTTGACATTGAACTTTCTTGTATGTGAAGACGTGGACGTACAAAAGAATTTCCTAAACGACTCTTCATGCTCTTTACATCTTCTACAGATATGCCTCTATGAAAGCCAAAGCGAAAGCTATATCATCTATATTTCAAATATGAATCCATATTCATATGTGAAATATTATTATATACAATAGGGCAATTATTTGGGCAATTACTTCTGTACAATATGACCAATATGTTATGTCCATTGCCTTCATGTAATTTCTTGTGTTATTGCGACTCAACCTATTGTTAGATTTGTCTTCTCATTCTATATTCGCGTTTAAAATCATATTCATTAAATTTTAGTATGAATACATCGAGACCAAAATTTCTTTTGGAATTCCATTTCAAGATTCAAATACAGCATACAAATATACAAACTTACCTCAATCAGTAATATGAATCTTATTCAATATTGATCACCAGGGAAATGACCATTCCTTCAAATAAATGGCATGGCCGGAAGATGACTAGCATAAATCGCGAACATGTAAAAACATAATTGTACAAAATTCCTAAGTGACTAATACTTCATACCAATTAACATATTTGGATTTGAAAATTTTCATATATAGCTTCAACCAAGATAAAAGATAGTTACAAGATCTACTCTACCACACACAAGGGCTTTAATCTCAAACACACCACAAGGTTTGTACAGATCATACTCATGAGATTTTATTTGGAGTACATGGCAAAAGATAATATGACAAATCCTCTAGCTAATCTTGCCAACCCTTGTCTCCTATTAGATTTTGTTGCATTTCTTACTCCTAATTTGTACATACTATTTGTTTCCAGTTCTTTCTGGACACCTTTCTTTCAATCAAAAGCTTTGTATTTCTGATCAAATTGCATGAATAATGGGTAGAAACTTATCTAACTAAACTTATCTATCTTCAGAGTTACAAAAGACTGAAAGTGGATAACTTTGTTTCATGAGAAGCCATTATCGTTTAAAAAACTGTATATATGTATATATATATATATATATATTCTTAATTTTTCTAAAAAATCGAGAAAAATAATAATTTTATTTTTTGCAGATATTGTTTGGAAAATAATGGTATCTTCAAGATAAATTAAAGTGTCAATGTTCAAGCTAAAGAGTATTGCAATGCTGAAGTTGAAGTGCCAAAATTAAAATGTGTAAGTATCAAAATAGAAAAACAAAATACAAATATTTTTAAGAACAAAAACTGTTCAAGCTTAGATATAACAAATATCTAAAATCAATAGTAGTTAAGAATAACAAGATACAACAAGTTCACCGTGACAACTCTTTTGTATGATGAAGAATAAAAGTAGATTATGATGATGAGAATGATGAAAAATTGAATCAATGTAGCCGTAATAAGAGCAAAGTGTACAAAACACATGATGATAAAAAAAAGGTTGTGAAATTCACCCCTGTCCGGGCAGTTGTCATGGAAACAAGACAAGTTAGAAATTAATTTCTCTTCTTGTTGTGTCAAGTATCGTTCCGTTATCTCCTTTTCATTTTCTTTCCCCCCATTGTGCATGGTGGTACTTCATATGCATATGGAGGAAACATTGGGATCTGCTGCTGTTGTGAAGCTTGAACACACATTAGACTGATTCAACTGAAAGATTTGGTTCAATCAAAAGGTCATATTCCAATACATTTCTCTTATTTTGTGGCCTTTTCTCAACCACAAACTTTTATAGTTCAAAGATTCATTAAAATAGGTCAATAACTACGTGTGAATAAAGATAAAAAAATTTATACAATAATATGTATGATAAGATTAAAAACTTTGAATTCTAACAAGATTGGTAGAAAAATATTATTATCAAAGATGCTATAAAAAGCATTACCTGTGAAATCAAAAATTGGATAAATAGAATGATTTTATACTCATTTTTGAGCTATTAGAGTAAAAAAAAAAAAAGATTTACACACACATGTTGAGCAATTTTTGATATTTAGGGTTTTTCTTTGAAGGTATTATTGAATTTAAAATTTTTATTCTTGAATTAAAAGTTACAAGAACTCGTAGTAGAACATCGGTGACCGTGTTCCTTAGTCAGGTAGGAAGGGTCCCATCAAGTAATTCTCTCTTCAACTTTGTTATAATTGTTGCTAGGTGGAGAGTACGCCGTCTCCACTTCAGTATAAATTGTGGATTCAGTCAACCTGTCTATGATGTTTGCATTTGTGTTTGTACTTAATTCTCAAGAATGTAAAAAGTGGCCTGCTTTTACGGCCATGGCAGGCCACTTTTTACTTGCTATGGCACTTTTCTTTTGCTATGGCTACCTGGTAGCCATAGCAAGAGAGGAGTCAATTTGGATTCGAGAGAAACCTGTATTAGGAAGTTGCGGAAGTTCCATCTCTAACTCGCCTCTTCAAATACCCGTCCATTTCTTCCCTCTTGTGAAGAACTATCCTGGATTCCTCCACATCGTGACCGTAAAATCTCAATCCTGCTAGTGGTTTCTGTGCGGCGGCGTGGAGTTGTAAAGCTTCGCCGCCGCACTTTTGTTGCACGGAAACTGCACACTGAGTTTGTTATTATGAACTAATGGCTGTACTGTTGCCATTCTGCTCTTTCTAGCTCAGTAGACTTACTTGCCTCCGCAGTAGGCATGCGTCTGAGAATTATGAATTCCACTGCGATTGCAGCAGATCTCCGCCTGCGCATATCGGCAGAGGGCAAGTGTGTACAAAACTTGTTGCATCGTCGACAACTAAAGGCGTGGGCCTCGTGTGTGGCGCATCATACTTAGGCTTGGCCACGGTCCGGTTAACCGGTTAAGGGAAAAAAAGAAGAAGTAAACTTCCATTCAAGAGCGTTGTAGAGCTTGGGTCTTGCCATCCACCGTCTCAAATGTCAAATATGGCGTAATTCCCTTCCAATTTCCTGTTCTCCAGAAAAGAAAGTCCTGATGGCTTACCAAACTAATTTTATATGTGATTTGTTTCATTATTTTTTCCAAGTGAATACACTCTTCCAAATGATATATTTCTCCTTAGTTCTCATAATATTAATCAACCTCCCAGTGAAAACGGAGTGACCGGTTAACCTATAGAAACCGGTTGAACCGGACCGACGGTGAACCGGTTAACCGCCAGTCCGGACCTGACCGTGGCCAAGCCTAGCACATCAGTCTTGTTCAGTTGTTGAGCACGCCTCTCGAAGTTCGTTTAGCTTCAGCAACGGTCATCAGGCAGGGATGGCTATGGTGAAGGGCAATATCCTCATCCTCCGCTAGAATCGAGGATTTTGTCTGGAGTGCGGGGAAACTGAGGAGGCAGCTTCCTGCCCGACCAGCCCGACCAGCTGAAGTGAGCTTGCACGGACCATCATTTTGCGCTGTTTGATTACGAGGCCAAAACTCCCAGGTGAGGATTCTGCGCTCGAGTGTGTGCAGCATGTGACAAAGTGCTTCACTGGATTTTGGAGATGGAAGGCGAAGGAGACGGGGCAGAATCTAGACAATGCCATGCTTGCCTTGCACTTGCACTCGAGTAGTAAAAGTGAGTTTGCACTTGAGTAGTAAAAAAGGGAGATGCACTTTCCCAGTTCGCGGAAAGGTGAGCTTTCCATGGGGAAGGTAAGCTTTGGACTCTTCGAGTTTGTCGGCGGCCAGGCCCCGAATCAAGGTGTCCATACTCCAGACAACGAAAGTTGGAACTCCTCTGACCTGTTCTGCACCCGTGCCTATATCTCGGGATTTGAATCCCGAAAGATTCCAGGCTCTTCCGTCTGGACGAGCCGATCAACTCATGATTCCTCCTCAGGATGTGGCGGACCTTCTAATGCGATTGGGGCCGTCCACTGCACGCCCGCTATAACACACGTCCTGCTCCCTGCCACACAAGCGCTAGAAGCACAACTTAGCCAATGAACTGCTTCTTTTCGAATGCTTCCAACACCCACAATTGACATCGATCGTGAATTGGTTTGTCGCACTCTTCCTTGTTCTCAAGACTCCCGTCAATTATAACACTGGCTTCCGAATAAACATGGTTCCCAGTTTTATCGACCGGAGATCCTAAATTATGGAATTATTTGTTCTGGTCGAAGGATCTAAGTAATAAAGACTCGCACAGTGAAGAGTTCAACGATGTGGACGGTAGGTTCTATAAAGACAAAAATTGGCTGTAGGCTCAGACAGGTACTGTAGGTTCGTGACATGTATCCTCTGGGTAAAGGACTCCCAACCATCGGTTAGCATCGAAAATGTCTCAGCGACGGAAGAGATCTGGATCGTTGTCTCGGTTACTGTCTTCATGACGGACGGAGTAAAGCTTTCCAGCTCCACTTCAAAGTAGAAATCAGCCACGCGTCCCGTCGTGAGCTTAAGGAAATCTTCCAGCTGCCTTACGGAAGAACACTCCATGGCCCGGCCTAAAGGCCTCAAAGCGCAGCTAAAGACGATCAAAGCCAAGACGGGGAATTTCCATATCCGTGGACTACATTTAATCTGAAACGTTCGTTACGGCTACCTGTTGGACAGGTCGGCTGCGTGGTACGACCTGTCCAACAGGTCGTGCAGGCTGCCGTGAGTTTCGAGCGAGCCCGTTGCCACCGGGCCCGATTAGCCAGCCTAAAAAGCAGATTCCGGGCCGGGACCCGGAGCGATGGCGCAAGGTCCCGCTCTGTGCTTCTCTTGCACATGCGCTTCTCTTGCGTTGGGAGTCGTCCTCGATCGATGGCAGGCCCCGGGTTACCAGCTGCTGTGCTGCTCTGGGCTGGGCGAAGCGATCGCAGTATTTCATGTTGTATCTTGTCAAGTATTCGCAGGACGTGGGGATTTGCAAACGAGGGCTGCTGCTTGTGGGTACATGATGGGACCTTGAGGCTTACTGTGCTATTCCAGTCACATCTAAGGCTTGGTACTGTTTGAGGAGGAGGGTTAATGACCACGGGCTGCTGGAGCAACAGTCGTGGAGGATGGTGCCAATCTGGTGCCAGCACTTGTCATGCTGCTGAATGTGGCTGCGCTGGCGGCTGCTTCTTCTTCAGAGAAAAACACCGGTTTGTGGGCAAAAAGCCTATGGCGAACTATTATGCTTCTTCTTATCCGCCGATGCAATGTAAGTTTCTGTGAAAGTAGAGCTGTTATCTCGAAATACGTATCTGCAGTTTGATCTGGAGATCGGAATCGAAACAAGGCATGGCCCTAGTTAATATCCGTGCGTGTGCAACAAAATCTCATCAAGGAATCGGGCAAATAAGGGTTCGAGCTTCTTGCTGCATACCACTCATCATGAACTAACATTAGGGTTTAGAAGGATAGAGCTCTTGATACAGGTCACTGGTTCTACCACCAATTGGAACAAGGATGGCAAGTAATCAACTGTCGTCTTCCAGTACGCGCAGGAAGTCTCTGTCAGCTTATAGGGAATTTCTTATCTTAGTCTCCAAGCATAGTCTTGTTGAGATTCTCGCCATCCATCAACGCATTTCAACGCAACCGATGGATTGTTCGGTAAAGTTTTGGAAAAGTCCACTTATTTGTCAGCGATTTCCACCTCGAGGAGGGAGACTACCATAAGGGGAAACATGGCTAGGAATCCATCATGACCGCCTTTACGGTCTTTGTGTGCGTGCTGACTGTGCCTAATGTGTTCAGCTTTCGCCACGCATGATTGCCGAGTAAGCTGAACACCTCGCGGTGCTTACAACTCTCGCCTATCGAAGTGATGGTCTTTCACCTTGTATGAGAAAGATGTAAGGTGGAGACAATTCTTGCGAGTATAACTTGTGACGTAATCCTCTAACCTAAGGATTTTTTCAACTGGTTAAAGAGTTATGCTAAGTATAAGAAAGGCGCATTTAGTACAACCCGGCAGAAAATATTGTCGATAGAAACATGAGAGAAAATACAGAGAATTGAACCTCCAAGGTCTCTCCTCCCGCTTGAAACATCTGACGAAGGGACGTCTTGTCCTTCATATGTTGTTGTAAGCCCTCCCCAACCCTTGAAAAAGTACAACTGGAGGTTGTGTAAATGTTAGAAAATGTGCCCCATGGATGAGTTATGCGGCATAACTTATGCCACACCTCGGTAGCTCAAACGTGGAATACGGTCAATCCTCTATGAATGATAGTAAATGATAGATGGTAGAGATACCACGAATCAAAACACTTCTAATCAGGTTTGCATAGCAACCACCAAGCATGGCCATCTGTATTGAACAAGTAGTGATAGATTTCAATTTCCCCTTTCCTTTCAACAGGTTGTCATTTTAAATTATCTATAACCAGTTATACAATGTCATCCAAGAAGCATCTTCCACGTGCTTTGACGAGCGAGCACAAGTACTTGTTCTCTAACAAGGGCCACAAATGACGTAACAGAGTATAATCTGAACAATCTGACGTAATTTTGTTCCAACTAGAACAAAATAAACCCTGTGTTTTGGAATAAAGCCTCTCGATGAGGAGCTTATGTCAATAGAATTCAGTTTCCACGTCGGACACAGGAAATCAATCATGGTCATATATTAATGTATGTCCAGTGTACAATGTGTCTGCGATAATCCAGTGTTTAGGAGAAAGAAGGCGAGTCGGGTGGATTCACACAACCTTTTTGGCCCACCAATTGCACTTTACTGCTTGCTCCCCTCGCTTTTTGGGGGTTACCATTTCCAAATCCTCAGTTTCATACTCAGTTACACATGGAGTTGTAGGAAGATGAAAATATTCCCTTTTCTCGTCCTCTAGTTCTAGTTCTGCATGGGTATATCTCGTCCTAAGATTTCCTGTCTTTGAATGTGGTGGTCGTATCGATCATGGTCATACTACCAAACCGCATAACTGAGTCATTTGTTTTATAATGCATCAAATCCTCCACGAAATTTATAGGGGTCCTTTTGAGCACATTTCGAGCAAGGAAAGAAATTTAGTCCTATAGTCCAGCTCCTGGCACTGGTTGAAAATGGCATGACCTGAATCTTCAGAGAACTTAGGCTAGTTGTCGTTCAACATATCCTTTTAAAAAGGGGATGATGAATTTCTTTGTAGGACAAAAAGGAAGTGAAATTCAGACTTCCTCTCATAGGTTTCCTAGGGTGGTTAAAAAAAATGGGTGGAACTGCAGCCACACAGTCACATTCTAAAGCATAAGCAATATAAACCAAAGTTACAAATAATATTATAAAAAAGATAGAAAAATTGTTACACATTGATGAAATCGAGGGCAACATTTTACTTGGCCCCAATATCATCACAAGAGTAAATACTGACTATAACACCTAAGATATGTGAACTATCTAGGTTAAATGATATGGTTTAGATGTTAGTATACTTAGAAGTATCACTTGATATTCACACTCTCAAAGCAAGGTTGTTATTCTCTACATACTGTATACTTGGAGATCATGGTTGCTATTTTAGTCCCTACTCAGCCAAGAAGATAAAAAATGATCACTTCAAACCATGACCAACGTCTACAACAATTTTATAGTAATCTCAAACCAAGTGATAAACTATTCTAATACGAGTTGATTGCAAGTCACATTGATCTAGCTCCTTGCACCAACTGTACATCTTCCTTGATGAAAGCCGATTTCAGAAGAACCAAGGTTAAAATTCATGAGACAATTATATCCTTTCATGCCATATGAATTACTTACCGACTTGGTGTATCAAACTAAGTCAATCCCTCACCGCTATAGGAAAGATAATTGTATGAATCAAATATTTGTGACTTTTATGTTATACTTGGGATATTTTTTACGTCATAATTTTTTGTAAACAGATGTTTGTTCAAATTTTACTCCTTTAATATAAAATTATCATTAAATGAAAAAATTATTGGCTTGTGAAAATGGTTTCCAAATTTTTCTGCAAGAAACAAATCTTTTAATTTTCCCAAATCTGAAATATTTTTAGTTTTCTTACAGCATTTGCTGAATGTAATACACCTGCGAGAGAAATGGATGTTATCTTAGATCTCTGAATATCCTTTTACCATTTTAGCAAGGAGAAATCACTCTCCACAACTTTGAATCGTTCGAAAATGGTGAAACTAATACTACAAAAAACTCCATGAGTTGAAGAATTCTATTCTTAAAACCTGGAATCAGACTTTTCAGTCAGCAGATTTTTATGCACCTGGAACATGGACTTCGTAATGTTCTGGGTTCACTATTATATCTATGTACTTTTGTTTCCGAGAAAATTTGAAACTATCTTGATATTTTAAAACTAGTTGAATAATTTTTTGTGTTTTCAAAGCTACAAGTGAATGGTAAATGGTAAATAGAATGAGGGGACCAAGGGAACAAAATACTAGAACTTGGTTGAACTCATCAGGTGTTGCCGCAAAGTTTTAATCAAGCACTTAGTTAGTTTCTCCAGTAAAGTAACGGTAATGAACAAAGAAATTGTCACAAACATCACGGCAGAGATTTACCTGAATATTTACGTAAGTTTCTCTAGGTAAAATCACCTACATCAACAAAGATTTGTCAAAAAATGTCGCCCCAAAGTTTTAGTTAAGTGACTCCGTTAGTTTCTAGACACCTAGACAAAGAATTTTTGTTGAAAATATGGTACTTTCTGAAAACGAAATACGTCACTTTGCCCAAAAGTTCCGTATGTGCCGTATTTAGAGAGTCCTGCATTAGGGTGACGAATTTTTTCTGGGACCGGAAAACCGATTGGTTAGCCGGTACCAGAGAAAATCGGGACCGGTTAACCGCCAGTCCGGCCAAGCCTAGCTGTATAGCCTAGAGCATAAACTTCTATTACGTGTAGAGGCGTGCAAAGGGAACACGTGTGCATTTCAATGGTTACTGAGGTGTCAAGGATTGGGGCGACAATATCAGGGCCTTTTTTTCTTCAACCTTTTACAGAGTATAGGAATCCACAACTATGATGATTTGAGACCCTTTCTTACGAACTGTTGTTATGATCAGAAAGATGGCGGCCAGGTAGAGAAAGAGAGAGACTAGAACATTCTTCCGTGCATCGAATCATGCTTTCGTTGTCCTTTCTGGCCCGGTTCTGTTCTCAGTGTGATGGGGCCTGTCTTCATGCTTGCGTTCAAAATATAGCACCGGCTATCGAAGGTAGCGTCGAAGAGGTAGGCTGCCAAAGAGCATTAGATTACCACACATGGGGCCATTCTGCTGAGCATCAACCACGTCGCTTATCAGTCCTCTAAATTCGGGTTTCCAAAGAAGACCATCGATCGCTTTGTGCGGCATGCGGAAAGTTGCTCAGTCCTCCAGTTGATCAGTTCGCCAGCGACCATCGCCGAGGTACGTAGCACGATATCAGCCCTAGCTTTTCCAGCTTCACAGCGAGACGAGAGACCATTCTAGAAACATCTGGCCTGTCTTCTCGCTCTCGGTGCTTACATTTTTCTAAAGCTTAAATTTTGGGAGGTCGACGCAGTGTCCTAGAGGTATCCAGCAATCTCTCTCGATATGCCTTATCTTTGCAAGTCCGAAATGAGTTGTAATCGCTGGAGCTTCCTTCCATTGTAAAGAGTGTGGACCCTCCCGCACGCTCCGATAATGTAGTCACTGGCACCTGTTGTAGTGTAAATTCAGGCATATTCTCGGAGCGAACGGCCGTCTGCGATTGTCCAACCAAGAAATTGCCATTGCAGTGCACAAATTGCCAAATCGTGCTTCAGGTGACCTGTTGTTGACCTTGGACCTTCAGCAGCAGGAGCCAGTGGCCTGTCCACATAGCGGAAGGGTCTAAAATGTGCAGCGCTCTAGACCTGCTAGGGCAAGGGACTATTATCACCTACCGAGACACAATGATTTAACAATGAAACATGCTGCTGGCTGGGGGTGAGTCGTTGTGAGTGGACTACTTGAAGTTTTGGAAGTCTTTGAGAACATACTTCAAGCTGCTGGAATGCACGACTCTCTATGTTTCTTCAAGCTGCTTTCTTGTCTTGTAGGAGAATTAATCTCGAGCAATGAGGGAAACACGAGGCCCAAACAAAACTATAATTCTGTGGCACAAACTCCTTCCACTTTGTTAGCAAGAACAATCGTCTCATCTCTCAAAAAGTGGGTTTCTAGTTTGCAGTGTCGAGAAGATTGTGGTGCACTTACATGTGTGAGCTGCCGAGATGTTGGGTGGCTATTTCGATAACAACATCTTATCGGGGGGCGAGCAGGTTGCCCACTTCGGTCTGCTTTCTAGGCAGACAATAACCAGTTGCGCACATAACCTTACACGGTGTAAGAGACCTACAAAACAACCGGCAAATCCCATATTCCCAGGCCAGAAACAGGTCGTCACTTGTGAATGGTCTCTACTTGAACCTCTTTCCTTCTACCTAGGGGCTATGTCCTCATTTCCAAATCGGTTTTCGGGATTCGTAGACATCCAAGCTGCGTGTAAACTGCCCGCATGGCCTCTGACTATACCCTCCATCCTTCGGTGCTCTAAGCCCATCTCAGCTAACAAGGCCAGCTAGTCACACACAACATAACATTGTGAGTTTCGAAAAGCGTATAATTTCTAGGCAGCGACAATTGCAAGATCAGTTTTGGCGAAGTCACTTAACAAGAGGACATCCCTCTGCATCCCTTATGTCGATTGTTCGCCACTCTTAGGCCTCTCGTTGGCCAATAAAAGCCTGGGAACATGGTGCTAAACTCTCGCTAACCAGAACTCACGGACATTCTACCTTCCGAGCGCATGATTTACGATTTCGCGTAGTCTCCTCACCAAAATGGTCGAGGTTACGATCAACACCACCCAAGAATCGCATCGGGAAAGTCACGGAATGGAGCAGTCGACGCAGGCTGTGAAGATCAATACTCATGGCCGAGGCAGAACCCAATCAGGGTAAGAGTTATGTTCGAGCCTTCCGGTGAGCCTACTACCTGCGTGCGTCATTAAAATGCATACCGTGGGATCTGAAAGTCAAGGGTTTTCGTGCCACAGGCGATAATCCATCGTAAGACAGGTCCGGCAGGTGCAGTTGATACGTTTGGGACCTGAAAAGCAACTACAAAACACTGACGAGGCAAGAACAATGAGACCTCATGCTCGTGGCAGTGACAAAGTGCAAAACTTTCAGTCTTTATTTATGAGTCGCTAGATTAAGTAAATTCTCCGTCCAGCAACCTAAGACTCAGCTTCTCTACAACCTCCTTCCGCCCACCTGCAGATAAATAAATGAGGAGTCATCGAGTGCAATTGAACAAGGCCCAGCTACGAGAGTCAACTAAGTAAACGGACACTTTTGCCCGTGTGAGTGGCCAGTCCATCGGGTCCATCGCATGACGGTCCGTCGGTCGGTCGAGCCAGGACGTGAAGACATTCCAGGTCACTTGAAACAATAATAACTGGGAAAATTTCCAGAGACCCCACATTTCTGTGGCGTAGCCTTTATCATTATGATACATCCGCTCTCTTGTGCAGCGGGTGGTCAACAAGGTGATTGAGAAAATAATGTAAAAACTCCTCCAAAATTGTGAACTTCTGATGCCCTGTTCTATGTAAGGGTTTTGCACACTAGCAGACAGAGCTGCAAAGACTCACGTGACAACAAACCAGGACGGAAGTAGCGCTATAAATAAGAGATCTCCTAAACTACTATTGGCTGGATCGGTTGATCGACGACCCCCTCCAAAACCGACTTTGTTGCTTCCGTTCTTGCATCCGTCTGCCAAAACAAAGTACTCATGTCACTACATATCCTCATGCCAGAGAAATCTGGTCGCTTTTCCACCGAATCTCTTGGCCACGACACACTTGAGAGTAAGAGGAACGTGTCGTCTCGAGATTTCAATGTTAGGTCATCGGCACAATAATCGCAACCCCAGGTGCGCATCACAACTGCTGCAAGGACTACTGAACCAAAAAAATTGCCTTCCTGGTTCATTTCGGTTCAGAAAATAAATGAGCTATCGAACGATCCCTGCCTTCTAATATTTGGGTGAACAAAGCATTCACTGACTCAGCATGGATTGGAAGTCACAATTTACCTTTGATACTCTTTATGTCTCAGACGAAACTCGCTAGGGATGTCATGGCCTTGGTACGAAGCCAACACTGCTCGAATGTCTGTAGGACGATTTCGGGCAACATCTGTAAAAGGAAATAAAAAACTTTAGTAAGCATTATGTACAAGTGGTCCACTTTCAATAACTCGACACGATAAAGTGGTGACAAAATTCTTGAGTCAGGTCTATCGCTGCCAATTCGGCGGCCACTGCATGCCCCCCTCCTGTGGAAGGCGAATGCATAGAAGGGCGGGCAGCCAGAAACTCGTGAAAATATAAATCAGAGCCACAACTCCTCTAACCTCTTTTCGACCAATTTTGATACCAGCCGTCACATAACTCAGCAAAATCATGTGTTAGGAACAGGATCATTTATGCCAAGGTCCGTACTTCTCGATTCTACATGAGCCGATTATGTGATCTAAGGCCCGATGTTATCGGATAAAAAAACGAACGCAGGCACTATAATTCAATACTTACATTCAAGAAAAGGTAAAAGGTCAAGAAGAGTCGTGTCCTCGGTTTCCAGCTTCCAAGGTTTCACAGTCAAGGCGTTTTCTGGTTGCAAAGTGGTCTCCGCGGCATGGCCGGCAAGGTAGATAACTCGTGCAGGATCTCTGTTCAACTTAGAAATATCCTGGCATTGATGAAAAAATGGCAAAGATATAACCATCAGCTCGATATACAATGTTGTAGCAAGATCGAGTACTCGATACAAGCGGTGGGGCCATTAACAAAGGTGTGCCGTTCCTTCAAGGCTTGAGTTGTATCTGCATGTGAGTGGAAAAAATTGCTTCGCATAGAAATTGGACATGTAACCTCCTTGTGTGCAGCGTGATAAGACCTTTCGTGCAAATGTAGGTAGTTAAGAGAAAAGGCCAAACAGCTGCAGGATACACTTTACGAAAGACTAGATTCAGAATGAACCCAGAAGTGGGTGAGGAGTGTTACAGGTACCGCGAAGGTACAGAAGAAGTTATGCGCTATAGATACGGTATACATATCCAGAGTGTGTAGTAAGCGCGGAAAGTGAGCTCAAAACACATGAAGACTTAACTAAAAACGTGTTAGTCTTCAACCCGACGAGCAAAGAAAGGACAAGAAAGATTCAACAGCATATGTAATCACTTCACAAGCATCTTCATGGATGCTCTTCATTTATTCGTCAGACCCTAGAGGCCAGCCGATACATTTGCCTGAACAAGCAGCATCGTTTTCTTTGGATCATCGTGAACTACCAAGATACAGCATAGGAAGAATTTCATGGCTCCTTAAGTCAGACAGAGGCACTCACCCGCATATGCTTGCCGTCGATATATTGTGTGGCATCACGGGACAGTCTGTATCTGATACAGCCTTTGGGATCAAGTCTGTCAAGAATAGGATCCACGTACTGCAATCCCAAGGAAAAATATGAGCTTACAGCTTTCAATATATTCAATATAATTCAATTCAGCTTTCAATATAACCCTTTTCAATATTGAGGTTTCAGTTTACGTGACGATCATCAACAGTCCGGGTGATGTATTCACAAGTGCTATATCTTTTTGTACACGACAATGTACTAAGGAAAAACCCGAAACAGTGCTAGAGCACTTTACAAAAGCAAGAACAGTTCAGAGCTCCCCTACAGAGTAAAAGCTTTACAGTTTGTGAAAATTCCTACCTTTCACATGATGTTACAGTGAATTTTATTTGCAAGTCCAAAAGTGTGCTAAGTATATAACATAACAATGACAAGAGCAAACTAACGACCCCACAGGCATGTACCTTTACTTAGCTTTTAACAAGTAATAAATTATCCAAGATCACAGAATCGTTCCAACCGAAATAAATAGCTTATAAGTTAATCACAAAAACGTTACACCAAATCTAGTCGACAAAGCGGAATATTTAAAAGCTTACAAGACCGTGAACTTATCTAGCTGTGATTTGCAATACAACTCCAAATGCTTGAATTAAGTGAGAACCGCAATGTATTACACCAAATTTTAGACTCATAATTAAGGCTAGTATGTGAAGAAGACGTGTGCGGTAAGGCAAAGCTCGTTTTGAGGTGAATAGTGGTGATAGGACTTACGAAGCTTAGCTGATCTGAATAGATAACAATCTCATAGTATTGAGCAAGTTGCTCCAAAAATGCATCAACTCCAGGCCTTTTGAATGTGCTCCAGCCCCTATCACGCTGCAGAATATATCTGAATAATCAGTACCTGAATATAAAGAACCGACATGGCTAAGGAGAACATGTGGTGGGCCAATTCAGATGCTCTTGAAATTCGCATGCTAGCAAATACAATCCACAATCATAACCACCAACAGCCACCTACACTTGAAATTGACTTGCTTCAATGTGGCGTATAATGTACTAACATCAAAATCTAGAAGGTTCAAACAAAACATTACCTTCCAGTCAGAAAACACAATAGTCTCGTTGAGGTCCAATACAAGTGTATATATGTGTTTTTCTTGAGGCAATAAATCTGGCAAAAGCTTGCTTGTGGAAGGTGCTGAAAATCCCTGTCAACAAAAAGATCTTAGAGAGATAATTTAAAGAACGGAAAGAATTGAAAGGTTTGTTTACAAATTAATTTGACGATCTGAATCAATGACAAATCAACATCGGTCATAGTAGACTAGGCGAGGAGCTCTTGGAATAGATATCTTTCAACTGACTCTCGATTTTTTGGAGCTTTCAAGTCAAAGGCTACTCTTCACATACGGTACACATCTGCATGAGCAATAACTGATCAGCCAGGTGGCAGAATAATGTGTCTGATTTTTAACATACCCGCACTTGGTCTTCAATAGATCTCCTCAATTCCAGATAGTAGTCAGCAACCTTAGCAACACCTGTTGCAGCAAACCACCCTTTCTGAGTCGTCGTAGAGTCCAATCAGTTGCACTAACATTCTCCAAGCCAGATAAACGTAGGACTATCATTATAAAAATCTACCAATCAACCACCTTTTGAATGTAAGGAACCAATAACATCACAACGATCCCCCTTTCTCAAACCATTAAAAAGGATGGAAGTAGAACTGACCACTCACACTAGTGGAATAAGCACTTCGTCGCATTCTCTGCACACAAACAACTTCAGCCTATCAGATCTGTGCAAGACACCAAATCACAGTTTGCTCATGAGAGGAGTAGATGGCAGAAAGTAAGCACCCTGATCATAACATTTTCGAAGCTGAAAGACCCAACCCGACTTGTGTCAGATGGAAGTAGAAGATGAACGTTAAACTATTCTTCATAATTCTCCACAACATCGCAGTTTGGTCGTCCATTCAAGCTCGTGAAAAAGGATAGATTACTCGGAAGCAAGAAAAGCATGCTGTCAACATGGTACGCTAGGATACCTGGTCGATCAGCATACCTCAAAACATACAATATTCCCGAAGTTCAGCAAAAACCATAAGCATGTCTAATCATGTATGAAGATGACCAGGGTAAACATTGTTTTCGGACCGACCTCGATAAGATTCACATCTTCTGATGCTTTGAAGTTGGCAGACGATCGGAGAGATGAGACGTAACCTTCCACATCTTCCACCTTGTACGCTGCAGCACCAACATATGAATCAAAATACAGGTAAAGAACCGTAGTGAGGCAGGAACTGGGCGATGTTCCTGACGACCACTGATACCATGACTCTGGAGACGGAATGACTTCAATATATGCAGCTTTTCGTGGGTTAAAATAAAACTGAGTGCACATATGATCACTCGACTATACGAGCTATGATCGCAATTACCGTAAGATACATATGCACTCCCGCCAACAGCTGCCGCTCCTGCCAAGTAAATTACACCCCTGAAAAGTTTCCAGGCTACATGCTCTTTCTTTCCTACCGGTTCTGCTCCTGCTTCCACTCCTCCAGAGACTGCTGCTGCTGCCGCTGCTACTCCCGCATCAGGCCCCGAGGCCACAGCAGAATTGGCAGACGAAACGGCGGCCGCAGGGACAACATCAGCGCTCTGCCACTGGGCAGAAGTCTCCTTCGAGGACGACATTAGCGCCTGCATTCCCTGCAGCCCGTGCCGCAAAGATCGAACTTTCCCCGTGGCTAACATATTGCAAATCAACAAAATTGAACGATATTGTTCAAATCAGAACCCTGTCCTCGGTCCAAATTTCGAAATTCACGATATCCGGCAGCTCCCGTCAGCGATCCGATCCCCGATCCGCGAGACAAATCGGCGAAATCCCCCCGAAATCCAGATCAAGAGCCGTCCAGAATCAATACCCTTCCCCAGGAAAGCGTCCAACAGACTCCAACCCGACTGAATTCGCCTTTCTCGTCTTCTAGGGTTCGTGACAGGGCTCCTTCAGTGCACCATCTCACTGCACAGAAATCTCTCTCTGTCTGTCTGTCCACGGCAACGTTCCGTAAACCCCCCCACCCCTGAATTTAGCCCCGCGGAAAAATTGGTCCCGCCTCCACTTTAGGTCAATGTTCCCTTGACCAAAACAGGGCCCTCGAGCACATCCGGCACCACCAACTCCAAGCCGGCTCCATGCGCAGGTCACTCTATTCCACTCTGCCCTCTGTTGTCGAGAACGATGGTTCTCTTAACCGGCCCAAGCTCCTCCTCCGAGTCCGTTTGAAAGGACGGAGGGTGTCGAACATGCTCCGTCACAACCGCAGTTGACAAAATGTCCTTCGAGATTTCATGTTGGAGTTCTCTAGACCTTCCATTTTAATTGATGCGCCGGTCATAGAAGTAGTACATGGGGCCGACTACATATATTAAATTGGGAGAGACCATAAACTATAAACTGATAGGAAGAAACCAAGCATGAAGGCATATGATCACGATGGAAGGTTTGTTTTACATCATTTTGATATCAAGACTTTCAAATTTAATTTAAGTACCAATTAATTTATTAAACTTATGTCATATATGGCACAGTTTTCCAATAAGATATCAAAAATTGATATCTTATTGGTAGCTTCTTAGACTGTTACCTACGGACATACAGATGTCAGAGTAGAGTCATATGTCATACATATGTAAGGAGACCAGAAGGCCAAGGATCAATTGGTGTTTACGTAAGTAAGGAGTGCCTTTGATCCATGGCTCCGTTTGGATAGTTTTCTATCTTAGTTTCTGAAGCCTCCTATAGCCCATCAACGGATTCAACGTCCTGTAAATGCTGCATACTTCAAATCTAAACCTCTTGTCCTTTCATTCCTTAGTCTCCCGGGGGACTTACCACAGCTGTCAGGGTTCAACAATATTTGGTGACAGAAATGTCCCATCCACAAGGTTAGTACTCACCTCTTCTACTCAATAAATTGGAACTTACAATGAGTACGGCAGTTAGTAATATGCACAAGTTCTAAGTCTGCGGCTTTATGCATTACCGATGAGATCCCGATGGACTGAGAATGTGCACGACAAGCGAAACTGTCAACTCTAGTGACGATATCTGAATCTTAAACAAAAAAGAAAAGGATGTAATTTGACAGTTACAGGTTGAGCATGATGAAATGTGCTTGAAAGCTAATTAAATCATCGTTGAGACTGAAAATTGGAAATAAAAAAATGAAAATTGCTGTTCAAAATGACAAAACGACGATAGAACTACTTATCACCATGCGAATTGCATTGTCTTGTTTCAATTTACTTGGCACAGATTGCATCAACAGAGCCTAGTTTCAGTAAGTTGCTACTAACCCCATCTTATGTAGATTTGATCCGTGAAAGTTATATGAAACTGGTTTGTGTTGACAGTGTAGTATTTGCACTGCATGTCGAGAGTTTTGACTACATAAACAAGACGATTAAGAACTATAATTACTCCTGAAACTAGCCATTGTAACTGACACTTGACATCAGTCACATATTGGTTAATTGTACAGCGCTAAAAACTAACGGGCTTGTGTACCCTGTACGTTGGATGTTGATTAAGACGGACTATATAATATAGTCCGTCTAATTTAGTCTATATTCAATATTACTTCAATATCAATCCTTCAGCAGGGTTAGTGAGCATATTGTTATTGAATACAATATGCTCATAATAATCTCGTATGGTACTTCTTTAGCTAGCTAGAACTTCACTTCTGAACTTAAGTAGAGGCAGGAATATTCCAAAATGTGAAAGTGCACTCATGTGCTAGTGCACTTTTCTTCATATGTGAGAAACTGCTTGTTCATGAATTTTTCTTGGTAACTGGGAAAATTGCTACATTTATTCTTGTTCTTAGATTGCCACACAAATGCATAGATAATCTTGATATTTTCTGCTGCTTAACAAAGTTCGACACATAGTTGAGATTGCCGAGAAATTTAATTCTCTACGAAATTTTTTTCTCCTTGATATTGTAACCAACATGGTAATGCTTATATGTAGACGAACTGACATATTTCTCACTCTATAAATGTTCAGACATAATACGAACTCTTGGAAAAATGAGACGGTGGCAGTTTGTGGAATAAATGAGTACTACGTTGAAAAGTGCAACGCTTGTATCTCTACTGCATACATAGAAACACGCTGCTTTATGCTTTATAGCCATTATACAATGACTAGCTCTGTGATATTATATAAAAGAAGCAAGACTACAAATTTACCGGGTGGAAGATTTTGTGTTCTTGGGTGGATTCCCCAGAGCCCCGCAGTCCCAACAACGATAATCTTAGATCCGAGAATCCGGATGAATCTGTTAACTGATGCGCCGGTCATAGAAGTAGTACATGGGCCGACTCTTTATATTAGACTGGGAGAGACCATAATACTGATAGGAAGAAACCAAGCATGAAGGCGTATGATCACAATGGAAGATTTGTTTTACATCATTTTGATATCAAGACTATCAAAATTAAATAAGTCAGGCTCATCTTTGCCAGATACTGTATGCGCACCGAAGAGTTTGAATGTAGCGCGTTAGAGACTTCCTGAGTGCCCAGAGTGGCGTTTGGGTTACGAACAAGGCATCTTCTCTTTTTCTTCTTTGTGGTTCTCTTGCTTTGGTTCTTATCTGATGGTATGTCTTCTCTATGACAAACGTGCTTCTCGTTCTTGGAAGGTGCCCTGCCATTTCGGTTGCCAGTTCTACTGTCGAACTTCAGAGGTGTTTTGTTGTGGACGCTTTATCTATGATGAGAGACATGAACTCTTGATTTGAGATTAGAGAAACTGTGATATGAGTAGTGGCCTAGATTTTGTTCGGACCTAGCTTGGTAGACGAAGGAGTATATTCCCTCGGGAGGTTAGCCTTATTTTACTGATTTCTTGTTATACGATCACGATTGATGGGGAGGTTCGTAGTTTAATTTTCACGACTAAATACCAAATCATCACCCGTATCTTGTCATTGCATGGATTTCCTTCCTCGTAGTTAAGTCAGTGCTTCCAGAATAGTAGCTGGTGATGCACTTGAATGACACCGTTCAAGTCACAAATTTATGAGATTCATGCGTTTCTAAGGACCAAATCTCAAAATCTTGGTGCGTCGAAGTAATGATGTCTTTTGAGATGTTTGAGATTGCTCACTACGCATGGTCAGCCTGCTTTTTTAACGCGTCCAAATTTTTCAAAACAGCTGTTGGTGAAGTTGCTAGAAGAAAATTTATTAAAAGAGTGCTCGCGGGTGGAAGCCTCAATTGAGTCCATGTATTGCACCACTTTGTTTGTATTCAGTTTTAGCAAATTGGATATCGCTCCGAAGTATGTTTATTACAGTAAAACAATGCCTGCCGATATTACAAGATTCTAGGAGTGATGCCAAACTAGCACTATCAAGCATTCATGTAGTATTTCTGATCTGTCGTCCAGCTCGGTTGGTTTTGGATTTGTCAGCTTTGCCTTTAACTTCGAATTTCTAACTCAAAACTTTGTGGGTCCACTTTCTAGGTTTTCTTTTTCTTGCTAGCGCAGTTTGTCATATCTTGTTGGTGAATGAGCATTAAGTTAGCCTGGATGGTCATCACTGGAAATGTGCACACTCAGGGAGTTTAGAACACAGCATTATGTACCTTTGTTTTCAGATATAGAAGCGTCAATGTCATTCCATGCGCCAGCTCTTTTAAGTTAGTCTGTAAGCATACGGGATAACTTATAATCATCCTCCGTTGCTTATATTGCTCATGACTTATAACCATCCTCCGTTACACATACATAGAGGATGTATGTGTAAAACATAAGTATTTTCTTTGATTTCACAACATATGGATCGTAACAGTTAAAAAACACTCGATGCACGTCATTTGGATTTTTGCCTCTAGGCTTGGCAATAGAACGAGTGCTAATGCAATTTCATTTTGCAGCATGTTCCTCTGTACAGTACGTGGTAATTCCGTCGGACACTGTGAGAAGCTCCAACAAAGTGAATCGTGCAAGGGCTCTTCAAGCCAGCCTAAAGAATCTGAAAATCGTAGGAGTGGATGGCGTCCTCTTGCACATATGGCGGGGAAATGTGGAGGAGAAGGACCTCAAAAGTATGACTGGTCTGGGTATCTCGCTGTTGTGAAGATGGTAAATGCTGCGGGTCTCAAACTTCAGGCATCTTTGTGTTTCCACGGGTCAAGCATCTTAATTATATCAAGCTTGGTGCTGAAGGTGAAAACTCAAAAGTGTTGACTGAAGAAGTCTTAGCTAGACAAAGGGAAAATGTTATATCCTCTAAAGAATGAAATGTTCATCAAGTATAAAACAATCACCAATACGATGAGAAAGAGCTCCCGAACTGTTTGGAATAGCAGGAAAAGAGGTAATGAACAGAAGGTGTGACGTAGTGACCATTGCGTCAAGGGATGAGAAAAAAATGTCCATGGTCACTTTATTTATGGAGATGTATCGTCTATGTTTAACCATGAATTCATCTCTGATCCAAACTTGATGGAAAATCCACAAACTTTGCTTTACATACTGTTCCAAGATGTTAACTCTTCACAAACAAAGCACAGAAAGAAGTTTTTTGAGTACAATGGGTGATTTTACTACACATATCTCGATGACATATGAAGTCCAAAGATTTCCTTTCCTTTGATAAATATAACTTTCTAATTATTCATATACATGTATGTATGTATGTATATATATATATACATATATATTCAGTCTTGGCATGTGTCATGAGCAAAAACAGGAAAGTAAAATTGTACAAAGAGGTCAGATTATAAAATGAGAGGAGATTAACAGTATAAAGCTATTAAAGGAGAGCGACGATGAACTATAGAGAAGCTATGAAGGTGTCTAGATCAATAAAACACTTATACTCTTTTTTGAGAATTAAGACCAATGAAGACATGAAGGTGGAATATCAATCGAATACTAATCAATTTAGTAAATTTATGTCATAATTTGGCACATTTTTCCAATAAGATATCAATTTTTGGTCAATTCATAACTCCATCACCTCACAATGCTGAATATCAATGAAGCACTAACTTTAAATATGCAAAAGTTTCTTTCACTCTACTCTAAAAGATAATTTTGCATTCATTCTAAAATCATGTCATGTCGGATGATGAGTCTTCATCAATTCTGCAATTATGAATTTTATCTTCTTGAATGAAATCTAAAAATTGAATATATTATGATAAAATAAAGATTAATCAAGATAAATTTATCATAATCTAATATACAATATTTATAATTGACATGTCAACAATCCGCGTTCTTGATAACTAGATAGTTGTGTGCTAAGAACTACACTTCAACAATACATATCAATCCTTACTTAAAGTAAAGATTGAATGTGTAAGTTAAGAGTTACATGTCATCCACTTGTGTGCTTGTTAGTATTGTCCGTCATGTAATCAATCTACTACGAGTGGAGATAAAATTTTATCTCCTTGTACTTAAAACTAAGATCTATATATCGGAGGGTATATTTATCATCTTAGGTATATTTAATTTTCAAAATTATCTTCCATCTTCTTACAAAATGTTCTATTGATTCCTAGTGTTACAGCTAGTAAGCTTGGCCACAGTCCGGTTCACGGTTAACCGGTTTTGAAAAAAAAATGAATTGGTTAATCTAGAGTTTAATCAGTCCAGGCTTGGCCCCGTAACGATTAACGATTGTCCTATATTTTAATCGGTCCATGCTTGATCACGGTCCAGTTACTGTTTACTGACACTTTAATTTGTCCAAGTCCAAACACGGTTTGGGTACACAAAGAAAGTTGTATTGGTTGATCTGTACAAATTTTTGGAAAGAACAGCGATAATGCAATACACATTTTATTAATTTTGAGTAGTTTGTTTTTGGAATAAACCAATTTTTTGAAAATATAGTCTATGATGCAATCTAAATTTTTCTATTTTTTAGTAAGTTGCTTTTGGAATAAGCCAAACTTTTTGCAAAAACAAGGAGGGATGCAATCCAAATTTTATTAATTTTGAGGAGCTTAATCTCGTAATTAATGAATCCAACTTTTCAATTTCATCATCATCTCAATGTTTTCATCCGAAAATTTAGATCTATCCGGACTAACAAATCCACCATTCTTCGAAAACGTCGATTCAGATGACATAGAAGAACTTTGAATCATCAACATGTCCCTGACCATCTTGGATAACATCAGAAAATGATTACTGTGTTGTTTTCACTATAGCAGTACTTCGGACACGCGACAATTTACTTACGCTATGAACATGAAGAAGTCGTTAACCTCGTCATAGTGAGCAACGTTTTCAATGACAATGCCTTAATCTTCAACATAGATTAAATACACCAAAATTTGGAGATGGTTGCTCCTCCAAACACAAGCCGTAACCATCGTCAAAATGAATCAAATCTCATCTTTGAATTTCATCGTTTCAGAGAACGCATTACTAGATATAGGATCAAGAAGCAAAGCCATTTTGGAAACTTGACAATTTGGATTTGCACTTTACTAAGCAACTTGAGCTCCATGTCAATAGCAGCTTGTTTGACTATTGAAGTCATAAATCCAATGTCTAATTGTTCATAACGGATTTTTTCATACAAGATAAGTAGATGCTTGTAGATTAGAGGCTGGAGAGAAAGTGAAACGTAGCCACGTTCACTAACGGCGACAATGCAATGCTACGTAGATTGCAAAATGTCTTTGCATGATTTGAGAACACGTCAATCCATGTCGGACAAAACCATATTAGCCAATCGATCACAACACTCTTTGGAGTTACAAAGCGCTTAAAATACATCACGATACTGAAACGTCTAATCGATCATGGTGAACATGAAATTCCAACACGTCTCCATATCTAGACCTAGAACTTCAACATTGTCCTTTGCAACGTCCAACACAATAGTCAATTTTGAAAATTAAACACGGATAGCAACAGATCCACGAACAGCTTTAGTTATTTAACGAAGCATTTGCACTTCTTTTTTGATGAAATGTGTAGCATCTTATACAACACGATTGATGACATGACAAATGCATTAGATATGAAAACCATTTTCCAACTAAAGAGAGTATTGATCATTCAGATTCCGTCTCACAATAGTCATGGCCCGTGACATCTCTCCGCTCCTGTCGGATGCCACAACCTTGATCTTGTTGATCTTGACTTCATGTTGAAATCTTTCATCACTGAAAGAATCAAGTCCAACGTTGTGTGTTGATTGTGTGGAGGTGAAAAATATCAAAATTCCGGCATAATAGACTAAAGTTTTCACTCTTCATCAATCCAATGAACTATAATCACCATATAACCACAAATCACGTGAGACGACCAACAATCCAGAGTGAGAGCAATCGCTCCCTTGATAGATACTATAGTAGAAAAAAATTGTAGCAGTGCTCATCCAAAATGATTAGATAATGAGCGTGTTAGAGTTTGCTGCAATGGTAGTGAATAATTGAGGTTGAGAAGTCGACAAAATGATCAAAATGTCTCGTTCTCAACCAGGTTGAACGATTGCTAATGATCCACCACAAATGCAACCAAGACATTTAAATTGGCTTTTGTGGAATCGTTATCAAACTTATAGGATTCCTACAGTTCATCATTTACACCAAAAAAAGTTTGCGGAGTATCACTTGATTTTTGCACTTTTGACATATTGTGTTTTACAAAGAGATAACGAGACAACGAGCTTGTTTCAAGTTTGGCCGAAAATATAATAGTGACTCTACTATTCTGAGAACCTATGGGTTTAAGGTAGATGATATCGGATTTATTGGAATCATTCATCAAATTTAAATGATTTCAAATCCAACTTGCAGATGGTTTTGACTTTCGTTTACGACAAGTGTATGTTGTCGCTGTCCGACCAGAGAAAGTGATAGATTCTTCATGTGTACTTGGATACGAGTATGGGATTGAATCCACAACAAGAGTAATGTCAACCATGCTGCTCTTCAAACTGAAAGTATAAGCTAATCCCACCAGACATGTTAGAACATATTTAACATTCAAAAAATAAGCAAACTATAATACCTATAAAAATCCTTATATTGTAATGAAAATCACTGTATTGAAATCACCTGAATCATCTCGATTTAGGTACGCGTGCCACATGAGTTAGAATAAGGTATAATCAATCTATAATATAATCTCAAAATTCATGGAGTAGAGCATTGAACATAACAATTACAGAAAGTACACAAAAAGAGCAACAAGTTAATAAACAAAATCAGAATGCTACAATAAAGGTGTCTCTTATGGATCTGCCACAAATACGATGAACATTATAAAAATGGATTCAATCAATGGATTGAATAGGATTAGTAGACAATAACCTACTGCAAAGTCTATTAAGAAAAATCTACAAATTTACATGTATCGGATGTATATCAAAAATATTTCCTATTGCAAAAACCCGTGAAGACAAAATCTCAAATTTTATAATGTAGAAGATCCAAAAGTAAAAAACAAGTCAATTCAGAGTAAGATTCAATTAATCATTCATATTAGTTTTCAAAATGGGAAAAAAAATAAACTAATAGGCTAATAATTCTCGCAACATTATTATTATATTCAAAATTACACTATGTTAGTTGAACGATCATACTTCAATCAATAATGCCATTAAATCATGCTTAGAAAGTATACAGTATAATATAATGCCACGGTAAATTTTTGTTAAGAAACATTTAAACTATCTCCAAGAAATTATGATACTCAACTAGGAAAATTGGAACTATGAAAAAGAAAGTTGAACAAATTCTTCTCAAGCACTTATGAAGAGCAGTATAACTTGATATCACCCAATCATGTTACACATAAACCTTCTGGTTGTAAGTGGACGCAAAATTATATTCACTAAGTTCAAAGTTCACAAATGTCACAATGTGAACTTATGTGGTGTTTAGAGATCTTACAGGGAACGAGACTCAATGGATCAAGCAATGTACAACTTTTCACAGATGATAGCGTATCAGCAATACCTCCTCCTTACTATTCACCTCAATTGATGGATTTATCGAAGCATTCGAGATAGAATACTTGAGATATACCACTCATCGATCCAACATATAGCTTACTGAGACTACACAAACTAAATGCACGAATCGGACTGAATGGCTCAAACGAAAACTACTATAATCGAACTAAATGGTTGAAATTCATTATGAAATGTGAAAAAATTTAAGAAAATCAATCAAGCCTCGAACAGAAACTATTGTAATTGGATTAAACGGTTTGAACTCATTATGAAATCAAAAAATAATAATTTTAGACCGGTTAAATCGGACTGAAGTTTAACCAATTAACCATTACTGCGGACCGGACTGTGGCCAAGCCTAAAAATATATCCTCCAACTGTGAGTTGGAGGATATATACTTTTGCGTTTGTCTTCTTGAAGCATTTCACTTATGTACAATTTGATATATTTTATATGGTTAAAAAAATAAATCTATTGATTAACATGTAAATATGAACCAAGAAGAATCAAAATCAAATCACAACATTTTTTTCATTTTGAAAAAAGAAATCAAATACTTTCATATGCTCAATTTTTTTTCCAATCAATTGTTGCAAAAACTTTGAATATATAAGTATATTGTGCAAAGTTGGAAAATTTGTTTGATGACTTGTAAAGATTGAATAATTGTGGATTAATATATTTATAAATCAAGCTCTTTAATCATGTTACTTCTATATTTGATTCTTGTCTTTTTATCAATTGAAAATAACATATGTTTATCCCATATCTGTTTATGATAGCTGTTTTGCAAATAGCGTGTTTCATATTAATTCATACAATTAGCTCATTGCATCCTATCATGTGATTTCTGATATTTTTGCCATATGATAGGATAATCTAAAATCTTCTACATATATAGTCTCATTAGTTACACCATAAAAAATTATCTCTTACTCATTTATCTTCTTGATTATTTTCTTAGATACAAGATTTGGATGTTGATAAACACTACTCTTTATTGTTATTATTTCTAACACTCTTCAGTTTAGAGAATGCTATCAACTGTTTTTATGTATACGGAACTGAGTTCATCGTAGTAGTGTGTTGAATGATAATTTTGCAAAATGCATTGAGTGACAAGAATTATCAGATATAAACTAACTCCATTTTTTTGAATTTAAACGTCCGGCAATCATGACGTTTCCACACAATTGCTGCATTCATTTCTCCATTAATCACATTGAATATCATCTTATTGCTCCTAGAATATAAAATTAAGTAGCAATTTGATCTAAAATTGTATCAAAAAAATAATGTTGCATTAATCTTGTAGCTTGAATCCATAATATACGAATGTAAAGTCCACTTGTTTTAATTTTTTCTACATAAATGACAAGATATAATCTAAGTTCAAGTAATGAAAAATGTTAACAAATGATCATGTCCAATATCTCATACACTACATTTGAACTTTTGTTGATGAGTTGCGTATTATGTTTTGATCTTGCAAATTAAAAGATCATTAATTAATAAACTTATTGATACATATGTTTATTTAACTGACTTGAATTGAGCTTTTAAATTTCACTTGTTCATAAATTTAGAGAACCTCAAATTTAACATTGTCTTGATATTTTGATAAAATTAAAAATAATAACAATTAATGAATCTAGCATGTAAAAAATTATAAAAAATAAAATTATGTTAATGCAACATAGAATTGTTCATTTTTGTAGCAATTATCAAACAATATATGATATAATTGTTTTACAAATTTGTTGTAAAAAATAAAAAAATAGTAGAACATTTTAATAAAGTATTTACTCATTCAAAATTTACATTCTATTTATTTTATGCTAATTTAAATTTTATCATCAAATTTTTAAAATTTATGTTTATACATGTGATTTGTTTTTTTTTTCATACGATTTTTCACAAAATCTTGACAAGATACAAAAATTTGAATGCCATCACGTTTAGTTTATTTGCTTTATATCCTCAATGTATACATTATCAATCTATTTTGTATGATCTTGATATAATTATATGTATATACTTATCTTGAAATTATATATATATATATATATTAAATTTAATATTAACTTGAAATAATAACCTGAAATAAAGTATATTCTATTATTACAATGAATTTAATTACTTGATAATATAAAATTTTAAATAAAATAATTAATAAAAATATTTATTGAAAATTTGAAAATAATTTCAAACTTATGAACATAAAAATGAGAGTGTAACTCTACCGAATAAATTGATGGAAAGATATATTGATGAATCAAAAAATATATGCATTCTAACTTACATTGTTGATCCATCGCTAGTTTAAGCTAGATGGCACATGTTAATTGCTTCATCGTCATATTTAACCTACATTCTACTGAATATGATTGATCTTTGAATTGACTATATTTTATTGGTTACAAAAATATCTAACTATGCTCAGCATAATAGATTAGATATTCAAAAACTCATTATCTCTAGTATTTATTAACTTGAATATATGTTTCAAGTGTGCATATTGAGCATATTCAAATGAAACAAACTCTATACCCTAGAACTTATGTAGAAAAATATAGTTTCACACAATTACAATAATTTGATTCATATGGGAAAAAGTTGAAATTATGCACAACTGTGAAAATGTCTTTGATAGTTGCCTTCAGTGAAAGACATACTAAAATATATTGCTTGATATAGAAGATCCTACGGACAGAGCAGCTGCAATCACTGTACTGTAGCACAGTGCGGAGGGTGGGGACCGGAAGGCTGATGCCTTCACTTGTTGGGTTGATGCGGCGGCATCAGGGGACGGTTGCAAAATCTTCCCCAGGAGGGCACTTTTCGCACACTGGAGTAAGCCAAAAGTTTTCATGGCTGAGGCCAAAACATTGATTCGACTCGCTTGTCTCGATGGCATGAAAAGTATATTTGCGTGCGTGTGATTCTCTTTGCGTGCTTGTGATTGTGGAGTGCGAAACCTGTTCTTAGTGCAGGATGTTGACCACTTCTCACAGACCTTCTTCTTCTTTGTCTTCTTCTTCCCCACGAAATTTCTTGCTGCCCGGCACTCTCCGCACTGTGACTTTGTTCTACAATAAGAAAAGCGAGTCTGAGGATGTGGTGGGGCCAGAGCACGATAGATTATCTCCATTGGGATCTTACAGTGAGGGGATGAATCCGAACTGTTTAAACTGTCGAAGTTGAAAGATTTCACGGACGAGAACTTCTACGTTATTCTTTATTTAGTACAGACATTATTTACTTCGACAGACATTTTGTTCAAATTTGAGGTTACTAGTGAAAGATTGAGCTTGTATCAGCTGCCTAGTAAACGATCATCAACAAGGAGAAAGTAGATCCGGCTTTTCCACTTGACATGAAGGATCGAGAATATTATTGAATACAAATTTCTAGCCCGACTTGGTTCAATCAGTAACCAGTAACCATAGGAACTTCGTGTCAGACATCGTGGTTTCAAGGCCATAGCTTGATACCGGTGTTGCCATGCTTCAGATTCTAGATTTTTTTTTTATCACTTACAACTACACAAGCTGCGAGAGCCCACAACTGCACAATCAATGACCAGTCTGGACCCGGTGAGCATCGGGAAAGAAGAAGATATTAATTAAAGCTCAGGTGGTAGCGCCTGCAGGCGGTGAGAAACACTTCGTACTTGTACCACTTGTGATCGGCAGCTCGGGACACGAGAGTGACAGTAGCATAACCACCAACATCTCGGAACGATCCAGTGCCGCCTGCAATTGCAAATTCGTTGCTGCTGGTGAAATCATTCAAGCTCTGGAAAACGCAGGACATCACGAAGGTTCCGTTGTATTTCTCCGTGCTCAGTGTGATCAGCTTGTGGACGGTGTACGAGCGCGCCTTCTTGTTCTTGTAGTAGAAAGCAGGCGAATTTCCGACGACCGGATCTGACATGTTAGGGCCTGTGCGGAGAACCTGCTCTGTCAAAGCCAGATCGCCAAAATTCATCGCCAAAAGGTCGCTTCCCTCACGCGCAGACAAAACGTTTGTGTACTCGGATCCGGTCACGTTGTAGTACTGCTCCAAAGCATAGAAAACAAGACTCGGCTTGCTCGAGCTACTGTCAGCCCCAACCATGCGAGCTTGATTTGCACAGCTCGTGAAAGAAACTGTCAAAATCAGCACGACGGCTGACGAGAAGGAGAGACCTCTATCTGCCATCTTCACCTCTAGCGCGATGCTGCTTGAATATCTGGACAATTGGAAAGAACTGTGACGATGAGCTGGTGCGGCTGTCTGAGGAAATTCCACTCACAGTTTTACTTTCGACCTGAGCCGTGCAACAGAGAGAAAGAGAGATCAGGCATATGACTCAGGAGACAGGCCGACTAGAGTATCAAGTCCAGCGGAAGAAGCCTTTATGGTTGGATTCGAGTAGTGATCGCCGGACTGAGCAAGACAGACCCGTCGAGGATTGATGCCAAGGTTACAATAAGATTCGGGCAGACTCAAGGAGTGATACGCGTTCAGAACGTGGGGCCATCTCATGGTGTCCGTTTGCAGGTAGTAGGGTACCAACAGGCACTCAGGCGCCGTATCTGGCACTGCCAGATACGGCGCATGACTCCAGTTGCCACTGGCAGGCTTTTCAGTGAAATCTTCCGATGGAGTAGTCAAAGGACGTCGCTCCTTAACAAGGTTCCACTGGCTTCAGCTCTATTCTCTTGCTGTGAGATGGTCACATTGTACATGGACTGGACTCTATGAAACCCCTTCCTTGCGGCGATGCAGACCTTGAGTTGCAATCTTCAAGTGAAGCACCGGAGTCAGTTTGCTCGTTCCACAAACTCATCGATTTCGGACCGAGTTGAGAGTGCAATGTGCGCGATATAGCATGTCCAGAAACTACGTGATGTACATGTCCGAGGCATGTTGATATTGAACTATTCAGTGAATACCTTCACTGAATTAGCACTGACAGTGAAAGTGAAAATATACACGAACATTCTCATAATCTCCATCTCTACGCATCTGACTGCGATGAGGTCAAGCAGGAATCGACGACAATATGCTGCAGAATCTGGATGTCCACTGTCTAGTTCAAGGTTCGATGTACGCACGTGGAATCCGCGTTCAGAGACTTGACACAAAAAATTGCTGTACAGTACTCGAAAAGGTTTGCCATGCACTGATTATACTGACCTGGTAGCTGCTTGCATACCAAAGCAAATATACGCCTCGATTCATGTCGATTCTTTTCAGTTCTCGCTAAAATTGGGAACGAGATCGAATAGAATTTCCGCAGGAGCGGCTGATGATTTAGAACACACGGTGACCGCATTCTGTGGTGCAATCTCCTACGTCCCCTACCAGATAATGCCATGGTTTCAATGAGATTTCTAGCCGGTCCGTGAAATTAACTTTCAATCCTCGCTTTCTCTCTTTTATGAGATTGAGAGTTAAGCTAAATGCGGGTGAGTGGATATAGCCTACTGTCAGTGAGCACACCATCGGAGTGTAACATTTCACGAGTCCAAAACTATGAAATCTGGACGCTGCAGGAAACCATCTCCTCTGGCCTGAAACAACTTCCGTGCTGTTGATGATATTTCGTGATCAGAGTGGTTCGAGAAAGTAAGTTCCAGGAAGCAAACCAGAAATCGTCGGTTGATGATCAGTATGACGGCGGGAGTGACATGGAAATGATCATGGACCGTATTATAAAGACGTAGACTGCAGTCTACGTCATTATATTACGGTCCATGTTCATTTCCAAGACGGCGGTTCAGTGCATCCGTCAGTCCTGACAGCCACCGACGAAGCACTAGGAGACCAGGGGACTGACGAAGTGAGAAGAGGGAGGAACGTGGTCGACGCTCGAGGTAGGGAACTTTACATCCGGTGCGCTCAGAAACCAATGCCAAAATCAGAACTAAATTGAGACGCAGAGGGACGCAATCTGCCAGCAAATTGGGCTCCAAATCGCACCTTGTATAAGAACATCAGATATATCAATCCACTGTGACTGCACTTGAGCTCAATATAAGAGAGAGAGAGATTCCATGCAAAAAATATTTCCATTCGTGGAAAATCCGGTCAAGAGAAGTACTCAAATTCTTCGGAATCTGGGCAGACGGTTTATTCGAGAGAGCAGCAGCAGCGATGTATCACGAAGCAGCAAAAATTATTTTCAATGAAAAGGGAAAAGAGAATTCTGCAGCTGTGATTAGAAAACACGCCGAGGCTGGTACAGTCACACTTCCTCTGAGATGTGCTCCGAACCGCTGTCAGGAACAAGCCAGGGCTTCACCAGTTTCTCTCCTCCGAGGCAGCCAAATCCAAAGTTGACGCAGTCCAGTCCAGTCCTCCGCAACGTAATTCAAGGAACAATGAGTGTAGCGTATTTAGCGTATTTATAACACTGATGTAGTGTTTCTAGCATTTAGACTGAATGTTAATAAAAGTTAGATATGCTCATATATTATTATGCTCATAATATGTGAATCATTTATACTGAAGTAGTTTGGATATTGATTGTGAAATCTTATCAATTATTAGGTTTTATTTAAAGTACTTGGATGTAGAGAAAACAATCATTGAATCTATTCCAAGGATATAATCTGTTTAGTTTAGAGAGTAATATTCTATCTTGTATAAGTCTAAAATATGAACATGTGTTGTAATTAGACTACGTATGCTCATATTGTCTAACATGCATCAAAACAAATTTTTTTATTGTATTCATGAATGTGGCATTGTTAAATTTTTTTGAGATTCATGGTGTTTAGCATCGATCTCTTTGTTGAATTAAAGCATCCTTATTCCAAGTTAATCCTTATTACACACTCAATAATCTAGAAAAAGTTTGGCAAAGTGATCGTTAGAACTATTATTATTTGTTACATTGTCAAATGTTGCAAACTTTGACGTTTGTGTGGTATTTTCTTATGAATTTTTAATATATAAGATAGATATTTTTACATTTAAGTATCACAAATTTTTCATGATTAGCATCAAATGGATGATATCATCTATGTTGGGTTAATTATCAAATGATGCATGTATGAGATGAAAACATTATTGCTGATTAGATAATTTATCATGGTAATTATGATTATTATTTTTTTAAAAGAAATTAATTAATTTTCTATTCTTTGATATATTCAAAACAAAATTCTAACTTCATTGTTTTGCAATATACAGAAGAATGATTACGTAGTTTAAAAATTTTGTATAAGCTTAAATAAAGATTTAATAATTGTTAATGAATTTGACATACAAGTACATGGACATTTGTAAGTACAATTCAGATTGTGATGCATGGATATTCAAATTTGATATGATATTTTTGAAAAAAATAAATGTCAAACTAAGGATAAATTAAAATTTAGCATTGTTAAATTTTCACATAACATTGATGTTAATAATAAATTGATTCAAAATAAAATACTTTGATTGTCACATTGTTGATTTATGCATCTGTTAGTTCAAATAATTGGATAATTTGAATATTGATGGAATTCAAACATTGATATTTGTTTTATAAAAAAATGTTAATAATTTGTTATTTTGCAATTTAAGTCATTTGCTTCATTCAATTAACAACTCAACACCTAAACTCACTATCATCACATGTATCAAAATTATGAATTTAGTCTCCATATCTAATTTTAGTATACATCTACGATGGTAGTGAAAGTTTTGTAAATTTTGTTGTTCTTGTCGAACTTAGGAATTTAACCGTCACTATCACCAGATACTTGCATCAAAACTAGAGATTTAATTGCGATCCCTAGTTTTAGTGTAAATAGATAATGGTAGTGAAGATTTATGAGTGGTGTTGTTCTTGTCTAACTTAAGGATTTGATTGTCACTACCATCGAATATTTGCACCGAAACTAGAGATGTTGTTGCCATATCTAATTTTAATGTAAATATATGATGGTAGTGAAATTTTGCATCAAAACTATTTTCAATGAAATTGTATCAAAGTGTCAAAAGAGCAAAATTTTAAACTTGAATATGTTTAATAATGATAATAATTTTTTTTAAAAAAACTTATGTAAAAAAATTGATTTTTAGATATATATTTTGATTTGCTACATATTTAATATATTATAGTAACCTCTCCAACCTATACTATTACTCCGCGGACGTATACCTAACACAAAGTTACTCTTTAAACATGAGTTAACTAGAGCTAAACCATAACTGTTAGGATAAATCTTAGGTCTCAGCTAACTCTAATTAGCTTAACCTTGGTTAGGGACTAGCTTAGGTTAGAGTTGCTTGCTATATAGGTGAACATGTGCGGGCTCACTATGATAGAGAGAGAACACTCATTGTGTAGGAGTGCTTCAGTGAGAACGTGAGACCTTGGAAAGCGGAGACTCGGTAAGGCTATGGCTTAGAGTCTTAGTAAAGTTCTTATTGTTCCCGTGGACGTAGCCTCAATGTAGGTGAACCACGTTATCTCATGGTGTCAACTTCTCTCGTGCATGTATGTCTCACAGTGTATGCCTTCTATGTCAAACAAATGGTATCAGAGCCCACCTAGGAGGTGACGGGTTTGCTCGTGCTCGTGCGAGCAGTTAGTTGACAATTTGAGATTTTCTCGAAGTTTTGTCGCGTGGATGTGGGAAAATCTTGGATAATTGGAGAGCTTAAGTCGAGAGCGTTCTAACGGTAACTTAACAAGATCGATCGGAGCTCGAAGCTCAGAGCGCGGAGTAATCAAGATTAGGGTTTTTTTGTCGGTTTTTTGATCAAATTTTTCGAGATTTTACTGACGGTTTTCTATGAAATTTCAGAAATTGATTTCTTGATTTCGGGGGAATCACGGTGCGTGTGAACATGCAAGGTTGTTTGTGAAACGTAAATCAAAGCTAGCCGGTCGCATTGGCGCAAGATTAGTTGAGTTGCGACTTGCGGGTGGAACGTTACGAGCCGAAAACAATTTTTGGAGTTTCCGTGTGCTATGGACTTTTAGGGCCGGCCTCAAACTCATTTTTTGTTGTGACGTTCATTTGGTGAGAAAAAGCGGGACGAAAAGTAGAGCAACTGAGACATCGAGCCGGCGCGGTCAATTTGCAACCGAAATTGCAGTCTATGTCGAACGAGTGCCCGAGATGCGAGTCGAGGGGAGAGAGTTCGGAGAACCATATTGGCATTGAAATAGCATCAATGGAAGGCCAAGAAGCCAGACGAGGCATCATGGGGACAATGAAGGTCGTTGACATCAAGTTTGAGATTGCCAAGTATGATGGACGTATGGACTACTTGTTATGGGAACGACAAGTGAAGGGCATGATGAAAGCTATCGGTTCTGGTAAGCTTTTGAAGACGAAGCCGGAAGATGTTCCTGGAGAAGACTGGAACGACATGCAAGAGATGGCGGTGAATACAATCATGCTCCATATGATACGGCAACTTGAAGAGTATTGCGATTGTTTGTCGTTGTTCGAGGCTCTCCAGCGGAAGTACCATCAAAAGGAGTTGTCCAATTGACTCTACACATCTTTGAAGCTCATGAGTTTCAAGATGAAGTATGGTATTACCAAGGTACAAGAT